AAAAAAAAAAAAAAAAAAAAAAAAAAAAAAAAAAAAAAAAAAAAAAAAAAAAAAAAAACTAACCATTCAAATAATCCGCAGCCATCAACAACTCCAAACACAATTCCGGAGGAATTTCCATATCCGGCACACCCCCATCTTTCCCACCACCACCACTCTGTTGATGTTTTTCATTGTAATATAAATACTCGCAAACTTTTTCCAGGACGAGAGAACTTTACACCCCCCAGTCATCAGTATTTATTATTTATTATTTATTATTCGATAATCAGGTAGGTAGGGACGACAGGGATGATTTGGGGGGATTGTTATTTTATTTTTTTCTTTTTACATACTTGATATTATCAAATCTGCAAATTCCTTCTTTAGATTCACGAAAGCCGTTGGCGGGATCGAGCATGCGTTTGATAGCGCCGCTGATGTTTGCGGCGGAGCGGCGGATGATGAAGGTGAAATTGTCGCTGGATATGAGGGTGATGTATTCGGAGAGGTGGTCGGTTGTGCTTGTGGGGGCTGAGGCTGAGGCCATTTTTGTGCGGGGGGAGTTGGGGTTGGTGTGAGTGGATGAAGTGGATGAATTGGATGTTTGGGTTGATATGGACGGAGGGTGATGGGGTGTGGTAGGTTAGGTAGTGCAGGGCAGGGCAGGTGCTTGTAGACTACTGTAGGTGGGTTTTGGAGTTTCATGACTTTTTTGGTGGAGAGTTGATGATTCTTTCTATAACGGGCACTTCACCTGGACTCTCTTCACATTCTTATAGGAGGTTACTTTTCTTCACTCGCTTCTGATCTAGTTGTTGCTCTTTGCTACAACCTGTAGGATTGTATAGGGATTTTTCTACGCGGCTTTGACTTCATCCAATTACCATGGAGCACTATACTATCTCACTCGGGAGTGATGAATACTCGTTGCTCACCCGTAGCACAGACCCTCAAACCACAAGCACTAGACTAGCGGCGGGAAGCTGAATTCAAATCGACGACGCTGCCGCTCGCTCCCTTTCCATCATGGACACCATCATACTCGACCGGAAGGACGATTTGAGCGCTGCTGGCAGCCGTGATGCTGGATATGGGAAGTCTGGCCCACCAAGGCCGCCACCTCGCCTTACCGAAGAGATACGTGGCACTCTTCATCTTCGTGGCGACGTATCTGGGCCTTTTCCACCTGGCACCCGCAATGCAGCATCTTTACCAGCCACTTCCCACTGGAGAACTGTTATCCCCCATTCATGATGCAGCTCGTCATACGCGACCAACTTCTGGGCAAACACCACTCACCATCAATCTCGTAGTCGCGAGCGTGGCATCGGATGACGTGTCGTGGACAGAAGAGCTGCACAATTCGATTGCGAATCTCCAAATCTTTCGTTATGTCAGTGATGATCCTGTCGCCGAATATCATCCCTCCATCGCAAAGGGTCGCGAAGCGTTGATGTACTTTACCTATCTATACGACCACTATGAATCTCTGGCGGACGTCAATATCTTCGTCCATGCCGAGGAGCATCCCTGGCACTTGGATGGTGCCATGCAACAATCGATGCGGTTTGCCCTGTCGCAACTCGATCTGGAACAGGTCATGCAGCTCCACTACTTCAACCTCTACACCAGTCTGAAAGGAGGCCGCCCGGAAGGCTACAACACCACCAAGACCACAGATGAAACCGACGTGGCCGAAGAGCCTTTCATTGCAGAGGCGATGCGTGCCAATTTCGGAGAAGATATTACAGTGCCAGAAATGCTCATCGGACCCTGCTGCTCACAATTCGCAGTTAGCAAAGAAGCCATCAGGAGCCGTCCACGCAGCCAATACAGACACAGCATGCAGTGGCTGACCGAGACCGACTGGCCAGACCAGTTGACCGGGCGTATATGGGAGCACTTGTGGCCCTGGCTCTTCCTGCACGACCAAGCCGTAGATCGCAAGACGGAGTGGCGAACTCTGTGTCGCATGTACAGAGTCTGTTTCTCTGACAGCGACGATCTTCAGCAGTATCAGGCAGTTTGGGACGAGAGAGTGAAGCTTTTGGAGAAGATTGGCTTCGGAAGAGAGCTTCTGAGGCCATGGAACGTACGAAAGGCACGCATGCGACTGAACGATCTTTTACAACTGGGTAGACAGCTGCTGTTGGGAGCATTGGAACGTGGCCAAGATCCTGAACAACGAATAGTAGCAGGTTTGGATTTGACTGCCCCGTGATGAAGGGATATTCTGGTCCTACAACCGACAGAGAAGCCCGTTGGACTGCTTCAACTACCCGCCTCGAATGGCGAGCAACAGCTTGCTGTACCGGACAACAAGCATTGGTGTCACAGCTCAAGTGCCTTGCTGGACTATCTGCTGTTCCTTCACGGAACGCTGACCCTCAAGCTTACAGCTGCCAATGCATACACCAGCATGCGCAGTGCTCCTCGCAGATCTGGCCTACGTGAGATGCTTCAAGGCGAGCATTCCCGCTAACACTGGTCCTGGCACCTAAATCTCGGCCATGTCAGGCTGTTGTAATGGTCATCGCGGATCCAGGGGCCAACAGTGACACCGCAATGCGAGAGGCTCTCTGATTGCCGCCCATCATTTTGGTCGTGTTATCCACCGTGCTGAGCGCCTAGATACAACCATCTCCAAACTCAATAACGACAGGGGACGCCCCAAGACCTGCAACTCAAGGGGTATATGCTGCTACTGCTGGCATTGAAGGTGGAGACTTTGCTCATACTGTCTCATATGGATGAAATAATTGCTACAGACAGTTGATATCCATGGTCGAATCGGTTGACAAGTTGGCTGCTTGCAAGCGGTCGGTCCTATTCAATCAGCTCTATTGACCTTATTGCCAAGCCATACTGGAATTCGCTGTACTCGGTCTATTCAACAACTTCACAAATTGCGCTTGGGCTGACTTATTAGGTAGTTCGCATGTGCAAGCACAGCTATGGCGTCTCGCTTGAGGACCCCGCATCATCGACAGCTCAGTTCAAAGATACAGTTGACAGGTTCACCCGTTATGACTGCTCCTTACACGCGGTACATGAGCTTGGCATATTTAGCCGATCTGAGGCAGCAATATCACTCTCCACTAGCTTACGTGTTTCAATCCATCATTCTACCAGCAAGACCACATACCAATATCTACATCACGTACCGCCTCTCCCGCTGAATGGAGATTCACCAGCCTGGCTACGTAGTTGTCTCGCCCATGACTCGCTTCTCATCACTTTGGTCCCCATTACGTCACGAAACCATTCAACACACTCCCCTCCGTACGGATCTTCATGCCATCTTCTCCCCTCCCTCCCTCCCTTCCACCACTACACCCTATCACTTCACTTGTTCACTCTTTGACCAATCCCTGCAATAACACCAACAAAATCATCATACCACACGACCCTTCACCCCAAAACCCAACCCACAGATAAGGAAAAAAGGGAAAAAAACAAAACCAAAAACAAAAACAAAAGAAAAAAAATGTCCAAAGCCCCCGCCAAAAAACTCACCGAAGAAGAAAAAGCCGCCAAACACGGCGCCCTCGTCGTCTTCGGATCCGGCCCAGGCATCGGCCGCAACATTGCCGCACTATTCGCAGAAAAAGGTTTCAGCAAAATTTACTTGTTATCGCGTAATCAAGAACGTCTCCAAGAAGACATTGATTTTGTGAAAAACCACGCCGCATCCGCATCTGCATCCGCATCCGCATCTTCGACTCCCAAAGTCGACGGGAAAGCTGACGCTGAGACGACGACGACGAGTTGTAAAGCGATTGCAGTGGATTTGGAGGATCCGGGAAAAGTGAGGGCTGCGTTGGCGGAGTTGGATGGGAGATTACATGGGAAATCTTTGGAGTGTGTGGTGTTTAATGCGGCGAGGGTTGGGGGGAGTAAATTGATGGAGTGGAGTGCTGTGAATTATGAGGCGGATTTGAGGGTTAGTTTTTTTTTTCTTCTCTTTTTGGGGCAGAGTTTGGTGGTATGGAGGATTGTTGGGAAAGAGAGAGAGGGAAAGTATGTCGAATCTTCTACTAACAACCCCAGATCTCCGTCGTCAGCATGTTAATGGTCGCCCAATGGGCCATGCCCCAACTCGTCGCCGCCGGCAAAAAAGAATACTACACACCCGCATTCCTCGTGACCAGTGGAGGACTCTACAAGAATCCCTTTCCCGCATTCGTAAGTCATTCCCTCTCTACCACCAAAAAAAAAGAAACAAAAAAAAACCAACCAACCAAAAAAACAGTTCTCCCTCGCCTCCTGCAAAGCAGCGCAATACAATCTCCTGCACAGCCTGCACAAAGAATACGGCCCCAAAGGCGTCCACTGCGCGGCCCTCGTGGTCGAGGGAAAAGTTTCCGAAGAAGCGCAAGTCACGACTCCGAAGAATATTGCTCTCGAGGCGTGGAAATTGTTCGAGGAGCCCGCGCCGGGAGAACTGGATGCTACGATTCAGGATCCGGATTATTTGGAGTGGGTTAAGAAGGTGGAGGGTTGATTTTTTTTTTTTTGATTTTTATTTTTTTGGGGGAAGGGGGAGGGGGAGGGGGGAAGGGGGAGGGGGGAAATGTGTAAATACATGTAACTTGGTAAGAATATGTATATATAACTTTTTTGTCTAATGTGTTTTTCCCGTGTTGGAGAATCTGACTCTGGTTTCATTTTTGACGAGATTTATTGTAATCGTTGTATAAATCTCTAGCAGGTACGTACGTAGTTCATTCAACCTGCAGCATTTTCTTTTTCAAAAAAGAAAGCCAGGCATGCTCATTTGCTATACGGAATGGGACCATGAGCCTCAATCACCTGTTGTGCCATTTGAAGAATCTGCTCATGGACCGCAGCGGGAGCGCACACCAAACCATAATCTATACAAATGGTGAACAACAATCGTCAGTACCGTGCTAGTAATGTAATGAATGCTCAAGTTGATGTTAAAAATAAAGAAAAAAAAAGAGAAACTCACTCGCAGCCATTTTCCTGCCCGTAGTAAAATCAATCGCCTTGCCGTCTAAATCAGTGACTTTCCCGCCTGCTTCTTCAAAGATCAAGACCCCGCCCGCGTGATCCCACATGTTGGATCTCCACGACGTGTAGCGAAAGATACGAACGACGATATGACTTCTACCCAGACCCAGTGCAGCGTACTTCATCAGCGAGCTGAACAGGTCTACGCCAGGCCAGGAAGTCTCCAGTTTAGCAGCGACCTGCTGATGCAATTCCAGAATGGTGCTGGTGTAGGTCGAGCAATCCGACCAGATCAGATTCTGGATCGAGACATTCTCGCCATGTCGCTCTAGCTTCCTGGCTGTCTCCAACTTCCCATCTGCGCGCATGGGCCGGATGAAAGTGCCTTCGCCGCGGACAGCATAGATCATTACGCCTAGACCGTGCTCGTCGATCTCGTCTTCGCTCACGGTGTTGGAATCGAGGAGAACATTCGGGCAGCCAATGATGCCCACCTCTTCGCGTCCATTGATGAGGAAGGCGCAATTGATGGCGTACTGCTGACCTGGTGGGGCTTCAACTTCACATGTTCCTGTAATAAAAAAGAATGCGTGGCTACTGATTAATTACCTTTAAGGAAGGTCGCAGTACCATCAATGGGATCAAAGACCCAAGTTCTACCCTCCTTGCTACTTTCTCTCTTGCCTCCCCAGTCCAGAAACCGGAGCAAATCGTCCTGCGTCGCAGGCGTTGCCAGAGAGGGAACATTTGCCGCAAAGGCGGGTTTGACAGACTCGGTCAATGCCCAGACTTTGTTCATCAGGGCTGCATTTTGTCGGAGATCATCTGCTGATTCTTCTGCGAGGAAATTGTCGGTGGGAAATGCGCCATGAACGGCAGAAGTCAACAATGCTTGCGAGGCAAAGTCGCCAATTGTGACGGGGGAAAAGTCGCTCTTGGAGATTTGACTGTCTTGGCTGAGCGTGTCTTTTTGCAGTTGCTTGGTGAGTACGGCGCAGTGTTGTACGGCAGCGCAAGCGATGTCTAGCTCTTTTTGGAATCGACTGGTCATGTTGGATGTAAGTGAAGTTGGTAATGAACAAAAGGAGGAGGAGGAGAAGAAGAAGAGGGAGAAGTGAGGACTGAAGCAGACTCGGGAAGAGGCGAGTCTTGGCACCAAGTTCCCTTTTCCTTGCCACGTTTTCCTGCTCGACTCAACTTCTCTTGTTCCACACCACTTTTCGACCTTTTCTGAAAAGACCGTCATATGCTAGACAAGATGAAGAGGATGCCATTCAAGCCACTCGTTCCTCATTTCAGTCATTCAACTATGTATACATATACTTATCCACATCTGCCAATAGCTTAATACACCGCAGGTCCACTCCTCTTCAACGCAGCGAGTGCTTGCTCCAGCGTAATCACATCAGCCGGCAATTTGGGAAGTACTCCCTCCAAGATGGCAGTATTGACGTCCGGTCCAGAAGGAGGCGTCTCAATGGTGTTGTTTGCAATCACATATCTGGAAAGAAACCAATCAGTTGAAATTTTCACCAAGTTGATCAACAAAAAACCTCCAGAACATAAGACGACGACAGCGAAGAAGAAGAAGAAGAAGAAATAAGGAAAGAGAAAGAGAGAGAGAAAGAGAAAGAGAAAAACTTACACCTTGTAATCCGCATCAAACAACCGATACGCCGTATTCAAAATCACCCCCGAAGTCCTAATCCCCGACAAAACCACCGTATCAATCCTCTGCGCCCTCAAAATCTCCTCCAACCCATTCCCCGCACCAGCATAATACCTCGTCTTCTGCAACACCACATCGCCCCTCGTCTCATTCACTTGGAACGCAGAATAAATCTCCGTCAAAGGATCCGCACTCGTGCCCAACGTCCCCGCGACCTGGGCAAAAGGCGATTGAGGTCCGATTTCGGGTTGACGTGAGTTGGAAAAGTATATGCGCGTGAAGAGAGTGAGAGGTGGTGGGTTTTGGGCTGCTACGGCGTTGATCCAGGTGGAAGTGGAGTTGATGAAGGTTTGGCCTGCGGTGGTGTTGATGATGGGGCTCATGATGCCTGGGATTAGGTCGAGGTTGAGGACGGCGTAGTGTTTGCCGAAGGAGAGGGTGGAGGATTCATTGCTGGGGATGGTGGATGCTATGCAATGGGGTTGGCAGGTGTAGCCTGGGGCATTTTCGTTGTTGTTGTAACCGGCAGCAGCTTGGGTAAATCCAGCAGCTGATGCGAGCAGCAGGAGCTCTGACGATGTAGTTGAGAAACGCATAGTGATATCTTGATAGAATTCCCCTTGATCACAACAACAACAACAAAAAAAACGAGCAGTCCAAAAAGAACCAAAAATTAGAAACAGTACTTATATATGCCGAAAACCCTTCTCTAATAACTAAAACAATGACATCCTCCCCATCCCGTCTACCCGTATTGTCTCCTCGGCTCTCAAATCGTCAATGATGATGATTATCTGATTTATCTCCGGCCCCAAAACCGCGCGTGGCGTCCACGGATCACAAATCCTCAAAACTCAAGCTTTTTTTAAGCTAAAATCCTCATAACAGATCAAGATTTGCCACGTGCGGTTTGCTTAGTAAAATGCTTTTTTGTTTCTCGGAGTCAGGAGTCAGGCCGTTGGCCTGCATTTCGTCATGTGTGAAAGTCAAACGTTTGGACGGGTTGCTTTTGCTGTGCTGGAGGGTGAGAAATGTATATTTGAAGTATACATGTATGTATATGATAGTGATAGTGAGAGGAGGTGGGCGCTGGTTAGGTGTATATGTGTGATGATGATTTTTGGATGATCTTTACTTATTTATTCATGTAATTCAATGTAAGGTATTGGGGAAGGCTGATTCATTATGAATGGTTGCATTCCTAGATGGGTAGTTGGGATTCAAATTGACGAAAGGAGGCTGTCGTAAAATACACCGCAACTCACTTACTCACTCATTCACTCCCTCCCTCGCTCGCTCAATGCTCACAAAAACTAAAACTCTCCATCTCAAACCTTCGATCAACATCCCTCACAAACATCTTCCTCTCCTCCATCAACTCCAATCGAATCTTCTTCGCCTCTTCCAACTCAACAGGTAAACCCTTCCCATCACCAGCAGCAGCACCACTCTCCACAATCCCCTCCACAACTTCCCGTGGAAGATTTTTCGCCGCCCCACGATCAAGTCCACACTCCACCAAATCCCTCCACCAGTCCATTTGCTGCGGCGGAACATTCGCCGTCGAAGGAACCCGAAGAAATGGATCCACTAAAAACAACGCCAAAATCTTCCGATGACCAGATCGTGTCGCGTCCGCAAGACGAAACGGTTCGACACGATGTTGGAAAACATTGGGAAAAGCCAAGACACGATTTTCACGCGTGAGAACGTTTCCGAGAGATTGAATTGCTGAGCCCGATGGTGGAATATCGTAGACGCGTTCGAAATGTGCGTGATCGTATTGTTCATAAGGTTTGGAATGGAGATGTTCGACAGCGGTGGATTCGCGAAAGGAGAGGTGGGAGGTGGTGATGTTGGACATGTCGTAGTAGTAGAGTGCTGAGGCGCAAATGTGTTCGTTTAGTTGGCCTTCAATGTGCCACGAACCTCCTTCGTATTCGGGTTTTTCGGGCGTGAGATGGATGTTGGCTAGTTTGACGATGATTTGGAGGCCTTGTTGTGCCCAGTCTTTGCGCAGATTGACGGGTGTGGTGGAGGTTTTTCGTTCGGCCTTGATATAGTTCGCTCGAGTTTGATAGTCGTGTTGCAAATCGGGCATGATGAGTATGCGATTGGCCATTCTCCATTCTTCGTCGAGATCCCAGATTTCGTCTTTGCTGTAATGTCTCTCTTCCTTTCTATTCCGAGGTCGCGGCTTGTTAGAGTCGATCCAGTCGGCATTTGCATCGTCTCGTGGCGGCGGGCGCTCAAAGTAGGGATTCGCTTTGTTCAAGCAACCATCCCACATCGGGATGACCTATAACAATCCGCAAGAGATAGGAGGTAAGTAAAGCTCTAGAACCCTACAAGGGGCTTTCAAAGTTACGCGCTTCTACTGACCTTTGCGATGATACTCTCAAGAGCTTTGTACAATGGCTCATGTTGACGTGGGTGCAAATTATTGATATAGCTCGTGATCTCGACCTCATCATCTCCGCGGAACGCAATCTCACAAGGCAGCCACTGATATCTTTTGGAGTAAAAGTGATAGTTTCCGTATCGCCAGTGTGGCCATTCAGACTGCTCACCATGAAAGCGTTTCACCTTCAGGTCCTTGTCCTTTGGTATTGGAGCAATAAGGCCCTGGATGCAAAACATTAATGATGGATCGAACTATCCCCCGAAATGTTTCTGTATCTTGTCTCTCCCAAGTAGAGTGCAGGCGCACCTACGAAGGCGATGTGACTTCAAAACTATTACGTACCTTGCCAATATAGGCGTCACAATCACGCAAAGGTACCGTGCCTTCTGATTCCGAGAGAACAGTCGATCGTCCATACAGCAACGGAAATAAGCTCGGATGGACAAGATCGAGGACCTTTTCGTCGGAGTGCGGATGCCAGTCTTTCTTGCTATCATCAACGTCTTCAAGGACGGCGGCGGCAGCCTTGAGAGCAGCCTTCATCTCGGCCGTGACGCAAGTATCGGACTTGTAAACCACACCTAGAGGCATTGAGGTAAGCGTGAGCAGATGTCTATAAAAAAAGGATGAGGTGCACCACATCACTTGAATCAAAACCATGGAAATATCGAAAATATGACCGCATTCCAGAAATCTGCTTCTCACCTACCATCTGCATGAATGGCGGGTATCATGCCAGTCTTCTCAAACTGAGCAGCATAATCCCTCAACTCCTCCATACAATAATCAAACGCCTTCACAGTCAAGACACGCTCTGGCTGCGCATCGTCGTTGAGCGCCAAAGTCTCAGCTCGCCACTTGGACACAATCTCCTCGTCAAAGACTTTGCGGTTCCACTCCGGTTTCTCGGTGATTTCGCCCATCAGAGCCATCATTCGTCGCTCTCGGAGAGTCAAGGGAATGCCATACCAGTCGGATATGGCATTTGGGAATCTGGGACGGCAGTGTCGGCCCTCGACCCAGCTGCGTTCTGAAATGGCGTTGACGGGACAGTCGATTCCGTAAAGCCGACGCGGCATGTTTTGGGTCATTCTCGAGTCGTCTATGTATTGGTTTGTAAGGGGTCAATGGTGAGCTTGTCCTAGGTGGAATTTCAGTGGATTTGCTTTGATTTGTTTTTTATTTTTTATTTTTTATTTTTCCTTTATTTTGGAGTGGATAGTGGTGTGAATCGACTTGGTGGTAGGTGATGTATCAATGTTGCGAGAAAAGATGGCGCAGAAAGCACAATATATAGCAGTCTGTCAAGGATTGAAACCAGTGCTCTTCAGGCAGTTGAAGGGGCATATGAATAGTCTGTGGTGCTGGATAGGTCGAGTGTAAGGCAGCAGAGCGGGTGTGGCGTCGTGAGCTTGGCGTCCAAACGCCCGTGCCAGCCAGCTCGCAAGCGAACCACCATCGTATTATCCTGGACCGAACCGCTTAGCGAGCGCAGAGGCAGATGTGGTGTGGTAGGAGAATGTTGCATCGTTGAGGATTAGGTGCCTACCCTACATCACCATACTCCATCCTACTGGCATACCCAACATTGGAGAACAAGATTCATCAGACAAACATCATCCTGCCCACCACTTCCCCTTTCTTCACACCCTCCAATGCCTCTTGCAGAGGCTCACTCGTCCAGACCTCCCTATTACCAATCCTGACCTTCACCTTCAAGACACCATCCCTCAACACCACACCGTTCGCCTTCAACATATCCCTCAGTGTCTGCAACTTCAAGTCCTCGTCCAAACCCGGCAAGCGCCTAAACGCCAGCCTCCAACTCGTGACCTCCGTACATGTCTCTGAAGTGTCGTATCGTATTTCAGGGATACGTCCCACGAGATCTGAATTGAGAGAGCTCAATGTGCAGATGATGAGTTTCGGATCGTTGGATCGAAGGATTGTAGAGGAGTAGAATATCCCAGAGACTTCGGAGCGGAGTTTGGAACAGGTCGTGAGGATTGGAGGCTCAAGCTGTTCTTGACAAATGTGGAAGATGTTGTTTGTGGGGCCCAAGAAGAGATGGTGCCAGATTCTGTTGCGTAGCTCAGGAGGGAGGGCGAGGAGAGGCGAGACTTGAGGCTGGAGGATTGCTGAAGGTGGGAGGATGTGGTCGCGCCGAGGACGGCAGAGGAATTCTGGTTGCCACATGTTGTACTTCTGGATTGTGGAAAGTCGTGTGTCTGTGGGCTGGGCTATACACGACAAGCTTTTCGTGGTTGTTGTAGTATGTGAAGCCGCTCGCCGCGATCGACGGTTCTGTGCACGTCAATGAATCATCAGGAGACAAAGGAAAAAAAGTATTGTGGCTTTATACTTATCATCCCAGAAGATCTCCTTGAGCGTAGCACGAGCGGCCCGCACAATGACCGTATTCTGTCTGTGTTGAAACAAAGAACTTTGCAGTCTGCACTGACTGCTATCCTCCTTTGAACATGGGTACCTGGGGAGGGTAGCAACTGTTGGTACTCTCGGTTTCGATCCTTCTACCGTGGCCCTCAGATTGATACTCGCGCCCGGCGCGATTTTCGGTCACTAGATTGGTGATCACGTCAATCGGGCTCAAGTCTCGTCTCAATACTGACATGACTCTGTTTGCGAACATCACTCTCAGCATTTGTATTGGGCGTTCTTTGACCCCTGGGTCAAACAGAGGTATGTGCCGTATAGCAAAAAGTCTGAAAGTGAGCATAAGCGAGCTCGGCTGGCAATTTTGCCGAAAATTTCCATCAAGGCACTGCCGTAGCATTCGACCTTTCACAGACACAGCAATGGGAGTCAACTTGTTGCTCGCCTGGCATTCCCTGGCACTGTCATCGTATTCAATAACGGGCTTAGCCGAAAGTGACACACAGCCTCAGTTATGCGCCACTGTGGCTCCTCCGAAGAGGTGTGATGTGGCTTTGTAGTTCTTGCGTGAAGTAGACGAGCCTTTCTACGCCCGCTTGATATCAAACTTGATATCCTTGATGCTGACCTCCTCACTGGACTTCTCGTCGTACTCGAACCACTCGCCTTCTGTGAGATCAATGCTGGTGAACTTGGTGCCGCTTTCGAGGCCTGAGGCCTTCCAGTCACCCTGATACTCATCAGGAAGAGTGCACATGGCGGCGTTTGCCGTGAAGAGAAGAGAGATAGTTTGGTAGGACTCACATCTGCCTTGAACTCCACAAACTCCAGCCCTCTGCAATCTAGGGTGATGATGTTCTTCGGCTTGGGAGGGCTTTGCTGCGAGTATGACTGAGGGGAGTCTTGGATGTTGGCCGTATGTTCTCTCTGCAGACAATATGTCACTCTTCAGTACTTGGACGAGACCCTAATTCATGAGGCTGCTGCGGACCTTGCAGTTTTTGCACTTCCACACGAAGTTGGCTTCACCTCTGCTACCAGATTGCTCGGCTGTTTCCTGTGTGACCCCATGAGCTCCTGTTTCTGACTCGTATACTGTAGAACATACAAAGCGGTTGAAGGAGACCCAATTGGGATGGATCTCACGACATGATGTGCATTGCACCTTGAAAGTGTAGTAGAACGGATTGGCTTCGGTGTCATCGGGTACGAGATCCGTGACACTGTCAATGCATCAGCGAAGCATAAGGTAGATACGGTACGGTCGAGCGCCGAGGTAAGAGACATACCCCTCGAGCTCCGCAGACATGGTGAGAGCGAGCATATTGATGAATGTGTTGTTATTCTTGATTGATTCCAGGTCAGTATCAATGTTGTGGCGCCAAAAAGGTCGGGTTTGAGGCTGCAGCGGCTGGATTGGACTTGGCGAGACAGTACCTGTCCTGTCCTACCTCTATTGGCAGCAGACTACCATCGTTCTTCACTTCACGCCCTCATCAACACATTGGACTTCACCTACTCTCGCGCTCCTCCATTGAAAACTCTTGAGCAGGCATCAGACGACTCTTGAAGGCAATCATACCGTCATGCTCGAGATACACGCCGCTCCACCTCGACTGACGACGCGACTCAAACGCGTTGAGCACAACAGCTGGGGCTGAAGATGCCTCGAAAATTGCCCTGGCTGGCTGGAACTGCTGTGAAGAAGGAGACGACACGGGCAGTGCCTCGACCCAGGCCGAAAGCTACAAATCGAGCGCTATCACCAGCAGACCTCGTGGGTTCAGACCTCGAGGACCTGGATCACGATGGACCAACACGATCATCACAGCCCGAGAATATGGAGAAGGAGAAGGAGAAGGAGAAGAGATATCATCGTCCACCGTCATCGTCCCCTCCTCCAGTACCCAAGGAGCCTCCACCAGATGTCAAGATGATACCGGGCTATGAAGCAGACGATGCCTGGCTGATGGTAGAGGACGAGTTCTACTCTACTGCGCAACTCTGGACACAACATCTCCACCAGCAGGAGTATGTGCGGCTTAATAAGCTGCATAAGTCGCGGGGGCAGGACACTCTGAATGCTTTGACACGAGGCACCGATGGCAGAACAGAACAAAGTAGGGAGGTGCAACTGAAGGCACAAGCCGCGGAGATGGCAAAGAAGAGGAAACGGACAACGGGTGGGGATAGTGGCAGCGAGGGAGAGGAGGATGAGGACGACTTCATGTTCGACCCGCAGCTGGCAGGACTCATGACGGGCTCGTCGCAGCTGGCTAGTTCGCAGCGGCGACCTAAACTTGCAATGGAGAGGGCCAGAAAGGCTTTGGCCGAGGATGGAAGCGAGAGCTCGGAGCCATTGCCGGAGCTCAATCTGTCTGACATTGTAGAAGAGCAGGAGGAAGACGAAGAGACCGACAGCGACGATCTGGACGCCCCACGTCCTAAAGCGCCAACTAAAGCCCAAGAGAAACTGCTGCGGCCATTTGCGTCAAGCAGCAGTGGCCCTTCTGATGTCAAACCGATCCCATCCAGGATATTTCCACAGGTCGGCCAATCATCACACGAGAAGCGCAGGTCCATCAAGCCAGAGTCTCCGCCATCTTCACCACCCCCGCGACTGCCTTCACATATCCCAAATCGACATGGATCTCCAGTGCGCGAGCGCATCGTGGCAACAAAGCAGCTGTCGCTCGCAGCAGTGACGGCTGCCTCGCGTGAGAGTGGAAGACCGGCAGCATCAATGAAGGACGGCGGTGGCCCTCGAGCTTCTTCGTTCCTTGCAAAGCGCAGAGCACAAAAGGAGAAAGAGGCAGCAGAGGCTAGACAAAGAGCCATTGAAGATATCATACCAACATTTCTCATCTAAAGATGGCTCTCTACATCCACTAATCAATATCATACACATAGACCTTAGCCCATGTTACTCTACCACTTTTCCAACATGGGCCTGATATCAATCTCATTAGTAAAGCCCCTCTTACTCTGCACATGCAAACCCCAATACGCCTCCGCAATATCTTCCGCACCAATTTTCGCCTCGGCCGGTTGATCCTTCAACCACTCCTTGGTTCGCGGAATATCAATGACTCCATCGATAATCGCATGAGCGACATGGACGCCCTTTGGAGCGAATTCTTTGGCCAAAGAAGTCGAAAGGGCTCGCATGGCGAATTTGGGACATGCGAAACCTGACATGAGAGCATTGGCTTTGATGGATGCGGTGGCGCCTGTGAAGATGAGAGTCGGAGGGTAATTTCCTGACTTGAGGTTGGAGGCTGGATCTGAGGAGGGGGAGGTTTGGTTGTGAGAGAGGAGGAGGGGGAGGACTTGTTGGGAGAAGATGATGGCTCCTTTACTGTTTTGTTTGAAGAAGGGTGGGAGGTTAGTATACAGTATGTCTACCTCGATGAGGGGGAAATAGAAGAAGAAACACTTACACACTAACATCCCACCCCTCCATAAATTCCTCCACCCCCAATTCCAAAAACGGCTTTCTCACAAATCTCCCACTCGCATTATACACCGCCGCCGCCACAGTCACCTTATTTTGACTCCCCTCACCACCACCAAACTCTGCCTCTATCTCCCGAAATGCCTTTGAAACACTTTCTGCAGAAGATAAATCTGTTGCTATGCCCATGGCTTTTCCGCCTGCAGAGTTGATTTCTTCGACATATGGTTGGTAGTTTGTGGGATTTCGGGCTAGAAGCACGACGGGGTAGGATTGGGCGAAACGTCGGGATACGGCTGCTCCTGTGCCGGGGCCGACGCCGGCGATTATGGCGATTGCTTTTTTGGTGGTGGTGGTTGTGGAAGACATTCTGTTTTCGATATTTCAATGGGGGGTTTTCTTGGGAGGGGGGATCTTGGGTGTTGTTCTTCTTCTTTTCTTGGTGTATAGTAGGGACTCAGGGAGGAGGATGAATGAAATGAGCTTCAATTGTCGGTGGGAGAATTCTTCTAGAGATACAAGGGAGAAATTGAAAGAAAATAAGCTTGAATTTGCTTTCAGTATATATGTTTTGGTGTAAGCACGTCTTGAAGTCGTGATGTTTGATTACATATAGACGCGGAGCTAGGAGAGCTTCTGTCCGATGAACGCATTGGAGAGAAAGTGGGGGGCGCATTAGTCAGCTTGTCCTTTTTCACTTGGCATACGTCCGATCACGTGAAGGGATTACGTAAAGTATAGTGGCCTCTCACGGTCCTAACTTGGTAGATCATCAACTCCATCAACCTCATAACAGATTTTTAGCTCTGCACGCCAACTCTAACAACCTTTCTCCGCAGAGTTCTATAACTGATGTACTTCACAGGCGCGCTCGATATCATCAATACGAAACATATGGGAAGCACAGAATATTTCAGGCAAAATTCCATTTAAAAGTCATGTATCGTCAATTCGCTATATCGTCGAGCAATTCCTCCACTTTCACGCAAACGCTCGCTACCAAACACCTCTATTCATTCAGTATCAGATTGCGTTATGGAATGGACAAGGTCGAGTCGAATTGTACCTACCTATAGTAGCGGGTTGGCCAGTCTCCGTAGAGACCTGCGGCGCTCCCCATCACCGATGCCTTGGCAGCTGTATCACTCAGCAGGCCAGCCTGCGTAGAGACCAGCGGCAACCTCGTCGACAGATGCCTTGGCGGCGGCATCCCGACGCTCGGCAGGCCAGCCTGCGTAAAGACCGGCGGCAACCTCGTCGACAGATGCCTTGGCGTCGGCATCCCGACGCTCGGCAGGCCAGCCTGCATAAAGACCGGCGGCAACCTCATCGACCGATGCCTTGGCGTCGGCATCCCGACGCTCGGCAGGCCAGCCTGCGTAAAGACCGGCAGCAACCTCATCAACCGATGCCTTGGCGTCAGCATCACGACGCTCAGCAGGCCAGCCTGCATAAAGACCGGCAGCAACCTCATCGACAGATGCCTTGGCGGCGGCATCACGACGTTCAGCTTCAGCGGCACTCTCTTTCACCGTGGACCTGCCAGAATTCTTAGTGCACAGGACATGTTGTAAACCAGCAGCGAGACCCACATCGAAGCGTCACGTCCATAAATACCGACAGCAACTTCCTTCGCCGAAGAGACAGGGGCAGCAGCAGAAAGAGCTGCAACAGCCAGGAGCACGATTGTTTGAGTAGCCTTCATTGTGGCGATAGGAACGTTCGATGGGATGGTGGTGTAGACAGGTCAGATTGAGCTAAAAGTGTTAGGTCTGAATGCTTCCCTCGTCCTTTTTATCTTCAAGCTGGCTCAGGCTTCGACTATATCTGGGAAACTCTATGGATCATACATCTGCCTGAAAGCCCCCCGAAATCTTATCAAGCTGGACGGCCGGGAAAACGATTGCTAGACCATTAGGTACCTGAGAACTCTAAAGTCCAACAACTGACTTGCTAGTATAGCGAACTATAGGAGTAGAGACACGCTACTGCGACTGAAGCGCTAGGATCAGATACAACGCTCCAGGCAATAGATACAACAGTGGACTGAGCCCTCTGAAATCTAATGAAGCTAGAGGTCTAGGAAAACGACTGCGGAACTGTTAGATACAACTCTAAACTCCGACGACTAACTTGCCGGTATAGCGAGCTAGTCATCTAAGGAGTAGAGACATACTACCGCGACTGAAGTGCTGGGATCAGATACAACTCGCTGGGAAATAGATACGATATTGGACTAAGCCCGCCGAAATCGTACCAAGCTAGAGGAGGTCTGGGGAAACGATTGATAGACTGGGGATAGAACTCTAAACCCCAACAACTGACTTTCTAGACAGCGAGCTACTACATGTATCTAAGTAGTAGATACGTACTACTGCGACTGAAGTGCTGGGATTTGATGCAACGCTCTAGTGAATAGATACAACATCGGGCTAACGATACCAATTATCCGAGTATTAAGCAGGACGCGAGACAAGCGACGCTAATATTGCAAGTGATAGTGACGACAAGTTACTAGACCATTGACGGTAATATCCTGGGGAATTTATACGAGTCTAGACTGACAAGGGCTGAGCTTCGCGTGCTTGATACGACTTCGAACGCCCCAATGCCATGCTAGAGGTAACACACCTACAACATACAGTATCTTCGATATGTCTAGGGCTGACCGTAGCTGGATGCTACGTGGCCACAGTCCGTCGGCTGTACAGATTGGGATCACTACAGTTGCACCCTTTTTCCAGACCGCTCATTGAAGCTCTATGGGTAGCGCGAAACCACCCTTGTTCAGTGTGTTCATTCAGGCACACTGCGCTCTCGAAAGCTGGTCGATGTAACTCTGAGAGACTGAACCCGTGCTGAAGTGCACCTGCTTGTGTCTGCAAACACTCCTCACCCAAGAGCAACCAGCAAACATGTCTTCAGTATCTACGGAAAAGAGCTGTTGGAAGGACTCAGCTGAAGAGGAGCGCCTGTTGCGGGCAGAAAAAGCGGAGTTGCAATGTACAGAAGACGTGTCGAAACGGACGAGAAGAAAGGGAAGACAGTGGCACGTCTGGGGATTGTGTGCGAGTAACACGGTCTTTGCGGCCATCTCACTCTTGCTGGCTATGGCACAATACCGACGAGAGGAATGCTCGGATCCATCAATCACAATCTACTGTAGGTGACTACGAACATTTTCCGTTAACCGTTATTGATTCATGAACAGCTCCGGCGAAGGAGGCGGTCACATATGTCCAACATCGCTACGAAGCTGCACTCGCGAACAAGACTGCCTACATGGGATTCCCCGATGACGAGATGGACCAACGCTGGCTCGACCTCTACGATTGTAAGTGCAAAATCATGAGTCTTCTTGTGTGTGTGCATTCCACAAACCAAAACTAAACCCTCCCTCCCTCCCTCACAGTCGGCATCTCAGCCATTTCCAAAGCAGAAGCCCAACAACTCGCCGACCCAACCATCGCCATCCCCGGAACAACAGACAAATATCTCGTCCAACTGGAAGTTTTCCACAATCTCCACTGCTTGAACGATCTCCGCAAACTCCTCTATCCCGAACGTTATCACATGTTAGAGAAAGCCACCCTAAAAAACGGCACCATCGATCGCAACAGTTTCGGTTTTCGCCATTGGGATCATTGCATAGATTCCTTGCGTCAAGCACTCATGTGTAATGCCGATATTTCTCCTACTTCTTTTCACGTCAATATTCCTTTTAGTCGCGGTTTCTTGTAAGTCATTCCCCCTCCCCATCCACTAACCCAACTAACCCACCCCTCCTCTCCTTCTACATACAGCCCCCGCCTCACAACCACGCACACCTGCAAAGACTACTCTCGCATCCAAGAATGGGGCCACGCACACCAAGCTCCACCCCACAATTTCATGATCAACGACACGGAAACTCTGCAGCAAATCATCGACGAGTCCGGTTTTGATCACTCTCCAGAAGAAAACGTCCAAGGCCTGTATTGGATGTTTCCCGGAGATTTGTTTTTTAAATATTGGAGAGAACATCCGTTTGAGGGCGAGAGGGAGAGGAAACAGTTGTTTCCTAGTTTTAGGCATACTTTTTTGGATTAGCTTTTGGGGGGACCGGGGGGGATGGATGATGAAATGAATGATTTTTTTTTTTTGCTGCCTGCCTGCCTTTCATGTCACAGATAAGGGCCTTGTTTGCTGTGTTGATAGGTATAGATATATTGTATATCGATGGTTGATATATTGTTCTCACCTTAAAGAATAGTTCTATCGATTAAACGCTCGTATACCTTCGTTTTAAATATCCAAAAATTATCTAAATACCTAACTATGTAACTCTAACTCTACGACTAGATACGCACCAGATTAGGTTAGGTACCTTACCTCCTAGTTCAAGCGTATACAGATTTTTAGTTTCTCAATCTCAGGTACTATCGGAAATTTACGGCATGGGATGGTACATATTATTGTATGTAATTGGGTAGAACCGTCTAGAAAGATAGAAAAGTAGGTAGGTATTGATAGGTATATGTATATATAATGTTGTAACTTGTACTTTAGCTCTAGCTACGCGGCTACGTACCTCGATGTAACGATGAAATTTGATGATGTAGATGGTAGAATTTAGATTGACAGATATATCGGACGAGGTACCTACCTTACTGAGTAAGGTGAATGGATAGATGGATGGATTCTGATGACCGGATTGATCAATTTCACAACAGAAACACTTTTGCAAAAATATATTGTAAACCTCACTTTCAATTCTTCTTCATAACAAAAAACTACAATTCCTCACCCCGTCTTCGTCCCATCCCTCATCCTCTCCCCCTCAGGATTCCACCACTCAAACTCCCTCCAAACATCCTTAAACGCTTCCTCCATAATCCACATCCCTTCAAACTCCCTCGGTTTCCTCAACTTATAAAACTCCTCCAACCCAACCCCATTCCTCTCCTGCCAATTCAAAACCGCGTCAAAATTTCTACAAGTCTTGGTCGTATTGAAATCGGGAAAAGGTTGCAGGAGAGAATCGGTCCAGACGTGCGTGTAAACGTCGACGGAAGCTTGACACATGATGTTTTGGAGGAGATAGTAGATGCAGTGTGAGAGATGGACTTGGTGGAGTTTGGTGGAGTGTTCGAGGTCGGGGTATTTAGATGCGTAGTAGTAGTTCCAGTGGGCTTCTCTTCGGAGGCTGAATATATATTGAGAAGGGGGGTTGGTTAGTTGATGTCTTCTTCTTCTATTTGAGGTGAGGGGAAAGCAAGATCTTACGCGTCAAGACAGTGGATTTGATGAAAGACGTCGATTCTTCCCGCGTAGGATTCTCCTAAACCAAACGATTCGGGATATTGGACGGCTTCGGAAGGATCTTTTCCTAGAGCAATGACTTCTTCTTTACTGAGAGCGATGGGCTGTTCGTTGGAAATACGTCTCCAAGCACGATCTACCTCAGGACTAGGGTCGTCTCGGAAGATCTGGTCGGTGGGAGAGGGCAATAAGGTGGCATTCATGCGCTTTTCCACAAAGTCGATTTCTAAACGATCGAAAATGGGAGCTTTGCAGCGTGTTAGAAACGTCAGGTGTCGTTGGTTGGGAAGATGGGTGTGACACTTACAATATCTGGCTGTTCGTCTCAGCGATTCTGCCATACTCGTCTGGAGGGAGTTCTGCACGGAGGATGTCCATAGGATGAGCAGACTGGTCACGAAGAGTCCGAGATTCAGATAGGTCCAAAGCTGTTGCCTCCAGCCACTCGTCTTGGTGATATGGCCAGTAGAAATTGGCAGTTGTTCGTACTTGTGTTGTTGTTTCCACATCTTGACCGCAGATGAAGATGATAAGCCAAGATGTTCACTTCAAGGAACATAGGCTGGTATCAAAGTGAAAAGAAGAGGAGCTCATCAGGTGTTTGGCGTGAGTACAGACGTGATGCTAGACTCGTGATTCCATATCGTTCAATCAACGACAGTGACGCTTTTCCATCACCGCAGCTTTCAACGTTACATCGGATACATGACCCCAGAGCCTTCAATAACAGGGGGGTGGTGTGACATTTCCTCGGTACTTGTCGTCTTGTCTCTTCTATGTACCTCTGAGGTACATACAAGTAGCTGGTATACACTGTTTCTGCAAGCGCTCTAGTTCACTTTATTAGTAGAGGCGGTGTCCATCCCCTACGCATTCGACGGATCAACTCCGCTACTACTGTACCTTACATAAGCGTACCGCAGGGGAGAGAGAGAGTCAATTCTCGCCCAACTAGGGACTGCTACTAGGGCGGTAAGATCAGGTACTTAAGGTACTGTACCTTATCAGAGACTGCTACTAAGGCAGTATAGTACTTCTCTAAACCAATTAAGGGTACCGCAAGGGCAGCTCTTACACTTCAGCAAGGATAAAGTAGTAGTACATAGCCCTCAGACCTCAGACCTAATTCACTTTGTTAGAAATTCTAGAAAGGCATCTCACCCTATCAGGAACACTGCTACAGAGGGGTAGCACTTCCCTTTTATCCAATCGTAGTGCTGCTCTCTCAACTCCGATCGATCGATCAAATAAGACTCCCTTATACAACCTGCAAGTCAACCTTCAAAAATTCAACCTCCAAGCTCCCTAGCGAGAGAGCATCTTCCCAAGTCGACCGTTAGAATCAAACCTGTCTTACCTATTCCGCCCTCGAAGAGGTAGCTAGAATATCAATCGGTCAATCCATACCTTACTCTATTGCTATAGAATCAACCCAAAGCTTCCAGTCGCCCTATCTGATTTGGTAGACTTGGCCAAAGTTCGGGTTTGGGATCCTTGCAATCACTACAAAGCGCCGTTATCTATACATTGAGCCTGATGAAAACTTTATTGCATCCTCCTTCGTACTACTCACAACACGAATACGGTCCACTTATGCTCGTAGCGAGTCGCTGCATTAATCCAGACATGTTATGAATATTACAGCCGAAAGTCTCGTTTACATGCCTACTCCCACTCCCACTCCCACGCCCACGCCCACGCCCACGCCCACGCCCACTCTCACGCCCACGCCCACGCCCACGCCCACATGCCTATATGCCCACCACCTGTCGCGCTCTCTGCATCACCGTCCCACGTGTGACTTGCAAGTCTGAGTGACAAGTTTCTCGTCAATGTACTTCTGTATCTCGTTGACACGTCTGTATGCGAATACCGGGAGAGATTGCATTCAATCATCCCAATATGGTGGCTCTTCGTAATACATGTGGCGGCGTATATTCTTCGGGATCTCTGCCAACAAGGGATCCTCCATCCAGTCTTGGGCTGTCCATACAATCTGGTGACAATGGTATACCGTGAACTTGTCTAGCTTGGCCACCATGGGATCTCGTGCCAGCAGTCGTATGGCACCAGCTAGGCGAATATCGTAGTGCAGGATGGTCAATTCGCGAAGTGACTCTGGCAGGAGACTTGCAAGGCCTGCTTGTTGAAAAGAGTCATCTCCTTCGCGATGGGAGCTATTGCCAGGGTCGAAGCCTTCAATACCAACAAGTGCGATGTCAGAGATTGTCAAGACCTTCAGCGTTCCTAATCCGCATAGGGACCGGAGAGGAGTGCCATCCCACCCGGGGAATGGTGAATGGAGGTAGTCCTCAGTGCGGTGAAGGATTTGCAAGGTTTCCAGGTTTTCAAGCTCTTCCAAGGCATTGACTAGAATTACCCAATCTCTTTCCCAGTCGTCTATTTTTTTTGCGTCGAAGTACTGGCGAAGTAACCATCGATTTGGCCAGCGAACCGTCAGTGATTTGAGTCTCGGACAAAGAACCAAGAGAGCCTCAAGGTAAGTCATGTACCATACTATGAGAATTTCAAGAGACTCCAGAGCACTGTCGAACCTCTCCGGGAGGTCCAGAGTAAAAGGGTGCTCTTGGTCGAAACGCCCAAGGCGCGAGATTACGAGACTGCGGAGTGAAGGAAGCTGCAGAAATACCATGATCTCGGCCAGCGAGAGACCACAACAGTGCTGCCTATCGATCACATCATGGAGCTCGATATTCTTGACAGTGCAAAGGCCGGGACTTTGGCCAAGACTGGACAGGGTCCGAGCGAGAATGTCATCCTCTTTCCAGTGCCACCTGATGTAAAGCTTGAAGGTCCCGACCGAACTTCTTGTTCCGAGCCTCCGACACAGCACAATTAGAAAAGCAATGCTGCCAATGCTGCCAATGTATCTGGGGTCGGCAAGCGCTTCCAAAATGGGCTCATAGCAACTTGCGTCCAAGCCACTCTGGCTCAGTGCCGTTCGGCAAAGTCCCATATGATCGCGAAGGGGAAAACATGATGGTTTGATCATCCTTCCAACATACTGGTGCAACGTATCGACGTGCGAGAGCAGTGTGGGGTTGCAGAGTATCGCTATACAGAGCTTTTGCAAATGTTCAGGGCGGCCCTTTCCATCGACATCAAAGCCAATCGTTTGATAAAGGCGGGGAGTTGCTAGCCGGTACCCGTTCCTGTTCGTAAGACACAGAGCCCGGAAATTGGCTGTTCTATTCGACATGAATCCATCCAGCCAGGACAAGATTTGGACGTGGATCTCGTCCGGTAATCGATGGGTGAGGAACATCGTCTGACAGTGTACCCTTGAATGGAGGATGATCTTGTGGGATTTTCGATGGACAACCGGAATGTGCACTCTGCTTCTTGACAATAGCGAGTAGATCGTGCGAATGAGTTCTCAGGAGTGAGTAGACCGGTGTAGATGAGGGAAGCTACAGAGAGGCAGCGTTCAGTATGGTTCTTTTTATGTTTCGGCAATGGAGTTTTTGTTGATGGAGGCACAGCAGTGCTGTCACTGCCGTCAGCGCCTACTGTTGTCGCTACCGTTGGCGCCTACTGCTGTCACTGACATGGGCGCCTACTGCTGTCGTGCCATAGGCTCCTACTGATGTGTCTCTACGACAGCATTGCTGTGCCTATTGCTGTGCCTTCACTGCTGTGCCTCCGTGTTCCGGAGACAGCAGCAGCCGAGCGCGGCACGGGAATCAAATCTCGCTAGCAGAATGCCTCCGGGCAGTGGGATCTGAAAAAAGAAACGCATTGTAAGGTGCTGGAATTCGCTTTTCCGGCTCGTTGTTAGGTATGTAGGTAAGGCACAATTGTAAAGTCGGGTTGATTGTACATTCTTGGGGGAGTGTCGTTTGTCTCACTAGCTTCGGATCAGGCGAATCTTTCAGCCGAGACGTTCCCTAGGTACTTCCAAGTTTCTAGGTGGTAAGGTAAGGTAGTTCATCACCAGCCTGTCTCTAACTTACCTGACCACACTCTCTCTACACACGAACCCATGGCTTCATCCATCGACGACCTCTTCCGAAGACCCAATCTCCCTCCCGCCTCCAACAAGCGCAAGTACGAGGCGTCTGACGCGCAGGAAGTCTACAAATCCACAAAACTTACCAAATCTTCTTCGCCAAATGGCCACACCAATGGCGCGTCCGTAAAGGACGGAAACGAAGATGATAACGATGATGATGAGATGGAAGCTGGGCCCGAGCTGCCTCCTGACGACGATGAAGGCGACGATGAGGATGGAAATTTCTTCGGCTCGGGCATGACGCAGAGCGCAACAGAAGCATTGGACTACATCGATCAGGCAGATGGACCAGAAGAAGCTTTGCAAGAAGAGAAGATTGATTCGGTCTGGTTGAGGCGATTGACCAACTCGTTTGAAAAGAAAGTCACGAGAAATGCAGAGTTGAGGGCGAAATATGAAGGCGATCCGGCAAAGTTCATTGATAGCGAAGCGGATCTTGATGCTGAGATCAAGAGCTGGAGTCTGCTAGGTGAACATCCGGAGCTCTATGCAGAGTTTGCTGCTGAGGGAGGAGCTGCGGCAAGCTTGGTTGGGCTATTAGCGCATGAGAATACAGATATCGCGATTGGAGCTATTCAGATATTGGCTGAGCTGCTAGACGAAGACGTGCAAGCCGAGCAGGAGCAGTGGGATGCGCTGGTTGCTGCGCTACTGGATGCGGATCTACTGGAACTGCTTATGAGCAATCTGGGAAGACTGGATGAGGAGAATGAGAGCGATCGGAGCGGTTTATACCACAGTCTGGAAGTGCTGGAAAGCTTGGCTGGACAGCAGGCCATAGCAGAGAAGATTGGGCAGGAGAAGGTGCTGATGTGGCTGTGCAATCGCATCAAGGTAGTTGAGAAGCCAGTAGGACAGAACAAGCAGTATGCAGCGGAAGTGCTCCAGGTCTTACTGCAGTCCTCTCCTCTGCTGCGGAGGCGCTTGATTGTGGACATTGATGGCGTTGATCTTTTCCTTCAGCTGCTCGCGGCTTACCGGAAACGCGACCCAGCCAAGGATACTCCGGAAGAAGAATATGTCGAGAACCTCTTCGATGCTCTAACGTGCGCTGTAGACGAAGCGGAAGGGAAAACCAAGTTCGTAGAAGCAGAAGGAGTAGAGCTTTGCCTTATCATGCTGAAAGAAGGGACGAAGAACATCACCCAGCGCGCTCTTCGAGTCTTGGACCATGCCACAAACGGTCAAGGAATTGCTCCCGCCATGGTGTGCGATAAGATCGTGGAGGCTGCAGGTCTCAAACCGCTCTTTAGTGCCTACATGAAGGGCAAAGACGCAGCTAACACCGAACACCTGCTTGGTATCTTCTCCGCCTTACTGCGCCTTCTACCCGGTGATTCCGCAGCACGGATCCGTGTGCTAGCAAAGTTTACAGAGAAGGACAATGAAAAGGTGATGAAGCTGATCAAGCTTCGCAAGGACTACGCTTCACGTGTTTCAAAGGTCGACAAAGAGATCGCCCAAGAACAAAGGAGTTTGACGGATGAGGAAATGGAGGAGAGAATTGACGACTGGTTCTCACGCCGACTTGATGGAGGTCTGTTTTGTGTACAAATGTGCGATGTGATCTTAGCTTGGCTCGTCGCGGAGGACCAGCAAATCAGGGAGCTGATGTTGCAGGAATTCCATGGTGGATTTGGCATGATCAAGGCTTCTCTCGATGAGCAGATGAGGGGCCTTGGAGGTGGGAGTGAAGAGGAACATGATACGAGAGAGATGCTGGAGACATTGATTGGTTTTCTGGATGAGCAGAGGTAGGGCGAGGCACGTGAAAAGCGAAGCACCCTCATCAGCCTTTGCATCACTGGAGCCTCTCGCCGTCCGAACCGAAGTCTCCAGCTCCGATTGTCTTGAATAGCGCGCCTTTCCGTGCTGTTCTGCTAAATTTGCCTTATCAACGTGTAGTGCCTGCTAGCGGATGGAGGTATGCTTGCATCGGTACCCGAAGCAGGTGAAATGACCTAATATGGGAGACCAGATATATGTACTTAAGGTAGCGATGTGCTGAAGGGATCTTGTGGCTTGCGCAAGTGAGCACTGTATCTGTATTTGTATAGTGTCTTTATCGCAGACGAGAGCAGGAAGTGATGATTGTGAGTGCATGTGAAGGTGGTGCAAGTGGAGGCAGAGTGACCTCAAGCGAGGAGGAGGAATGAGGTGAAATTGATTGATCCGACTCCGCTTCGGCACGTGCTGGCGGGGCACACTCAGATCGCGTCATCATCAGCAAGGTGGCGACCTCAGGAATAATGCCCACTCCCAGCTCAGCTGAATAATTCCATCTCTAGACTCTCGCTGCTGCACTACTACTAGTACATGTACCTTTATCCTCTGTGACTTGACATCTGTATTGACAGTATTGCCCGCGCATTTGGAAAAACCGTCACACACTCCTACTACACGCACCCTTTCTTCGAGGTACGTAACGCGCACCTTCCATCTGGTTGTACGCTCTTTCCTGAAGCGGCAACGACTCGGCATCCGCTCGGCTTCATAATCTGCTTGCAAATCCAATATCGACTAGAAAGCTCTCCCTGATTATTACTGTCTTTGACAACACTGCGCGACCACTGTTCACCTCACTACCACTACCACTACCACTACTACCGTACATATACCTCTATCCCCTCTGTCTCTCTCTCGACCACACTCCCATTGATGTCTTCAGCATTGCGCCGAACTCTACTCACCACGCGATTCACAGCTCCCAACACCTTCCGAGCCACATACCAACCCATCTTCACCAACTTCAGACCCTTTTCCGTCACATCATCCACCATGGGTCAAGGCGTGCACAACCTGCAAACCACTGCGGAGTACAAGACCGCCATGGACGAGAAGGACGTCCTGCAGGTCATTGACTGCTACGCGACCTGGTGCGGTCCTTGCAAGGTGATTGCGCCACAGGTCAGCAAGTGAGTACCTCGCCTCATTTCTCGATACATACATACATGCCATCTGTTTCGGTCCGCCTTCGCACATGCTAACCACCCCTCCTCTCATCAACAGATTTGCAGACGAATTCCCCGCCGCCAAATTCTACAAAATCGACGTCGATGAGCTCCCAGAGGTCGCGCAGGAGTTGGCCGTTCGCGCCATGCCTACTTTCTTGCTCTTCAAGAACGGCCACAAGGTCGGTGAGGTTGTCGGTGCCAACCCACCTGCTCTCAAGGCTGCCATTGAGAAGGCCTTGTAGGTGGAGAAAGGAGAAAGACATCTGCGATACGAATTGGGCATAGAGAAGGTGCGAGACGTGGTGGAGCGCACACGCCAGTGAGAGAGATACCATAATACCACTACCACTACCGGGTGGGTGGATACGTGGGCGGATGGATAAGTTGACGCATTTTCGGTCCCGATCGTACGGTCGCGGAGGACATTAGATGAAAATCGAAATGGAATTGAAAACATCAAGCTCTCAATCTCTTCCTCTCTCTCTCCCTCTACCATCATATTATCATGATGATCATCGTCATCATCACCCGATAGCGATAGGTAGCAAGCAAACCATGACCTAACAGCCAAACCAGGCAACACCAAACCCAACAACGAAAAATCTCCTAGCCGCGGTAGATTCGAGAAGAAAGATACGAGGACCCAGACTGTACCTACATACATATCCATACATGTAAACATGGGTCTTGCAAGATACAGTCCATACATGTAAGTAATGTACGACCTACCTACCTACATCAGGCTACATACATAAGGTACCTTACATACCTTACCCAAAGGTAGGTAAGGTAATTATGCATTTACTATACACTACCTACCTACCTTATGCATACATACCTACCTACCTGTAGGTAAGGTATGCATACCTAGAGGTATCTCAAGGTAACCTTTAAGATCAGGTACCTTAACATACCTTACCTATGAAATCCGGGCACGTTCTGTATAGGTAGGTAAGATAGGTAGTTTTCATTCGTTTCTTTACGCTTTCATTCATTTACTTATACGATGATTGTAATTCTTCATTTTAATACTACCTGGTAGGCTGGCATAGGAGGTATTGCATTTTGGAGGGTAGAGATATCCGATTAATCTGCTTTTTTTTTCTTTTTCTTTTTATTCCTGGTATCTACTATCTCGTATCAATCTCTTTATCTTTTCCGTTCTTTTAGGGACGGGGATAGAGGAGGAATTGTGTAAGAACGAAGAAAGAAGAAACACTAGAAAAAGAAGAAGAGAAAAAAAAGAAAAAAGGAAAAGAAAAGACGAAGAAGGAATTTTTCGTTCAAGTCGACAAGAGAGGAGGAAACTTTGTGTCGTCTGTGTGGGTAAGTAACCTACCTACCTATTTATGGGTAGGTATTCCTTGAGATTTGGTTTTTTTTTCTTTTTGTTGTTCTCTTTTTCGGTTTCAAGAATTGTGTTTGGATTTGATCGGAAGTGATCTGATCTGATCTGACATCTTTTCATTGGTGCTCTTTCCTCTCTTTCTCTCTCTCTCTCTTCTCTCTTGCTTTCTCGCTCTCTCTCTCTCGCCCTCTGTCTCTCTCTCTCTCCTCCTGATTCTCCCCTGTCTCTCCCCTTCTCTCCCGCGCGCGCAGTCTGTCGAAAGTCAAAAGCATGCGAACACTGCAGAACAAAACTCCCGTTCCTCCCGTTACAAAGCAAGTGGTATCTTGGACGAAAACAAGTAGATTCCGGATTTTTTCTCGATAAGCTATGCGGCGCATTGTCGCGAGGTTTACCAAGGGAAAGCAGCGATGATGCTGGGTATAAGCGCACTGTGATAAATTTCTTCGTTAGCAATTCCCGTGGAGCATGTCGGGACTGTGAGTGATGTCAGAAACATACCTAACTGCCAATGTGGCTGCGATTCCGGTCAGCGCTCTCCTCCTAATCTTCTCTTTGCGGAGCTCCACTTCCACTGGTCTCGCTCGGGCGGCTGCTCGCGACGCTGCCTCGGCTTCGATCTCATCTTCCTTCTCGACTACCTCTTCAATCTTCCGTTTGCCTTTCTCGCGCGTGATCGTGCCATCAATCTTTCTTGCCTCTGCAACCATCTGTCTCGCCTTTTCGAGCATCTCGTCTGTATTATCTGGAATGTCCAGGTTCGGGTGGTTGGAAGGCATTTCCACCTTGAGCTTCACATCTTCCTCGCCATTGGCGCCTGTGGTCGTCTCCACTTCGAGTCGCACAGTGTCCTTTGGCGGTGCGGTTGTTCCGTTCACGGTGGTCTTTGGCGATGCGGTTGTTCCGTTCACGGGCTCCACTGGCGCCACGACGACGGGTTCTTCGGGCTCAGCAGTTGTGCCGCGGGTTCGTCGTGGCCTTCTAGGAGTGGCGATCTTGCGCGGAGTCGCTTTGGCCTTGGATGGTGACTCGGATCTCATGCTGCGCGCACCTCGTGTTGTGCGTCGGCCTCCGCCCGGCGTCTTTGCGCCATTCGTGGTTTCAGTCATGTGGAAAGGTGGTGGTGACTTGATGGTCTTTTTCGGGTCGCTGGTTCCGTGGATGATTGGTTCCGGGTCGAGGAGCGCTTTGATCCAATGTCTGATGCCGTATTCATCGGCGAGGTCGAGCGCTGTGAAGTAAACATGAGCATCTGGCTGCGCCCGCACCCGCATTGGGCTGCTTAAAAAGTCGGGAGTCATGTCACACACCTTTCTTGGGGTCAATCCATACGTTCCCGGCGACCTCTTCGCTAGAAGCCTCCTCCAAGCTCTTGATGTACTCTTTCTCCAGTGCCTCTTCTTCCTGTTGCGCCCAGGGAAAAGCAGCCTTATACATGCCCGTTGCGCTGATGAAGCCGTCACTTGCGCGTCGCTATTGTCCCACTTTAGCCTTCACCTCATCATTCGTCAATGCGCCATCGCACGCGCGGGGTGTCCACGTACCATCAAAAAGTAGGCCTCTGGGAATTTGCGGTTCGTGCCTCGCAGGAAGATGCCGCTGCCCGTCAGGTCTTTGGGTAAGGGTACGCGCAGATGCGCATAGTCGAGGACACCCAGGTTTTCGAGCTTGGTGGCATTGGAGGTGCCAATCTGGCCCGGCTTCACTTTGAGCTCCGTCTGTCCCAAGCACCGACGCTCCACGAGTATCTCATCTGCAGTGCGCCAACCGTTAGTGTGTCTGTTCACGCTGTATTCGCCTCGCGACAACGCAGCGATGGTCCGGAATGCGACGACGTACGCGGTGGAGAGCGCTCCTCTGCCAGCATCATGTTCTGTTGCTCGGGGAGCGCATGCTGACGCTCAATGGATGGGGCCATCGTGTCCGACGCGTTGGAATGTCTCTGTCGCTCTGTCTCTTATCTCACGCGGTCGATGTGGTTGTTTTGCGCGCAATTGTCGCGACTCGGGGCGAGATGGGAATGGTCGGCTCTCTGAACACGTGGACCACGCGACCGGGGAGCGGTATGTCGCCTCAACGTCGTCGCGCAACGACCACTCTAGTAGTACAATAAGGCAATGGGGATTATATAACGAGTACAATGGTAGAAGTGGAGGGGGAAGAAGAAGAAGAAGAGGGACCAGTCGTCACGGATGTGTTGCGCGACAAGGATGCAGTCCTTTGCGAAGGATGGAGAAAGGGAACCTGTGGACCTAAGCTCTGGGGGACGCCCGAACGCCTTTTGCCGTGCAGCTGGTCACTGGTCGATGATGGACCGAGTCAACCGACCGCAAATGACGAGAAAATCACGAGAAAATCACGAGGCTGGGCCTCAGGAAATTGCAACTGAAGACTCCGGCATTCATTCTGATTGTTTATTACCTACTTTTTACCATCTAGCTTCTGCTGCCGTCGTCTCATTCGTTCCATTGGTATGATTTTTTAATGTAGCGACAACAAATGCAGATGGCTGGTCAGCACTTCTTCCATACCTTACCTACAGGTAGCTGGCTCTCTCTCTCTCTACTGGCTCCATCCCTGCCATCACGGGATGGCTCAGATACCAGGTATCTGATCAAGGGAGTCGGCAAGGCTGAAGAATGCCCGCGCGAGTAATGGTCGCAATTAATTCCATCTTCTCATGACCGCACCGCACGAGAAAGTGGTCCCAGCAGTCCAAACACACTTGACACTTGACACTTGGGATGCTGCTCGCACTGCTGCCTGTCCGGTACAGGTACATAAAATGTCGTCCGCAGGGGATTCCAGGGCGGTGCAGAAAGACAAATGGAGGAAGGTGTTTGTTTCATACCTCACGAAATGTTGCTGACTGAAGCTTCTTGGCCCCACTTTGGACTGCATCTGTGCTGTGTTAGTTCTAGCTATTCACCGCAACAAACACAGCCAACAGCTGTACCTCGCCCCCCGACTACAACCACAGCGCACAATACACTACCTCTCCTCGTGCGGCACACTGCACTCTCACGACACCACTGTCGCATAGCAATCCTACTACCACAACTCGGACCGTCACCATGTCGGCGCCAAACAAGGACGACCTGGAGCCTGAGGTCACGGAGGGGTTCAAGGTGGGCGAGAAGAAGACGATTGACGAGTACCAGCAGCTAGGTGAGTTCAACCTGCTCTCGTTGGTCAGCACTTCCCGACAGGAACAGGTATATGGCCAGTCATAGCGAGGTGTTCACAAGTTGGCATCTCTCCGCGAATCTTGCAGACAGCTATATGAATTGTGGGCGGGCGGGCACGCAGTGGCCCAGAGACTACCTTTCAGAGTGGGAAACCAGTCAACTCTATTTGATCACACTTCTTCAACATTGGATTCCTCGCTACGACAATGCCCAATACTGCTTACTACCTTACCTACCTTCTCTTCTCCATGCCCACCTGCTCCAACTCTTAGCCTCTCTTCACTCAAAACGCACATAGCTGACCCGCCAATCCAGACCAAGGAGACGAATCTCTCCGCAAATACAAAGAATCTCTCGGACTTGGCGGTGGCACCCGCATTGGTGACCCCAACGACCCACGGCAAGTCATCATCAAATCTCTAGGTCTTGAAGTCGAAGGTCGTCCAGACATCATCATCAACCTCGAAAAGGAAGGCGCCCTCGCAGATCTCAAGAACCACCCCTTCACCATCAAGGAAGGAGCTACGTTTCGCATGAAGGCCATTTTCACCGTTCATCACCAGATTCTGAGTGGGTTGAAGTATGTGCAGGTGGTTTCGAGGGGGCCCTTGAAGAATAAGATGCAGGAAATGATTGTAAGTGTCTCTCATTTCATCCCCCACCTATCCTTCGTAACTACCTTACTGTAAACTAACGTGTCCCCTCCTCTCTTTTTCTCCTTGCAGGGCTCATACTCCCCCAACACAACCGAAAAGCCCACCTATGAAAAGAAATTCGAACCCGACACCGCACCCACAGGCATGTTGGGACGAGGCAAATACAGCGCCGTCAGCAAATTTGTCGATGACGATAAAGTGACTCATCTGGAATTCGCGTGGACATTTGAAATCAAGAAGGATTGGTAAAGAACCTAGGGGGTGATGCATGTGGTGGCGATGGCGGTGATGGTGTTGGTGTTGGTGTTAAGAGGTAATGTACCTTTGGTAGTAGCCAGCTACATACCGTAAGGTACAGTAAAGAGGTACAGTAAAGAGGTACAGGTACAGGTAGCCAGCCATAGGTACCAATATGGTACCTATATGCCTGATCTTTGCTTGCATCGTCGAGGAGAAGAAAGCCCTTTCCTGCTACCTACCGTACCTAGGTACCTTACCTTGTCATGAAGAATCAATCTCACACGCACAGCACCCAAAACTCAACCAAGAATGAATTGACCGAATTCCAATAGGGTAGAGTCTTGCCATGTATTGGCCCAAGTACGTGCTGCACGCTGCTGGTGACAAGATTTCAAGTATGTAGGGTCTTTTTATGATTGGTCGTAGGTAACATCTGCGTTAAATATCGAACTTGATACGTGGGGGTATCTCCAACTCATGGAATCTCGTGACTCTCCAGAAAACGCCCGCTCGAACGCTTCCACTCATGTACACATGTATCATAATCATCATCTCAGCAAATGTGGTATAAGGTAGATGAGACCAACATCCCGGCGCTTTTCTTCCGTGCTTTTTGTTTTCTCCTTTCAAAAATCTCCGCATCCCTCACAGAATGCGCAATTCAAGGCGTCCAGAAGCGATTTCCTCTGGATCATGCTTCCCATGACCGATGATACCGAGTATCCGTAGTTGATGATCCTAATCATCCGCATCTCCTCCTCTACGATACTTAAGTCCATGAATCTCACTGCCGAATACAGTCAGTACACTTTTTGCCTCTCATTCAAGAACCAGAGACAGTATCCGAGGGCTCCACATACTCAAATCTCTTGACCAGCGTCCCTTCTCCGCCCTTCTCCAGATCCACCATGTAGACATAGAAATCCCCTTCGCTCGTTGCCACCATGACATGTGGAACGCTATTGGCCATGGCCACCACACATCTTACAGGTTGTCCATTTGCTCCCCTGGGTACTCTTACCCAGGCAAAATCTCTTTGAGGTTCCCACATCTCTGTCACAGAGGAGGGGAGGTAGCCAGCGGCGCGTGACACAATGGTGGTGCCGACGTTTTGCGAGGTGCGGCGGACGAGAGACATGAAGCCTGCTTGGCGGGGCTGGGGAGCTGATGCGAGGGCGCTCGGGTCGCCGTCGAGGTTTTGTTCGGAGGATTCGATTTCGGATTGGATGGGCGATTCGCTCCGTTGGCGAGATGACGAGAATGAGCTGTGTCGAGGGGATGAGGGCGGTGAGATCGGACGCGGCGTGTTGCCGTTATTGGGGTTGGAGCCTGGTGGGGCGAGCTTGAAGATGTGGACCGTCTCTGTCGCAGACGAGACGCAGAGAAGGGTGGAGGTAGCGTTGAAAGAGATGCAGAAGATGCGGGCGGGCATACTTCCGCGGCGGAACTGATAGAGCTTCTTGCCAGAGGGAATGGAAAAGACGCGGATCACGGTGCCCTTTTCTGATGCGGTGGCCATGAGAGTGCCATCGTTGTTGAGAGCAATGTACGAGAGTGGCGACTGATGGGCTTGTATCACAGTCACCTCTTCCTCGCGACCCAGATCATAGAGCAGCACATCGCCGCTGACGGACTCCCTCGCAGCTGCTGAATTGGGCACATGCGCGGGCGGGGCATTCGTATTGTGTCCCGTCCTCTGGTAGTGGGGGATAGCGAGGTAGTTGTTCTCGGAGCTGGGTGATATGGCGCAGATGCCAGCTGGATTGAGAGGTGTGGGGTGCTGGAGCAGCATCTTCATGTTGCTGATGTCGTAGATGAAGGCGATTTCCTCCAGTAGCACCACGAGGCGCTTCCGGTTCATCTTGACAGCGACCACCATGCCGTGGAAGGTGAGCTCGCATATGGTCGAGTGTCTCTGCGTCCGCTGCTCAGTCTCAATAAGATGCGTCCGTTTATGCTGCGCTCCGTGATTGGGCGCACGCACCTTGGTATTAACAATGCGGAGGTGTCGCGGTGTGAGGGTCATGGCAACGAGGGAAGTCGAGAAGAGCTGCTCAACAAGAGAGATGTCTTCTTCGTATGAATGGTTGGTGAGTTCGAAGGGATCTGTGGTATAGACGCGCAGGCCGCGGGTGGTTGCTGTGTTTGGCGCTCAGTTCTCCTCCTGTAAAGCGCCAACGCACCCTTCGATCTCTTACCAACGGCCAGCAGGCTGTGATCCTGGTTGAAGGTGACATAGTTCAGCCCCGACATGGCGGCGGCGGCGGCGGCGAGTGTGATGGTGGTAGAGATGGTGGTGGTGGTGGTGGTGTACGACAGGATCTCGCGCTCCGTCTCATCGGGGGAGGGAGTGAAGTTGAACGAGAGGTATTTGAGAATGTGTGTGTGTGTGACTGGGTGTGTTGTTGTTGATCCAGGCTGTCTTCCACCTTGAGCTGTCATCACGCGCACTGCGGAGCTAGGTACGAACGTCACTTCTCCACTGCGCGTGTAGCCGTGGGATCCCTGCTCGCCGATAAACGATAAGGCGTCGGACTAAAAATACCTTAGCAGCGCAAGACCCAAGACGGTGCGAGTGGCCGAGTCGCCCGAGTGCGACGGCGTGATCCTTGAATTAATTTCGCAGGCAGAGGATTTTTGATGGAAGAAAATGGAGAGCCGAAGCCCTTTCCCATAATCCCATTCAGGCTCTGCGCACTCATAATAATGACACATGTCCCGTCATATACACTTTCGGTGATATACCAGCGCATGGCTGTTCTCGTTGTTGGTTGTCATCGTTGATGTTGTTATTGTTGTTGTCGTTGTCGTTGTCGTTGTTGTTGCTCCCTCCCGTCTCCTTGCACAAACGCACACGGGATCTACCTGTCTTGCATCTGCAGTGAGATCCACGAAGCCCGGTGGGAGGGACTGCCTTCTAGGAAGAGAGGCGATCCCTGCTATATCACTTTCTGCAGCAGCAACTATGGCTATGAACGATACACTCCCGACCGCACTGGCAGACTCTGCCGCTGAAACAAGGTCCGCACAGAGGAAGTTGTCACTCGTTCCAGATTCTCCCGTCCATGACGACCGTGACACCTCACTCTCGCTGTTTGACCATAGTCACCGATCAAATGGCAACAGCCTCGCTACCGACAGGAGCTTCAGCTTGCCTACCACGACCTCCAAGCTGAGACGGAGTAACAGCGTTCCTATGGCTCGCCAGGCTGTGGGGAGAGATCCCCAAAAGCAGCACCGCGATGAACTCATCATGGACACGAACAAGTCCTCCATCGTGTCCAAACGATCCGTCGAGAAGCTGTACTACGATGGCGAGCCCGAGTACTTTCGCTACTTTGTCAGCAAGTTCAAGCGACGATCTCCCCTCATCAATCGCGGCTACTGGTTGCGCATGAAGGCCATCGAGCATGGGGTCTCGCGATTCTTGGCAGAGCGAACAGCGAAGCGCAAGGTCGTGGTCAATCTGGGCTGCGGATAGTATGTATCTTCTTCCTTCACTCTCCTGCCCGCATCGTCCTCTTCCATAAGGTGCCTAAGGTAGGCAGGGCTCGAGCTGACCCCCGCCACAGTGATCCATTACCATGGCTGTTCCTAGGCAAGCAACCACTCCTGTGCCAAGACGCCACCTTTGTCGATGTCGACTATCCTGTCTTGATGCAGAACAAGATTGGAATCATCCAAAAGACGGAACCGCTCAAGGCATTGCTGCCCAAATTCACCACCACCGGCAGAGATAGAGGCCTTCTAGCCTCGAGCAGTCCGTACGTTGCTATTGGATGTGATCTGATCAATCTCGACCCCTTGCAAGACATATTACAGGACCATCTGCAGATCGGCAATGGAGATGTGGCAGTCCTGTTTACTTCCGAAGTCTCCACCGCATACATGACTGTCGACGGATCGCAAGCTGTGTTCCAGTGGGCAGCGACCTTCGACGATGTCCGATTCTGCTTGCTCGAGCAACACTTACCCGATGGGCCGGATCACCCATTCGCTGCGACCATGCTAGCCCATTTTGACAAGTTACGGACACCTTTGCGCGCCATCGGGACTATGGACATGATGAAGGCACGTTTCCGGGCAGCTGGTTTTCCTGAGAACGGCACAGAGATTCGATCGCTGTGGGAGCTGTGGTCTGATCCAACTTTTCTGACTGCCGAGGAGCGAAGGAAACTCGATCGAGTAGAACCATTCGACGAGTGGGAGGAGTTTGCACTTTTTGGCTCTCACTACTTCTTGCTATTTGCAGAGAAGGAGCCAAATAAGGACTATAGTATCAAGCCATATAGAGCCTCCCGGGCGTCAATATTCGCAGGCTCAGTACAGGGCTCTTTTGCGTCCAGCCCCACGGTCGGCAATAGTCCCGCGATACCACAATATCATTTCGGACCGGGAGACATGCTGCACACACACGAGTTACGAGAACCCCACGACTTCCGGCGTTTCGCAGTCGCGACACCACCCCTTCAGGTAGATGCTGCCGGAGACTCCGTCGGCCTTCACGGAGGACTGGGCACACAGGAACGACTCGAAACTTGCAATACTTACTCGCGGTTTGATACGACGCAGGCAATCACAGGACCGCCTCTGCGGACTGGTTTGATGTGCCACAGCATGACCAGACTGGGCAGTACCTCCAACTGTGTCCTGACAGGGGGTCGAACATCACCAGACAAGGCCAGCGCGGAATCGTGGCTACGACTCGACGGGAAGTGGAGGCGTGTACAGGATCTACCACGAGGACGCTATCGACATTGTGCTGTACCGCTTGTGCTACCCACAGACCCTCGCCCAGCTCATACTGTACTCATGTTTGGCGGCAAGACGAGCGAAGGACAAGTCTTGGACGAATGGCTGATCTGGACTGGTGAGACTGGCTGGCAACAAGTCACGGTGCAAGGTGTCGAAAAACCACCAGCTCGATTTGGAGCTGTGATGATTACAGACAACAAAGGCGGCGTGTCTGGCGTGCTCATTGGAGGCATGACCTCCGCAGGGCGAGTGCTGAACGACTTTTGGCACTGGACACTAGAGCCTGACATGACGCTGATCTGCAAGAATGTGACTGCCAAGGCGATCGCATTCTTGAAAGCAGATGGTTGTATTCTCGGACGATTCGGAGCACAGCTTGTGCGGTCGAATCGAGGAATTCTCATGATTGGTGGCATCACTGGCGCCCGCATGCTGACACGGCAAGACGAAATATTGAATATGAAGACGCTTCGACCGCAACCAATCCAAGGACCAAGACCACTTCTCGTGGGGCATACAGTACAGGATGTTGACGGCGGACTGATAGTACTCGGAGGAGGAGCCACGTGTTTCTCTTTTGGCACAACATGGAACCGCAGCTGCATACTTAACGAAGCTGAATCTGGCCAGTTTGAGATGCAATGGCGGCTTCATTCGACCTTGGACGGAGGCAAGCCCACTGCAGAGCAAAATGCAACATTCGTTGCATCACCAAGAGTCGCAACAACATCAGCCATGAATAGCGTTACATCAATCCCTGGAAAAATGCCTGAACCCTTGCAAATCTCTGAAGTGGAGACAACCCATGGTATCAACTTCTCGGAATACGTCGAAGCGGCTCGACCTGTTGCTCTACGAAAATGTCGCCTCGGACCATGCATAGCGACGTGGACAAATTACTACCTCAAAGACAACATCGGCGCCGACCGCAAGGTATCTGTACACTCCGCGTCATCACAAGCCATGGACTTTCAAAACAAGAACTTCTCATACATTACTCAAAACTTTGGCACATTTATGGACTCTGTCGAAAGAGGTGAACGCCTCTATCTCCGATCTCTATCAACTGAAGCTCCGAGCAAAGCGCCAACAAAACTCTCGGATGACTTCCCGTCCATAGCGAAGGACTTCCTCCTCCCCGATGAGCTGGAGGAATACGTGCAACAAAAGGCTCATAGCTCTCCCCTGCGGATATCCGGACCAGTGAACATGTGGCTCCATTACGATGTGATGGCGAACATATATTGTCAAATCCGCGGGCGAAAACGGCTGATCTTATTCCCACCTAGTGATGTAGCACACCTCGACTTTGCGCCCGGATCCTCATCCTCATCACTCGATGTCTTCGCTGCCGACACCGCTTCGCAACACCCTGGACTGAGTAGCACCCACCCCCAGGAAACCATCCTCGAGCCCGGAGATATATTATTCATACCTCCCATGTGGCCTCACACTACAGCGTCCGTGTCTTCACCTCCGGATAGGAACTACACAACATCGGTGGCTGTGAATGTGTTCTTTCGAGATCTGGAAAATGAGCATGCGTATGCCGCGGGTCGTGATGTCTATGGCAATCGAGATTTGGCCGCCTACGAGAAAGGTCGCAAAGATTTGGCGAAGATTGTCAAAACCTTTGAGGATCTGCCTGCTGGTGTTGCGAGATTCTATCTGGATCGACTGGGCCATGAATTGTTGCAGGAAGGGCAGAGGTTTCAACCTGATACGCCACCTGATGAACATGGAGGCAAAGGCAAAGGCGTTGCGACAACACCTCATTCTCCTGGTCCCCTTCTTCAATCGGAGAGTCCTGCCGATGCTAAGTCCTCTTCATCCTCTCACGGCCAGACAGCGAGTCGCCATAGCGAAGACGTGGCCTCGGGTATCAAGAGTGCTGCCGATCGGAATGAGGGCAGTTCTGGATCTGCTACGTATGCAAACGGCTCGACAGAGAGACCGGATGTCCAGAGCCCCCATGCTAGTCATGTTGCATCGCCGAGTGTGACGGAGAGTGGAACGGGCAGTATTGCATGGAGCAAAGCCACGAGTGGGACAATACACGATGTTTACGCGGAATTGGGCCAGTAGGAGAACGATGATCAAGAAGCGAGAGAGAGGGAGGACAATTGATGGGGTTGGAGTCAGGTGCATGATATGTGTGGATAGGACAGGAAGCGTATGTGATAGCAACGATTTGCAAGGTACATGTTTCTGGACAATTAGCAACAGTTTGGGGGGAGGGGGGGGGGGGCTTCATCATACATATAGCAAACTCAGGGTGGTACTCGGGGTGGTGCTCGGGGTGGTACTCGAGAAGTAGCGTGTTGTGTTGAACGGTCTCGAGGTTTTCATCAACCATCAAGGCTTCTCCTTTCTTTCTTGAGAAGGAGAGAAGGTAGGGGAGGTGGTAGGGGAGGGACAAGACGGTAGTTCTGTGCGAACCAATCGGTATAGGCTGAGGTAACCAGTGTCTTGGCGAATTCTCGAGCTTCGTCCTCCAATCGTTGCAACGTCATTTCTTTTACAAGAAAACCACCTACATTAGCTACTGGTACCACGCACTCACTGCAGCGCCTACTTATCCTCAAGCAGCTGTGATATTTCCCTTAGCGAGATCATTCCGACCATTCCTCCAACCTACCACCACCACCACCACCATCGACACAACCTGCGAGATACCCATCCCGAGTGCACTCAGCCGAGCTTGGGGACACAGCTCGCGAAGGAGCTGTACCTGACCTTCGTCTCAGCTATACCACGCGCACCACACCAGCCCTACCTACTTTCTCAATCCCCGGCACTGGCTCAGAGACAATAGCAAGCTCCTCTTCCACGCCACAACATCGTTCCCTTCCCTCGAGCAATGCCGGCAAGATAGCAGGAACCGGCGGAAATGGACGGCGAGTCCCAGGCGCAAAGGGACGCGCGCCTGCGCTCGCTGTGGGAGAGGCTCGACACGAAGAAAAAGGGCACACTCGATTATGAGGCTCTGAAACGGGGCCTGGGGGCAGTGAACCACCGTATGCTGCACCGAGCCGTGCGTAGAGGACAGACGCGCTAACCGGGAATCATCACATAGCACTCAAAGATGCGGACGGACTCATCCAGGACATGCTGACCGCATGTGACATCGACCGCGACGGCAAGATCAGCTACGACGAGTTTTGCCGATTCTGCACTGCCACGGAAAAAGAGCTCTGGCAGCTCTTTCAGTCCATCGACCAAGACCGTAGTGGGCGGTTAGACAAGGGGGAGCTGTCGTCTGCTTTCGAAAGAGCCGGCGTGACAGTATCAAAAACGAGGTTGGATCGGTTCTTCAGCTACATTGACAAGGATCGCGACGGGACCATCGACTTTGGCGAATGGCGCGGTAGGCACAGCACAACACAAGAGCCCCTCGAACTCTGCACCCCGCGCTCAGAGGACGACATGCTAATACACTTGTGCTTCCAGACTTCCTTCTCTTCATTCCGACCAACGAACCCGGCCTCTCTGCTGTCCTGTCATACTACCAAAATACCACCAAACTGAACTCAGAGGGGGATGTGCACCTCAGCGACGAGGCAGTACAGGGTCTAGGTACGATCATCACCTTTCTCAAGAGTTCGCTTTTTGGCGCAGTCACACAGCTGGTAAAACCATCTCAATCGCATACTGGAGGCGCGAACACGTCACCCATTTCTATGTGGGAGGGCAGCGAATCGCGACCACAAATACAGATCCCTCCCGAGACACACCAAGAAACTGCCGCAATCGATCCACACATTCCCGTCAAGCCAGTGCGGAGAAAAGAGCCATCGGTCAAGGAACAGCGGTTGCAGGAGGAAATTTTGAGGAAAAGAAAAGGTCCAGCGAAGCTAATGGATTTCGTGCCGGATGTAGGCTACTTCCTGGCCGGTGGTTTAGCTGGCGTCACTTCCCGAACCGCGACCGCGCCGCTCGATCGGTTGAAGGTGTACCTGATCGCGCAAACTGGGAGCACGAAAGAGACGGTGCAGGCGGTGAAGTCTGCAAAGCCTGTTTCTGCCGCACAACATGGTGTTAGAACGCTATGGACCGCATGCCAGGATCTGTGGGCTGCCGGTGGGGTGCGGAGTCTCTTCGCTGGTAAATACATTGCACCCGGGTGACGCGACTCAAGTGTCACTGACCCCCGATCTAGGAAACGGCCTCAATGTGATCAAAGTCATGCCAGAGTCGTCGGTCAAATTCGGCGCGTACGAGGTAGGCGGCTCTGTGCTGGTCATGGCGTGCCTGTAACCTTGCTAACCATGTGGACTAGGCATCCAAACGTGCCATCGCCAAACTCGAAGGTCACGACGACCCAAAGCGGATCAAAGGATCTTCCAGTTTTGTAGCGGGAGGAATTGCCGGCATGATCGCCCAAGCTACAGTATACCCTCTTGATACCCTCAAGTTCCAGATGCAATGCGAAATCGTTAAGGGCGGTGAGCACGGCACTCGACTTATTTGGCACACGGCAAAGAAGATGTGGGCACGGAACGGGGTGGTGGCATTCTATAAAGGCCTTCCCATGGGTCTGATAGGAATGTTCCCATATGCGGCCATCGATCTCGGCATCTTTGACACTCTGAAGAAGCGAGCTATCAAGAGAAATCGTGCGAGGAACCCGAGCATCAAACACGACGAAGACGCTTTGCCCAACAATTTCAGTCTGGCGCTCATGGGTGGATTCAGTGGGGCTTTTGGCGCTAGTATCGTCTACCCGCTGAACCTGTTGAGGACGAGGTTGCAGAGCCAAGGCACTTTCAGCCACCCGAGGACCTACACTGGAATCGTGGACGTTACAAGGCAAACGATCCAAGGAGAAGGCGTGCGAGGGCTATTCAAGGGACTGACGCCGAATCTTCTAAAGGTGGTGCCGGCTGTCAGTATCACATATGTGGTCTATGAAAACTCAAAGAAGTTCTTGCATCTGCAATAGACAGGGAAAGGAGGCCGGTACTGGGTGGCATGGATGTGATGCACAAGGGTTGCACATAGCGTTGATAAAGGTGGAGGATTGCTACTGCACTACTACTGAGATACCCTTTCGTAGGATATGGAGAGAACTGAACACAACAGAGGTTGGCTCCTCCTGTCTAACAGCAAACGGCCAAGGCGAAAAGGTAAAACGATTCGCGACAAAGTAGCTGATTTGCGTATAGAAACTGCCAAATATCACGACGAAGTTCCGAAAAAACGAGACAAACTTGATATTGTTTGCTCGTTTTCTATTAAGTACAAGAGCAGCGCCATCGACTTTCACGAGAACTCCTCCCCATCATCAGTACTATAAGATAAATCCACCGCAACGCAGAAGCACAATTTACTTCTTCCCATATATATCATGCGATGGGCCGCGTCTGCAACGCTCCCGCTCACCGGGCCTGCGACCCGTGTGCAAGAAACAACAAGGCAGGATGCCACAGCATTGGCCGCGTGAGTTCCGCTCCTGCGCTTCCTCGTGGATCTTCTGCTGACCCGTTTCCCAGGCTGTGCCCCCCGCCTGTCCAACAAGGTACCTGCTCGCCGTGCAGCGCCAAAAGGACGCATGCGACGCCCTATCGCGTGACCTCTCGGTAAGCGATTCAGCGACAACCAGACGCCTGCGACGCCCTATAGCGTGATCTCCCTCTGGGCCAGCGCTCCGCCTCCGCAGAGGAGTCACGGGCGTTGGCGAAGAGAAGATCGTGCATTATTGTCGAGAGGCATCGCATGTCTATATCTCTCGACCAAGATCATCGCTGGACGCAAGACGAGCAGGACGAAAATGGATACGTGGCGACTTGTCTGCGCTGCGCCAAATCCATTGCTCAGGGCCGAGTATGCAACGCCCCGGCACACCGAGCCTGTGACTCGTGCGCTCGGAATAATAAGGCTGGTTGTCACAGCGTGGGGCGTGTAAGTACCGAACCCCTCGTCGCTTGGGATCTGTGTAATGAATCGTACGTAGACGGTCCTACGGCTGTTAAATGGAGTTCTGGCTGTAACCTCGATGGTTCTGTAAGGTACTAACTAACTTCATGTCGTTTTCGTAGGTATAAAGACCTTTTTTTTCTTCTTTTCGTCCTGCTTCCTACCTGAGCAAGTTGGTCTGGGAGTGACAATTCGGCTGGATTGGAGATTGGATTTTGTTCTGTTATAGTTGAGGAAAAGGGCCGGAAGATGGATTGGTAGGTATCGCCAGATAATAAGATGGATTTTTTGGGTTGTTTCTGGGCTTGATCGTTACATCAGCCATCACCCTCCCTCCCTTTCTCCCTCTACTTCCCCTCCGGCCTCGATGATATAATCTATCTGTTATCATAAAGATACATTACCTGGCCTCCCAATAGATGGATCCCCGAGCATTATCCCAAGTTTCATCAGAGCAAATGCAAAATCTCACTCGAAGTAAGTAGGTAAGTTACTACATAATCAAGCTGGTTTACGCAATATATGTCTATCATTAATGAATATCTAGTTATGCTTGAATCGAAAGATCAAAAGAAAAACTGGGTGAACACTCCCCTTGAACCCTTATACTGTTTGTTTTTTTTTTCTTTCTTTTTTTCTTAGGAGCTCCTCTGCTGAGTTTCTCTCTGCTGTACTGCCTTCTCTTCCCCGTCGTTGGATCGTGCTCAATTATCTTTCGATCTGGCTGGTAGTGCTTCATTCCGATCCAGTTTACTTCGATCCCGATGCTGAACTTGATGAGTCCGAGTCCTCACTCGAGTCCTCACTCGAGTCCTCACCCGATGCCAATGCACCCTCACAGCTCGATTACTCTTCCGAGTCCTCCTCCTCCCCCTCACCCTCGCTCGACGAAGCAGCAGCACCCTGCTCCGGCCCAGCCTTGAACTTCATCGCAGCATCCTGCTTTTTCCCATTCGCATACGTCACACTCTCCAACTCACCAGTATTCAAACCCCACGCAATACTATCGAATTCCAAATCCAATCGATCGGCTTGCAATTGTCCAGCGTTGCGAATGAGATGGAAAATGTTGATGCCGTTTTGAGGATACACGCCGGCTCCGACGTGGCCGAAACTCCAGGACCAGACGAGTTTGTCGCAGCCGATGATTATGTCTTTGGTTTGGATGGATTGGATTGGGGGGGTGTCTGGGGGGATGAGGAAGGGGGGGTTAGCTGGAGATATTCATGCTCTGCACGGGGGAGGAGGAGGAGGATGGGTTGAGCTTACGAGTGATGCCTTGGAGATAGGCTTCTTTGTTTGGTGCAGAGACGCTTTCGACGCTGAGCTGTTTCCATTCCGTTAGCAGACTGTACCACGCTTCCATCATAGTAATAACAGGGAGTAGGAGAAAATGAAGTCTTCAATATAGAGAGACTCATTGAGATATTCCACTTACCTTCTTTCCCTGCAGCGAAAAAATCGAGTTCGAAACTTCCAAATACTGATCCGCGATCAACTCGTTCGCAGTCTGGTCAATATCGGGAGTCGTGTGTGAAAGAATCGAAATGAACTTCTCCAGCCATTCTTGACCTTCCTCGGGTGTGATACACTGCTGTCCTTGAGAACCGTATGTGGCTCCTCCCCCCTGGGCACCTCCGTATGATGGCGCTTCAGACTCGATGCAGCATTGAGGGCCGTGTGGTTGCCAACCGCCGCCACCGTGTGCTCCTTTTCCGTAGTAGTCTGGAGGAGAAGAGGAAGTCTTGCCGCTGTTGTAGGTCATTGGTTGGTCCTGTTTGTCGCCGGTTTTGCCTTGGTCCTGCTTTTTCTGGCCGTAGGTGGGAGGAGTCTGGCCGTAGGTAGGAGGTGGCTTGCTGCCTTTTTCTGGGGAATATGGAATTCCTCCATTCTTTCCTTGACCCTTTTCAGGTGTGTCCTCAGGGGACTTTGCGCCACCATTCTGGCCGTAGGTGGGAGGTGTCTGGCCGTAGGTGACAGGCTTCTTGTCGCCACCTTTTTCTGGAGAGTATGGAGTGCCTCCATTCTTTCCTTTACCCTTTTCAGGTGTGTCCTCAGGGGACTTTGTGCCGCCATTCTGGCCGTAGGTGGGAGGAGTCTGGCCGTAGGTGGGAGGTGTCTGGCCGTAGGTGACAGGCTTCTTGCCGCCTTTTTCTGGAGAGTATGGAGTGCCTCCATTCTTTCCTTGGCCTTTGTCAGGTGTGTCTTCAGGGGACTTTACGCCGCCATTCTGGCCGTACGAAGGAGGTGCCTGGCCGTAGGTGACAGGCTTCTTGCCACCATTCTGGCCCGTACCCTGTTCAGGTGTGTTCTCAGGAGACTTCTCGTTGCCCTTCTGTCCATACGAAGGAGGGGTTCCGCCGTATGTGGGAGGAGTCTGGCCGTAGGTAGGAGGGGTCTTGCCACCTTGTTCTGGAGAGTAAGGAGTGCCTCCATTCTTCCCTTGGCCCTGTTGAGGTGTGTCCTCAGGGGACTTGGCGCCACCGTAGGTAGGAGGAGACCCGCCGTATGTAGGAGGCGTCTGGCCATAGGTCTGAGGCGTCTTTCCGCCGCTCTTTCCTTGATCCTGTTGTGGTGTGTTCTCAGGAGACTGTTGACCATAGCTTGGCGGACTACCCGCGAGTGCGGTGGTAGAGAAGGCCAGAGCCGAAGCGACGAGTGCGAACTTCATGGTGAATCCGGAAAATCGGCGAACTTGTGAATGATTTTCAAAGGAGCGTGCTCTGCAGGGCCTTGGTGCTTGTAGGATGTTCTGAGGGAGTGGATGATAGATCTCTGGTCGGGCTTCATCAGAGTACTTATACTGCACATGATCTTCTCGGATCCACCTATGCCATGATGGGAGTCCTGGTCCGATGTTCTGTGCAGATTCGGCATTCCTGGTACAATCAATGGTTGTGAAGATCGAGCAGTCTTGATGTGACCTAATAGGCGACAAGGGTCGCCCAAATTTATTCCCATACTGAGCGCGAACTTCCGCGAAGATTTATTTGGACAGTTTCGTGACTACATGTATGTCCCAACTTGAGCTAGCAATAAGCTTCTTTCAGGGCTGATATGTGACGACGTGGATGGAGCTTCTGCCAAGATCACTTACAACGATGATTGCTCGAGCATCGCAAAGAGTGTGAACCGCCCATCGGGACATCTTTGCACGACTTTGATCCCCTCCTGGTCGAGTAGCAGTACAGATCAATCGTCCTACTGCTCAGCTTGAACTCTCACTATGAGATGAACGTCAAGTATCTGCAGAATATGCTGAGTGCCCAAGGTGATCTGTGATCGATTCGTCAGGCTCAAACACAACCGTGCTGAACGATGACAGAATCATCACGCCGAAGCCGATACAAACTTGGAAATGTATAACTTAACTGTAGAAACGCACCGCACAATCTGATGATGCAAATTCAATGATTTTTAGGGTTAATGTTTGCCGACTCATTCACTTGCGACACGGCAGGCGCCAGCAGCCGACCAACCCAATCAGGCCGAGACCGGTTCTCCGGACCTCTCTGCGAATGAATCTATTGTCAGAAATAGCTTGGTATCGGCACTTGAGCCGTGAGGAATTTTTGGTGCCTGCTTGGACTTCTTGGTATCGAGTAATCTGGATTCTGTTGCTCCACCGCTAGGAAATTCGGCCTTCATTTGTCGCATTTCCATTGAAACGACCAAATATCCGGACGAAAACCAGGGTTGAGATTATCAATTTCTGCTCAAGACAAGCGGACATTCTTCGCATTACCGTGGATAAAGACTCCACAAGATACACCATCAACAGAGTGACATACAGAGCTTTATCGTGCGAGCTCAATGTCGGTGGCAATGCGTATCTGAACAAGCTCAGCCAGTGCAGTCTCGAGACATCTGACAATCAGCATTGGAGATCGACCAAGACAGTTGCTTAGAAGATGTTTCTCTTGAAGAACAGAATTGAGGCCTGTTGATAGATGCCTTTGGAGGTAGTGCGGATAGCCTCAGTCGTAGGATAGCTGCAGTCGCCAGTCGAGGAGAGCGTATCTGTATACGCTGCTACAAATCTCGCCCGGAAGTTCGAGGAAGAAGAGCTTTCATCTTGCGTGACACCTCCAAAGTCGGCTCTGAAGTATCGTGTTGTTGTGAGTTTGTGATATCTGGAGACAGCATTGCCATCAAACAGACTCGCATAGGTGAGTCCAGCAGTATCTGCATTCGAGAGACCGTACGCCCATTCTTGCGATATTTTCCTGACACCTGACTGTGACCAATGTTGCTTTGCAAGATGCAAAGTACCTAGATTTGTTCCGAAGTCGTTATAGGAACCTTAACGCCGAAGATCTACCTGCCGCCGGGTGAATTTGTCGAACGGTAGGTATTCACTCAATGCCACGTCCTATTTATAAAATCTTGCGTCTGCACTAGTATAGCAGAGGAGCTATAACATAGCAACAAAAGTTGTCCCGTGTCCCAGTCGAGCAGGCTTCCTCTAATCAATCCCTTCTCTTGCAATACATACACTGCTCGACCACAACCGCTGAGCATCGACCGATGCCACCATATTGCAATGTACTTGCAAGCCTTTCATAGCTTGCTTGCATTGACTCTCAAAACCAGAAGGCCAAAAACAAAAGATGGAAATTCCTCCTAATCGACTGCTGCCAAGATGTAGAAACGGCCACGTCTCCAAATCAAATTCCAATGGGGGAGGGGCCAGAAATGCACACAAAAACAAAAAAAATCAGCAACAACGCAGGTTCGAACTGCGGACCCTAAGATAACTGCAATCTTGCAATCTCATGTGCTACCACTACACCATTGCTGCTTATTTGGATGTCAAGTAATGTTGTTTATATATATAGCTCATCAATCGTGAGCTGAGGCAAGGATACCATCAGATCCGAGTCCAGGAACAGCTCTTGTTTTCGTCTACAACGTTCCTTAGTATTGTTCTTACCTGTTCAGGAATACGAACTAGATTGCTCTCCCAACTCTCCCAAGAGAATACAGTAGTTCTCTTTGCAGCTTCACTTACCGCTTGGAATAGCCCAACTTGATCACAGGGAGCTGCGGCTCGGATTTGCAACCGAGGTTCTGAAGGGAGTGATAAATAGATTCTCAATAGACAGCCTCTTCATTGCTGCTACGTACTCCGTCAAATGTTCAACTTGCACGATCGTTTCTATATGCGAAACGAAACCACCCGCCAAAAGAAGAAAGTCTTATTAGGTATCTATACAGATCGAGAGATGCTCTCTCATGTACATCCATCGCAGCATCCATCCATCCCTTGACATTCTTTCTTCTCTCCAGTAGCCCACGACGGCTACCTGATTTCCTCCCAAAAATCTACCCATCTGGGCGCCGCCGCCGCCGCGTTCGCCGCCTACGCCACCAAGATGTCAAACGGCAGAGCACCCTCTGGCATGGTACAATCCCCCGACGCATGCTGATTCGGAAAGTACTCAGTCGGATTAATACTGCAAGTAAACTGACTGGTCCCATTATTGATTTTTCTGTAGCCGGTGACACTGCAAGCAGCAAAATTTCACAAACGAACAATTCGTCAGCCAATATGTCATGCATGCATCCCATCCCATCCCATCCATCCTAAGCATTGCATGTATAAGGTACACGTATAAATATATAAAAAAAAAAGAACAATACATACCTCCTACCCCTTCCCAAATCCTGCTTCACGCCCACAGTAAAATTCCCAATGGAGAAGTAGGGAAACAGTTGAAATTGAAAAGCACTCGTGCCATCATAGGATCCGGGAGTAGAATCGCAATTCATCCAAGTTCCCGTCGGGACGTGGATGGAGTAAGGTTGAGGGTTAGTCCAGCCGTTGTCACCCCAGCTGATTTGGCAGTATGCGGAAGATGAAGAGGAGGAGAACCTTCGTGAGGGAATTCCTTGAATGGCGAAGTTGATGTAGTAGAAATTGGTGCTGCCGCTGCCGATGGGTTGGTGGGTGGTCATGCTGGTGATTTTGAGGGGTGGCGAGTAGGCTAGTGCTGTGTGTATTGCTGTTGTTGCTGCGAGGAGGAAGGAGGTGAGGATGGTGGACTTCATGGCTGCTGCTGGTATCAAAATTTCCTCGAGAACGAACAGACAAACAGACGAGTGTGTCCAGTGCACAGATAAAAAAAGAGAGTCAAAAATGCAATGCAGTGAGTGAGTAGATGGACGTCTCCCACACTTTTTATGTTTTCTCTCTCAAAACCAGTCACCAGACCAGACCAGGCTAGACCAGACCACCGTTAGATCTACCACTACTACCACCACCACCCACCAGGCTACCACCTTCCTCATGCATGTCGACAAGCATATCTCCCAAGAACGTCCATGCATAAACGAAAGGAAAAAAAGATAGATTGCGAAAAAATAAAAGGGCCTAGACCCAAGGAGGACTCCAGGAGTATGTAGGTACTCGATGTTACACAACACGCCCCCGCGACCCTCCTCTTCCGGACGCGAGAACGTCGTAACCAACCATTCAGATACCGACCATGGGTAATGGTCACAAGCCCAGCATCGCATCGCATCGCATCATCATCGTGCCGCGCCGACGAAAATGCGCCATACCACGCGCAAATGTCACCTGGTCGAGAACTGCCCACTGGAACAATGATGCATGTATGTCCTCATTCCGGATCGTAGTAAAGGGGGGAGGCACACCATACCACTGCTGTTGTCGATCTAGATGGCAGTGGGACGTCTCCGGGCGTTGAAACGCCCGGTACATATCAAACGGTGAGGCGGATCTGCAGCTCTGAGCGCACAGAGTAGTGATTTCAATATCGGAGTTAAGACTCACGTCGTATTGCGGTGCATCAGGAAAGACTTCATATGACTTCCCATGCCCTACGCTCGCTTCCGAGACAGATGCGTATTTCTGTTCTGCCTCCGCAATACCTGTGGCTTGCCACCAATAAAGACGAAGCACAATATGCTCGTCGATAAGCATACCGCTGCCAAGACGGCATTCATGTTCCCATATCCTATCACTTGCTTCAACTCGCCAGCCAGCTCCGGACCAACAGCAAGTCCAAAGCTGAAAACCATGTTGCTCATGCCATATAGCTGCGCATAAGGTCCATTCGCACCAAAGTAATCGGGATTGACGTCGTAGTATTTCTGCACAATGGCCCCAGCTTCGACGATGCTCGGTGCTCCAATACCAGCCAGACCAATACCGCAAAGTGCCAAGAGAACAGCGTAGATGATAATCTGATCCGTGCCCCCTTCGTGTGGAATGCGGAGACACGCCAACACTGGCACCAAGAAGGCGTAGCTAAGAACAGCTACCGGCTTGGTACCGTAGCGGTCGACGCACCATCCAAAGATTGGCCCCAGTATAAAGTCAAAGACTCCCAGCGGAATGAAGAGAAGCCCCGATCGGAGTGAACTAAAGTCGAAGAGTTGTTTTGCGACTGTCGGTATAGTGCTATCGAACGAACCGAGTAGGATCGCTTGGACCATTGCAACTAGGAGGGCTGTTACAAGCATCGGGTCCGCGAGACAGGGTAAGATGGGAACGTATTGGGCAATAGTCGCGTAATGCTCACGAGGCTCGAGTTTGTAGTAGGCATCGTCTGGATGCTTGCCGGCAAGACCAAGAAGAGGCGTCTCTTCCCCGTTGCCTTGAGAATCTCCTTGCGCTTCTGTGTCCTGGTCTTGTCCACTAGTGGTGTCTCGGCCACGGGATGTATTGAGGTCGCTGACTGTGCTCGGATCGTCGGCGTAGTACTTGTTGGCAACCTTCTTCTCAATGACGAGAAGCCGCATGATAAAGTCGACCGCCAGCATAGAAGCCCCCAAGGCAAAGACGCCCACGATTCCAGTTTTCTCGTATAGCACGCCGCCCAGTATCGGCGCTGCAAGGTTTCCAACTGCAATAAAGCTGAAAATCTAGCATACTGTCAGCTCATATATGTACTCTTCGCCCCTTGCATTGATGCCATACCGAGCCGATCGTCTTCCCCAAATTCTCAGGTCCGACAGTCTCCAGACACAAAGCCAGTCCAATAGTCCAAACAAAGGCTGCACTGATGCCCTGCAAGATCCTCGCGAGCGCCAGCACCGGAACACTGGTCCCCAAGAACAACAGTACGGTCGATGCCAGAAGTGCGAGTAAACCAAACAGGAAGGGGGCCTGTCTCGTTGCGACCTTATCAGCCAAGATTCCAGCGACGGGCGAGAAAACGACACTCGCAGCTGCATAAGCTGCCAGCAGTCCCGACGTCAGACTTTGAACCTGATCTTCGGGCACTCCGACTCGATCTTGTAGCATAAAGGGTAGCACCGGCACGACCAGTCCATAGAGAAAGAGGTCTGTAAAGAGCCCTACGGCCACTGTCGCCACGATGAACAAGGTGTTTGATCGCCATTGGAGCCCCGCAGGTTCCACGGCATAGTTTTGATAGCCTGGAATCTGCAGTGTATTGAGCGCTTTGGCAAGACTGGAAGTTTTGCCTGTCATTTCGTTTTCTGCTCCTCCTTTCGGCGGCTGCGGACGAGTGTAGTATGAAAGTCGAGTATACCAGCCGTGGGGAAGGGCTTGGTCGCACATGGAGATCTAAATGTCAGTGTTGTGTGGGAGTCATGATGAGTGAGTATGTGTAAGAACATGAGAAGGGAGTCGATGAATATGGATTTCTAGAATACACTAGTCCTACCTAATGTACCTCCTAGATATCACGTCACCATCTGCAGGAACGAAGGCTCAGACGCCGTTTTGGCTTTTTGGCATGTGCGAATGGATGTCGGGGAGCCATTTGCCAGGAGCGCAAGCGCGTATCTTTGACGTGTAACACAGTATATCGCGATGTGAGGAGGAGGAGGATGAAGAAGAAGGGGAAAGAGAAAGGGGCAGGGGAAGGGCAAGTGAAAGGGAAAGAGGAAGAGGAAGAGGAAGAGGAGCAGTTGGGAGCCCGTCTGGATTTCGCCAAGACTTCGACGTGCTTGTCAACCTCAGCAAGCAACTTCACCGGCCACTGAGGTTGCTCTTCCTTCTCCATCACGACCGCAAGCAAACCCAAGACACGCTGCACCGCAGACTTGTCCAAAATGGCAGACCTAGCACCCAACGCAACGTTCGTACATTGCACATCGTACGAACGGCGCAGTGCGTGAGTGAGAACTAACAACCGGCGTAGGCTTTACGTCCGCAACCTGGACGAGAAGATTAAGATTCCCGCCCTTATAAAGGCGCTGAGGGACATTTTTGGCGAAGTCAACCCTGTCGTCGATGTTATCGCCAAGAAGAGCATCAAGCGCAGGGGACAGGCGTTCGTGGTGTTCGAGAGCGCAGATGCGGCGCAAGAGGCGATGGACACATTACAAGGCTTAGACGTTCTGGGGCGTCCACTCGAGCTTGCGTTCGCGAAGACACGAAGCGACGCGACTGTAGTGAAAGAGGAAGGCGAAGAGGCGCTTGAGGCACACAAGAAACAGCGTCTCGCCGAGAAAGGTGAGCGCAAGATGAGCGCGGAAGAGAACAGGTGCAAGTATACTGACACAGACATGACAGAGCGTAAACAAGCCCTGGAAGCGCAAGAAGCTGCTGCCAAATCCGCCAAGCGCGCCGCTGAGCCCTCCTCTCTCGCCGAACGTCCAGCGAAGAGCTCGAAGCCCACAGCTGGTGCTATGGCGGACGAGTACAATCCGCCTCACAAGATCCTCATTCTGCGCGACTTGCCCAGCGACTACACTAAAGAAGCTGTCACCGCTGTCTTTCAACGCTTTCCTGGCCTCAAGGAAGTGCGCATGGTGCCCGGGCGCAGTGGGTTGGCCTTCGCCGAGTACAATGACGAGATCGAGGCTGCTGTTGCGAGGGAGGCGATGCATGGCGTGACTCTGGGCGACAAGACTGTCAGAGTGACGTTCCAGCGATCAGGATAAAACACAGACTGCATGATGAGGCCACTCTATTGAGCTCCCTGTCGATGCTGCCGTCCGGTCGTGGGCTGCTATTCTATGCCCGTACGTGATAAGCTTTGTTGAGAAACACTCGGTGGACTGCATTAGGTCACAACTATACAACTCAATTGGAAGCAACAGGCCTCGCAAGACGTCGCAGATCAAAGAGCGCGCGCAACTTGAGTCAGATGGAGAGGCGAAGAATATGACTGTTGACGAAAGCGACCTTCTGGTACAGGGTCTCCCAGCGCTGACTCTCCATTACAGCCTCCCGCAACATACAGCGCAAGGAAAGCTCCGGCCATGATCAACACGTAGGCGAAGGCATCCTTATCAAGGTTGGCTCCGTACCCATCAATCCTCTCACCAAGGCTGAAGTCGCACACATTGCACCAAAGTATAGCCTCGACGGTATTGCGAATTACACAGCAAGCTGCCAGGGTACGCCCAATAGCAAACTCTTGCTCAATGGTACTCTCGAGTGTTCCCTCCGCCTGTATTGAGATACTGAGCCGTGGCCTGCTCCACACGGCTCAGATGATGAGTATTTGTATGAGAGCGGCGGGAAAGACCAATTCTTGCAGTTATCTAACTTGGAGCCTGCGCAGGACTTTTCTAGCGCGAACGACCCTTGATCATACGAGGTTGGCGGAATGCCCGTGGTCCGCAGTCTGAGGTCTCATCCTTGGTGGCAAGTTGGTGCTGGCGGCTCTTGTTTTCATTGACGGGGTCCTCCCTCACTCAAGCCGAAACCGCCTCATATGCGACAGCCGTGCAATGGAGTCTGAGCGCGCAAGCCCGCACCAACTGGTTGATCAGTGTCATTCAGTGACTTGATTGCTAGGGAGTATCGGGCCTAGAACTCATCCATTCAGTCCATTTGCTCTGCTGAAGTTTTTGTCAACCTTTTTCTCAGGATGCGAAACCCTTCCAACAGCTCGAAGAAAGGGTCTTCTGATCCGTGATCACACGTGGCGCTGTCTCGCACATGCTCTCAAGATGCAGGGACACAGCTACTTTTCGTGCTGTCGTATCGTGGAAAAAATGAGGCGCAATTCTCACACCTCTCTGGAAATGATATTTTTTTCCGCTCTCCTAATCACTTTCCCTCGCTTCTGACGAGAGGTGCCGCCCATAACTACACGAATAGCAACTCCCGGTGCATACATACATTCGTGGGCATCGCGTCTCTGCAAAGCCACCTACCAAGTGACGAACGCGATCGATAGTACTTGGCCAGCCCGCCCACACCCTTACACACGCTCTCTTAGTGAGGCTTGGTTACATTGGAGCCTTTGGAGGAGTCGCCAAGGTTTGATCGATACCAGTGTGCAGCCTGTACATGCGCTGTCCACATGTAAGTATATGCGAATGCTATTCATCAATCGTATAACTACCGTGTGTATCTAGTTGTCAGCTCCTAGCAGCAACACTCCTGGTCCCTGGAGAGACAAACTGCCGCTCGCACCCTCCTATCTGGTTCTGTCAGCACCGAAAGGTCAGATGTGCTCGGGGTCAAGGTCTAAGCTTGTTTACGGGCGCGAACAAAGACTTGCACGTGATAAGATTTCAAGGTTTAGGTACTGTGAGGTTGCACACAGTTGCCAAGATTTACACTTCCTACAGGTACTACCTTAGCGCTGATTGCCAAGCTGCTTCGTTGCTTCGTATGTTCTACCGGGTTCGTTACCTCCTAGGAACAAGGAATCAACTTAGGGATACAGCGGAAAGATAGAAGACTAAGTTTCCAGAGAAACAGGCGCATCCCCAGAGCGTCTCGGCCGATATACGGAGAATGGTGCAGTTAAAGGTCGTCCCGTTTCCCACTCACTTGCATCTTTCACAGCAACAAACACATCCTACAAACGATCAAGCATACATACCACGGCGATGTTGGCCTCGAAGCTCTACTACTCCCTCTTCATCTGGATCGCAGCACTCTCTCACCTCGCTGCTGCCGATGCGATTTGCGGCATAGCCGGCCCCCAGTGTCAAAAATGTTCTCCTAACCACGATCCCAGTAGTATGTTAGCGACCACTTGCACAAAGGGGATGCTACTAACATTATTATCATTTATAGAAACCGGTTACTGCTTTCATTACAAGCTTGCTTCTGGGGCAGAGGGCTACAATTGTCGAGAAGCACAGTCTTGTGTCTGATAGACGAGTTCCGAGAAATCCGTCGCACAATCTTCTTGCGCACCTGAACTATTTCGCATACCTGTTCAAATTTCTCCTGCTGCTTGCAACACTTTCTACGACAACACTACATCGCGCAAAGCAACTGGACTGGTGAGATCGGACAGCCGGACCCTATCCTAGTTACTTGGCACCCAAGGCAGCAGCCAAAATCTCAACCGGGCTTTCTCCTACATCATCTTGTCAGCTCTCTACCTCACTCATCGTACTGCCCCATACACGGTCTCTCTTCGCTGAATCTCTTCAAGCTGTTTTCGTATTTTCTCGGAACCTCCGGAGGAGGAAATCTTTTTACAGAAACCTACAGACCTAAGACTTATGAAACTTATGTCATCCTACTCGAGAGACGGCTTGAGTATACAGTATGATCTCATGATACCTACCTACCACCTTACTATATGTACCTATGGAACATTTTCACGACTGCAGAAAAGAAACCTAGCTGGCTAGTGAAGTTCCATTTTCAATATCGGAATCATCTCCGAAGAATTTTATACGCCTGCTTGATGAGAACAATTTTTCCCTCCCCTAAAAAACAGGAGTGTATCTCTAAGTACGTAGGTCTGATGATCACCTCTCTCTTACTCAGACATATACGCGTTCTGCTTGCACGATACGACCTGTTATCATCATCATCATCTTCCCTACCTTACCTATCAACATCGAAAAAAGAAAATAAAATACGAACTACTCTCCTACTCGCTTAATTTTCCGAGAGGTTAAAGGTAGAGCTTACTAAGGTTATACGTTTCGATAGGTATACTTTGCTTTGCTTCGTTTCGTTTCGCTACCTAAGGTACTATATACCGAGGAGGTACCTAAGGTAGGTAAGGAAAATAGGTACCTAGGTAGGTAGTAAGGAACGGATAGATACGGAGAAGCTAGTAAACATCTATAGGAAATTAGAGGGAGGGAGGGAGGAAGGAAGGAATAGAGGAAGGATCCAAGAAGCGATAGGAGGGTTTATAGTACGTAGGTAGGCGAGGTAAATAGAGAGGGAGGAAGGGAGATAGATAGGTTAGGTAAGGTAAGGTATTAACTATTAAGAGAGGATTTTCTTTTCTTCTTTACTACCTTTGCCTCCTCTTCTATTAGGATAGAACATTTTCTTATACGTTATTTGGCGTCGGGAGTCGTTTTTCTTTTTCTTTTTCTTTTCTACAATCCGAACTAGAAATCAGATCGGTTTAGTAGTATAGAAACAACTATATTTATTAAAACTTTAGCTTTGTTTTTCTATAAGGCAAGGTTAAAGTTAGACATTTCTTTTTCTCTTTTTACTCCTACCTACTCCTACTCCTACCTATATATTAAGTACGTAGCCGGGTACCTTAGTTGTACAGTTACCTACCTATCTAGTAGCGGCTTAATATTCGTAGGAATAGGTATTGACCTAGAAACAATAGAACCTCGTCTAAGCTATCCGACGTATCTTTGTACTATACAAAAGTTCTTTAAAGCAAAGCCGGCAAGGGTAAATGCTACAGAGCAAGAGAGAGAGAGAGGGAGAGAGAGAAAATATGTCCTACTTTCAGCAAAATCGAGCCGTAGAAAGGCAATATCTCCTTAGGAGGTAGCTACTGAAATCACAGCACGCGTAGGCCTTTTTTTCGAAGAGAAGGTCGATCGTGTACAGTTAGTTCTAGAACAAGCTACCTAGTTCCCTTCAAGGATATGCAAATTACCGCTTCAACCTGCCTACTAGGGGCTGAAGCAGCAGAGTGTTTCGGTAGAGAAGATACTGCGGGGGTGGGAGAAGCGAGCGGGTTGCAAGTGGAATAGGTAGACCTAAAATGAGTTTGGGGTTCTCACAGCAGTATAGTCTTCTTGTTCAATTTCGGCCGATTACTTAGGTACCTCCCTCCTACGAGACAAACAAGTATCTTTATCTACATACCTGAACGCGTCGCATAGCTTCTCCCGCTTCGGAGGCGGAGGTTGAGCCCTGCATTCGGGCCTGGAGTATAAATGTTGTTGCAGCTGCAAGCTGTGCTTCTGTCGATCTGTTCGTGTTCGGGATATGCCTTTTAGTGTTTAGTTACTGCAGCAGTGGAGCTGGTGAGCGACAAGCTTGCCTAGAGGATTTCGTTAAAAAGTCCCTCGAAATGTGAGGGAGGCCTTCGGGAAGGAATCGAGTAACTGCCGCAGAACTTGTTCGATTTGATAGATACCGTGAAAGCTCTTCCGCATGGGTCATATGAGGTAATCTAGGTACTCATCGGTTTGTGATTATGAGCGCTGACCCTGCTGAGTGCATCCAATCCTGGTCCGTCTCCTTATGTAGCCCGGTCATCAGGAGGCAGTGATTCTGCAATCATCGCATCGGGTTAGCCAAATGGGCGAGGATCAGTATTCGAAACTTGAAAGAGGCGGCGCCAGAAGTGCAATTATCACGGTAGGTAGGTAGGTATCCTCAGGCCCTGAGGGCAAGAAGAGTACAAAACATTGAGAACGACTGCAAGTGTGGTGCAACATCGGGTCCTTCAAAGACGCCACACATCTGCATATGTGTGCGGTTCTCACCACTTTTCAGCTGAGGTCGTACACAGCGCGTTTGTTGCAATCGGCGACTCATCAGTTCCGAGGACAGGACGCCGTATGTGAGTACCGACCTACCTTACCTAGTACCTAGCTACAGGATGTACCTACGTTCCCCGTCAGCCAACAACTTGAAGACCTGCAAATGACCAACATATAAGCAGCCAGCAACCAGCGGGAGGTGCTACCTAGTACTAATGTAGCCGTTCGCATGCAGACAAGGACAAGGGAGGAGTGTAATCTCTGCTCACGCCGCACGGCATGTTCTGTGATGCTGTCGGGGAGCCGTAATACGGTATACGTACAGCACCTGAGCACCTGGGCAACAATAATCAGGGTAGTCTCTCAGGAGGTGTCTCAGGTACAGTGTGAATGGTACATGTACCTACCTCCGGAGACTAGAGGAGGTAGAACAACTGAGCTATGCGGCGTGGCGAGAATCCAGGGTCCCAGGCACAGGCTCAACAGCTCCTTTAGCTCCCGTCGGGGAGGTACATAGAGACAGCGTTCGAGGATCATGCCTCCCGTTTTCACAAACCTGCAGTACTGCACTGGGGGTAGGATGTTTGGGCAGCAACAATTGCAATAAGATATCTTAAAGACGGCCGCCACGCGTATCTGATGAAAGTTGACGCACATCTGTCGTCAATTCCGCACGTATTGCATTCGCGCCATCTCACTCTCCGCATCCGCGCAACGGGATTCGTGGAGATAGGTGGATAGATCTAGATCCACCGCGAGCGCAGATAAGGTTTCGGTCGTTCGAAATGGGAACAAGATGTTGCGCGAGCGCTGGTGCCCAAGAAAGAAAGAAAGCAAGAAAGAGCGGCTCGGGGAGAGCTGACCTGCATTCCAGCTCATCGGTTGTGGGAAGTCCTTGGGTCTCTCTGGCCACGGTAGGAGGTACCTCTACTTCTACCAGAAGGAACTCGTCTTGCCGAAGGGCAGGGCCACGCGCCTCGGTGTCGTCGTAAAGGGTCTGCGACTCTGCGGAAGCCAGAAGGCAGCCCCGAGACATTATTTTCCAAAGCTCCATCTCAGATTTCTAAAATGGAATTTTGGTGGAAATTCGATGGCCATTCCCACCGAGCCTGTGCATGGCTGCAGGATGCTGAACTGATCCAAGTCCTCACCACCATCGGTGGTAGTGGGACCCCGTTTCTCGATGAAGCATTCCGTTCTTTCTTGAAATGTGGAGAGAGAGTTCGTCTTCGAGAACGCTAAAAGAAGGAGTTTGTGTACCTGAGGAACGGCCGATTGGGATTGGTCGGGTCACACTACTAGTAGATGTGGGTGAGCTGCAGGTACGGCTTCGTGCAAGCGAGAAGTGCTGGTCGCTGTGGTGGCGGGCAGGCAGGCAGGCATTATTAACTGGTAGAGAGCACACTGGTGGATGTCATGAGGTACGATGTGTGGATGTGTGGGAGGCTGTTGGTGGCAGCGCGGCAAGACATGACGACTGCTTTCTATAGACTATGTTATAGCGGTGTTTCAATAATGATAAATCATACCGCCATAACTGCCGACGATATACTCCCAGACTCCCAGATTGGTACGGCCGCCGGGAGTTGTTGGCTCTGAAACGTGGCTGAAGACCGTCGCCACACGTCAGAAAGCCACCCTCTCAAGAACGGTGGTCTTGGAGCACTTTCAAACCGTCTCTGTCGTTGATGGGCACTGCTACATTAGTGCTGTCTGGTTCTTGTTCGTCGTCCACCACACAGACAACACAGGCACACACACACACAAGTGACACAGCACAGGCACAACACGATAGGTACCTTAGTACCATACCAGTTAGACTGGGAAGCGGGAGCTAGGTAGTAGACTGCCCCTGGCACAGACTTTACTTCCTCCCGTCCACTGGTACAACCCTAAAGAAACAGAGTTAGCAGATCAACTCGCCCGGCCTCAAGTACATGTACAACTCGTTGCGCGCGTCCGCTGTGAGTGATTGCTGGCCGTGCTTCTACTACTTCCATCGGCACCAACATACTGTTTGGGTGATTGTGGTCCTTGTTTGTTGTTATCGTTATTGTTGTTATTCTTGTCGTCGTCGCAGCTTCAAATTATCGTACAGGTGTTATTCTATTTTATTATCGACATTATTGTATTGAGGATCGACGCTGCATGACACGTTCTCATCAAAAAGCGTTGTCCGCGACTGGCGTTCAGATTGCAGTGCCTGGCAGACGGAGGGAAATACTCAGGCCATTTCCAACCACGACCGACTTTCACCGTCATCAACATACCACCTCGCCATCGATCTATTACCCTACCCACCTTATTCTACCGCCGCCGACGACCACGACGACCCCAAGTGGGACACGACGTTCGCTCGCCAAGGCACCTCCAGACGCTCCCCATCGTGTTGGCACCCGCTAATCACAGCGGCAAGGGTGAAACAAGCCGACTGGAGAACGGGACAATTCCAGCCCGCCCACCCCGGCCACTCTCCTGGCGCGTGGGCGAGAGTGTGAGATGCCGGGCGCCATGGTTCAAAATGAGCCTCCTCTGTCTCCGACTCCTATGTCGCAGGCTGCGTACCACGCATCATCCGCAGCAGGAGCAGCAGCGGTGCAGCGCCAGAGCATGGCGAGCATGCGGCCTCATCACGCCCGCACGCACAGTCGCTTCGCCGACAGTGCGAGTCGGGTGAGCGATGAAGAGGGATCGCGTACCGCAGTGAAAGTTGGTCAGTTCACACATCTCTCACGACCGACAGGGCAGCCCTCGACAGCCGCGCGCAAAAGGTCAGCCAGCTAACGATGGGGCCTCACAGTTGTCCGAGTACGACCGCCGCTGAAAGCCACCGATCCGGGCTTCGACCTGATTCCACAACGATTCCGCGAGAGCACTTGTGAAGTTCCAACGTCCAGTAATCTGTCGGTACAATCACCGCAGGGGAAGAAACTGTTCGTGTTCGACCGCGTCTTCGATGAGACAACGACACAGGAAGGCGTGTGGGAGTACGTGAGTGACAGCGTGACCTCGTTTGTCAAGGGATACAATGTGTCGATTCTCGCATATGGCCAGTCTGGCGCCGGAAAGTCATATACCATGGGCACATCTGGGCCCGAGGATCAATGCGAACCAGATGTCAAGGGGATTGTGCCACGAGCTGCTGAAGCGCTGTTCGACATGCTCAATGGCACTCCAACAGCGAGACCTACAGGCCTGCAGACGCCGAAACGCTACTCCACGCAAGCGATGCCAGTGATGCAAAAGGCGGCCAACGGGACATCCAAGACATGGGAACTCCGAGCGTCTTATGTGGAAATTTACAATGAGCAGCTGCGCGATTTGCTGATTCCCGAGTCTGTGCCTCAAGCAGAGCGCGGTCAAGTGGCTATCCGTGAAGACACGAAAGGTCGAATCATGCTCACGGGACTCACGCAAGTGCCTGTCAATTCTGCCGAGGACATGCTCAATGCGCTCAATTTTGGATCGCAAATTCGGCAGACAGATGCGACTGCCATCAACGCTCGTTCATCCCGCTCGCATGCCGTCTTCAGTCTGAACCTGATACAGAAAAAGCACGACACACCCGGATCTGCGTCCAAGGCAGACAAGCGAAGGTCGATATCTGCCGATCAATTGAATGGATCCGACAGTGTCGTCACGCTCGACAGTAAGCTACACTTTGTCGACTTGGCCGGTAGCGAACGTTTGAAGAACACAGGCGCCACCGGTGACAGAGCGAAGGAGGGCATCTCCATCAACGCTGGACTCGCAAGTCTGGGCAAAGTCATCTCCCAACTGTCTTCCAAGGGCGGCAACGGTCACATCTCCTACCGCGACTCCCGCTTAACCAGATTGTTGCAAGACTCTCTTGGCGGCAACGCCATCACATTCATGGTTGCCTGTGTGACACCAGCGGTCTTCCATCTTAGTGAGACTTTGAACACCGTCACCTATGCTCAACGAGCGCGTGCCATTCAGAGTAAGCCGGAGATTCAGCAGACTCACGAGGAGACAGATAAACAAGCTGCCATCGATCGACTCCGCGCTGAAGTTGGCTTCCTTCGCGATCAGATCCGCCACGCCGAGCATAACTCTGGACGAGCCGCCGACGGCCATGATCGCATGGATCGATCGCGAGGTCGCGAGAATGAGTTGCAGACTCAATTGATGGATATGCAAGAGAATTACAACGCCCTCAGTCAGCGTCACGCAAAGCTCATTGCGGAGATCTCGAGGAGTAGAGATGACGAGCACGCCGAGACACCGCTCCTGAATGAGGCCATTGGCGAGAACGCGAGCGAGAGGATCAAGCGCTCCAACTCGTTCGCCGAAGCCGTGGAGCAAGTGGTACTCGAGTACGAGAAGACGATCCAAAGTCTGGAAACGTCGCTTTCGCAGACACGAGCATCGCTATCGAGCATTGAGAGCACGCTGCTCGAGAAAGAGACACGAATAGCATACATGGATACCATCCAGAAGCAGATGCAGGCTCGAATTGCAAAATACATGGAGCGAGAGGCCAACAACGACTCGTATACTCGTGATCTGGAGGACAAGATGGAAGGAGCATCGTCTGAAGACGACCGCAAAGACACGCTGATCAGCGAACTGCGCAAGGAGATCGCGCGCGTGCGAGATAGTGAAGGCAATGCCGAAGAATACATCTCCACGCTCGAAGAGCGCCTGGCAGAAGCGGAACAGGACCAGGAGATCATGCAACGCGAAATCGATCGTCTCGAGCATGTCGTCGAACGGCAGCGAAGCATCGGCAGGCTGGACAGCCTGCTTGGAGAACTTGATGGCATGCGCAGTAATGAAGTACCGACGAACGGGCAAGACTCGGCACGGCCTCCACCGAGCACCAATGGCCACACCGACGACTACGATCCCTTCCGGGAGCAAGACAGCGTCGCGAACGAGCACGAAGAGTACGACAAGATCGACCACGCCATTCCAGTCACAGGAGGTTCATTGAGGAGAGCCTCAACTTTGGAAGCAGCCCGCACTCCGGCTCAGGACGATTTCGTGGCCGAAAAGCTGGAAAACCTGACGCAAGAGTTTTTCGATCTGAGGTCCGAGCACGAGTCTGTGCTGACTGACTACGATAACCTCCAGCAGAAGTACCGCACTGCTCTCGAGACGCTTGCGAAGTTGGAATATGGCAAAGATGACACGTCAAAAGCCCCACCCGAAGATGAATCTCCTGTCACTACTAGCAGCCGGAGCTCTTTTTTAGCCGAGACGGGGATGCAAGACGAGGACAAAGCTACTACGGAAGGCCAGTTTTCATCCTCACGATCATCGCGCTCGGAGTTGTCCTCGCGGCAGGCACCGAATGGTGCCGTCGACAACAAGATCACAAGAATCATTACCAGTGAGAGTCCTACCGACACTGCGCCAAGCCCAACCACTGGCGAGCATATGCAAGTTCTTCAGGAGATGGAAATGCTTAAGAAGCTCCATGCCGAGAAGGAGGTGTCTGTTGCTGAGCTGACCAAGAATTACATGAGTTTGGCACAACGACATGAAGCTACCTTGAGCCACGTCGAGGAACTGAAGCAGGAAGTACAAAGCTCGCAGCGCTCCGCATCCCCTGCATTTTCCAGTTCTCCTGGCTTCGGACCTTCTCCAGCCATGCGGCAAGGATCGTGGCGACGTAGATCTGAAGAGATACTCGGCAGCAGCTCTGATCGTGCCTCTCGGTCTTATGTGTCGCTTCGCACAATGGCGCTCAATAATTTCGAGGACCAAGCTGATGTGCGACATACCTTTGAGCAACATTTGAACACTGTGATGACAGAGTTGCACGGCCGATCAGAGCGTGTGCAAAGCCTCGAAAGCGAGATTGCGACTCTGCGGAAGGATATGGAGCAAAAGCAGACTATCATTACAGGCCTCACGCGAGAACGGACGAGCCTGGCTGCTGTTAATGCGTCGGGAGTGGACTTTTCTGTCGTCGGTCAGATGCGGGAGCAACTGATGGAGAGCGAGAACAAGATCCGCTCGCTCCATGAAGAGCACGCCGCTCGCGAAAAGGAACTCCAAGGAGAGCTTGAGAATCTCAAAGCTGCGCTTGCCGAACACCAGAATTCTTCCGCGAACTTGCTACCGACGCCGATGGACGTCCCGGGACACTTTCCAGTTACCCCAGCAAAGGAAGTGGTTCCGAATATGGAGTCATCCCGAGAGCAGGCCACAGCAGGAGCACCCAATTCTACTCAGCACGATGAGGTGGCACGTCTACAGAGGGAGGTAGAGGAATGGGAACAAACGCATCGTGAAGCAATCGAGAGCATGACTGCTTCTCAAAACAGCCTCATGGACACCATTGCCGAACTTCAAGCTTCGCTGAAACAGGCGGAATCTGGCGCAAAATCCCTGCCCGAAGCGGCTCACCCATCATCCACCGAAGATCTCTTGGAGCAAGAACGCGTCAAGCATCAAGAGATCGTCAATACACTCAACACGCAAGTGCAAGAGCACAGGGCGATAGCGGATGAACGTGTCGCACATCTGGACCAACTCCAAGCGCAGTACAACGATATGCAGAGGCAGCTGGATGACCATGGCCACTCCAGTCAACTCACGCAGAAAGAACTGGACCAGCACAGGGAGCTTGTGTCAAACCTGGAGAATCAACTGCAGGTGCACAAATCCGCAGTCACTCTCCATCAAGAAAGCTTGGAGTCCCTGCAAGCTTCGCATACGAAGGAGGTCGAGGAGCACACTGCCAGGCATACTGAGCTGCAGCAGAAACATGAAGAGGTTACTGCCGATTTTGAGAAGCAAGTCACAGATGCGAAGAGCGAGACGGCAGATCTGCTTCGCCTTGCCTCCTCGGCCCTGGGCTATGAAACGAGTCACGCGCAGCTTCATACGCATATTTCGGGATTGGTCGAGGAAGGCAAGGAGTTGCATGGCAGACATCTCAAGACGACGAACGATCTGAAGAGCGTACAAGAAGAGCTGCAGAACGCGAATACTCGTGCGTCCCAGCTCGAGAGCCAAATGGATGAGCTCAAGGTGCTTGGCGAAGAACGAGCAAAGCAGCTAGAGGCCATCACTGAAAAGTACAACAAGACGTCAGCATTGGTCGATCAGCTCGAGGAGCAGCTCAGCTCCAATTTCGATGAGCATCAGGCGACTAATAATCGTTTGTCGAACATGCAGTCGGAGACGGTGGAAGCACGCAGCGTGCTCGAAAAGGAACTGGAAGAGGCCAAGTCGAGAAGCATTTACCTTGAGGTGAGTGAGCGGGGCAGGCATTCTTTCTTCACAATGGCACTACTGACACCGCATACAGCAACAACTCAACGCATTCAAGCATCTATCGCTCAACTCCAATACTTCATCTCAGGTCAACCGCGATTCTTTGTCACCTGATGCGGCAGGAGGGGCACTCGGTCGTCAAGGCTCTTCATCTTCCCAGCAGCGCAAGTCTGGACCCATCACGCTCCCGACGCCGCCGCCTTCGATTCCCCTTCCGCCCCTGCCCGGGTCACCCGTCTCTGGCGCCATGGAACGAACGGCATCTCCTACGCCTCGCACGCAATCGCCACTGGGAGGGTCCCCACCGGCGTCCAGACATACTTCTAACGAAGTGAGCCCCAGCCCGGCAGTATCACAGCTCATTGAAGAGCAAGAAGCTCGTATTCGGACGATTGAGAAGCACCTGTTCGCCGAGAAGCAACTCACGGCGACGCTCGAAGAGGCACTGGTCGATCTCGAAACGTCTGCCAATCGCACCAAGTCGGAGATGGAGAACTGGCGCAAGAAATGCCAGAGCCTGGAAGACGAGCTCGTCAGCTTGCGCAAGGAGCGTAGTAACTCGCGAGCCAGCTTGCAAGCGGTCGAAGAGGAGCGCGAGATGCGTGTGCGCGCCGAACGAGCGCGAACGGCACTCGAACAGCGCATGGCGGAGCTCAACAATAACAACAAAAAGAAGAAGAAGGGTGGATTGAACTGCTTCTAGGAAAAGCACCTTCGTCATTCGCTGGTCGTGCATCGACCGCGACACCAACACCACAAATTACATGGGCGGGAACTGTACGCGGGTTGTACCCACTACGGCTTTCTCTCTCCTTGACAGAGAGAGTCGCCCACCAAATACTGATTTCACCGCGATTGTTTTTATACCCCCCACCACGTTCCCGACTTGCGCAGACTCTTGAAGTTATTTTTCGATGGGAGTTCTTCACGTGTTCATGGCAACACGCTCCTTTTGACATGCCCCGTCACGAGCTTGCGAAAGAATATGGCCCACAGGCGTAGGCACGGCGTTTTTTCTGTTTGATACCAAAAGGAAGGAGATGTTTGGGACAGAAATTGAGTTTTTTTGTATTTTGGGAACGGGCTGCTTCAGCACCGCTCGCTCTTTCCTCTCGAGCTTGGATTGGCTCGTACCCTTTTTTTTTTTTCTTTTTTTTTCTTTTTCTTTTTTCACGAGATGTAGCTGTAAATGGAATGACTGGGGTGCTTCCAGGTTGCTTGCCTCAGGTTGTTATTGCAGCATGAGCAAGCAGCACAAGTGGATGGATGGATGAGTGGATAGTAGTAGGAGAGACTATCGTGTATTTTTGCTGTATAGTACGGTATACCGACCCCAACGAAGGCTGATACTACATGTTACTTACTGTCTACTTACTTGTATGTACCTAAGATCTGTTTCTCGCGTGATGGTGCGTACCTGTATGTATGTATGTTTCTTAGTGGATGTTTGGGCAGCGAGACTTGTGATAATGGACAAACTGCCCCAGGCGGCGTACAGTTAGGAGGTAAGGTACGATTCAGACGCGTGATGTGGGCGTGTAGGTGTAGCCGCTATTTTTCGAAAAATCTCCTTTTGAACAACAACAACAAAATATCCGTCTTTCAACGACAGTTTTTATCAATACCTGACCTACCTACCTACCTAAATGTACCTAGGGTAGGTAATATCACACTGGGAACCACACCCACCCACCTATCCACATAAGATCCTTCAATTAAATCCTACCTCCTACATTAGGCAGGTACAGTAGCCGCGCTTGGCCGCGTCAAATCGCGGCTAATAATCCTTACTAGCTGGCGCCAATCGCGTAGTTTAGCGCGCGCGCGCAAACCTTTTAGTTTTTGGGCGGCCGCGGCCCTACTACAAGGCTGCACGTCAGCCGCGCGCGCGCGTCGGCGGACTTCACCTCTTCCTTTCTTTCTTTCTCTTCAATCTTGTTTTTTCTTCTTCCTCCATCTATCGGATTTGTAAAAAGGGAATTATGGGACCAAGAGGAAGAGGAATGGCGACGACGTCGCCGGTGGTGGCGATTCCGGAGGTTGGAGGGAATGAGAGTTTGGATGAGTTGGTGAGGAAGTTGTTGGGGTGAGTTGGTTCCTTTGGATCGGCAAGATACTTACACCACACACACACACGTCACTGACTACCACGTTTTTTTGATGTTGTTCTTTGAAGATTCTTTGTTCAAGCGATCGAAACCCCGCATGCGTGGGAGGAACTTCGTCGAGAGGAATATCCGCGCTCGTTGAGGCCGTTGGTGAGGTATTTGGTGGATGAGGTGCAGCATGAGGCTATTGTGAGCGCGTTGCTGTGAGTAACTCTTCTGGAGATGGTTGGGATGATGACTGATGATGATGAGGTAGTGCGCTGAAGTGGTACTTCGATGACCTGGAGGATGGGGATGATCGCGGCATCAATGAGACGAGGGGGCTTGCGTGCGAGCTTGTGGCTTGGTAAGTTGGTGTTTGTCTTCCTTTTGAAGTAGGAGATGGACCAGCGCAATCATACCTACCTATCCAGGAACTTGAGGTGCGGTGATCCTAGATATGGCAGGTGCTTTCAGCACAATTCTGTCGAGCTGGACGGCAAGCATGGGCGCGAAAGACCATGATACGAGCTCCAGTGTGCGTGACTAATCTCTCTCCCAGGCGCTTCATCAGTCACTTGACGTATCGTGAGACAATAGACTACTTGTGTACCGATCTTCCCACTCATTTCGGTGGATCCAGTCCAGAGAATGGCGACTTGGAGGATGCAGAACCAGACGAAGATCTGGAACACGCCGGCAATGAGCAGGCTCCACTCTTGGAAAGCCCAAACCGACCTTCCCATAGGATGGACGACTCCTTCTACGACGAGCTACCACGTCATTATGCCGACTCCGATCAGGCAGACTTCGCCTCGACGTTCGCAAACCTGAGCGCGCTCGAGATCGCAGCAGTTGCCAACGCAAAGAAATTCTTGAGTCAGCGCTCTATCCAGCATGTCATAGACGGTATCTGGAAGGGCGATGTCGTCTTCTGGAACGAAGTCAGCACGCATTCTCGCAAGCATGCGCAGGTCTACCGCAAAGCCCACAGCGACCCATATGCACGGCTCCGAGTGCCGTTGTATCTGAAGGTGTTCGAGGTGTTGTTCTTCGCTGGCTTCCTGGCTCTGTACTACATTGTCCTGGTCCAGAAGCAAGCCTCATCTGTCACAGTTCCGGAAGTGATGCTCTACATCTGGTTGGCTTCCTTCTCCTACAACGAACTCGTGGAGTTCTCTGATGCTGGTTTGACCTTTTATGCTACCGACTTCTGGGCACTCTGGGACTTGGGCATCATTTCTGTTGGGTGTGCTTTCTTCGTTGCCAGGATGATTGGGCTAGCTCATCATGATGCCTATGTCAGCGATGTGGCCTTTGATATCCTCTCTGTCGAAGCCCTTTTTCTGGTCCCGAGGTGAGATCGAGGTTTTTTCATCGTCTAGGCTGGATCTGACTCGTGCTTAGGATCTGCTCATTGCTCAGCTTGCATCCTTACTTCGGCATGCTCCTGCCTGTGCTCAAGGCAATGGCACGTGACTGCCCCCCTGACTCAACTCGGTTCGCGCTGACTCGTTGCATAGACGGTGGAGTTTATCAAGTTCCTCTCACTCGTGGTCATCATGTTCTTTGGTATGCGCAGTTGCGAACATGTCGTAGGAAGCTCGTCACTGACGCCCACAGGCTTCTCGACGTGCTTCAGCTTCCTTGCCAGAGGATCATATTCGTGGGGCAACATGAATTGGATCCTCATCAAGGTCTTCTTTGGATCGAGCTATTTGGGATTCGTGAGTTCAAGTCCAGTTCTGCGATTGAATGCATGCTAATTGGGCCCCAAAGGATGTGGCTGATCAGGTTCGGGCCTCCTGGCGTCTCGAGAACTGTGCCGTGCAAGTACTGACGACAGCAGATCTCGCCTGTGTTGGGCCCTCCCATCATGCTGGTGTTTGTTGCGTTGACCAACATCCTCCTCATCACTTCGCTGATCTCGTTGCTGTCGAACAAGCTTGACAAAGTGAGTGCTCGAAATCTCTGCAGCGAGCTCGCTTCACCCAAGCGCCGACCGCAACCCCATTGGCTGACACAATCTCCGCACTGCAACATAGGTCATTGAGCACGCCCGCGACGAGTACCTATTCGTGTAAGTCATGAGGCGTAATGAGGAGCAGTGGCAGTACATGTGGAGCTGACGGCGAAGCACAGTTACAGCGTCTACGTATTGGAGGCCTCAACCTCTAACCGCTTGACCTACTTCTATCCAGTACTGGTAAGTGAAAGTCTGAGTCTGCGCCTCACTGCGTGCAGGTAGCACAAAAGTATGCCTGCTTTTGGCGTGAACGTGTGAGCACGACCCTGTGAAAACATCATGGGCTGTCCGCAGTTCCGACACATGCACTATCAGTCAGATGATCGCTTAATCGCGACCTATGACTACCGCGGTCACAACCAAAGCAAGATCACTGGAGCCTCGGGCTGCAGCTCTTGCTGGCAAATCAGTGGGGCTGTGTATCGTTGAGAATGGCGGTCCTCCGCAAGCCAACACATGCATCATATGGTTCCATACTCGTTGGAACTCCTGGCTCATCTTGTGTGACCGCATTGAATGCAGTCGGGGTCAAAGCTAACTGCCTGACGCAGAATCTGTTGCCTCTGTTGCTTCGTCCCCTTCGATTGGTGCTGTCCACGCAGAGACTCCGGAGCGCCCGAATCGTCCTGCTGAAAGCGACTCACTGGCCGCTTGTGGGTTTAATCCTGATGTATGAGAGGGCGCTTACAATGCTGGACGATCAGCGAAAATTCGGCTACTCCGGTGTGTCCAAGAGGCCGAATGCTCCAACTTCTTTGCGCCGACCCATATCGCGCAAGCCGCTATCGACATCTCGGCTCTCGTTACTGGAAGAACAACCCCGTGCCGCACGATCGCCTTTCGGAGCGCCTGTACCCGCTCCCGCGCGGCGGAGTGAATCGATGGAGAGGCTGAGCTCTCATATAGCTGAGCTTCAGCATCAAGTCAAGACGCTTACTGATGTACTGCTCGAACGGAAAACTTAAGGGGAATGGAGTGCATGAAGGCCATGCGAAAGCGCCTGTGATATCGCACTGAAACTTTGCAAGGACATGGCCTTTGACGTGCGACCTCCTCGCATTAGTGCCCAGACGCGATTGGAAGGAGAGCTGGGACGAGGTCGGCGCGCTTAATGGACATATCGCACCCAAGCGCGACCTACCAGGGAGCTTGCATTAATATACATGCCCGGATCCGGCCCATGGTTAGGTCCTGGCTGCCGCACTGGCTCGTCGACAATAGCGTCGGCATCGGTTACCATTACATCGGTACTTGTGCCAAGCCATGCCGAAGAGCCTCGCTTGCCGCGTGGATTTTCCTCTCTGCGCTGTACGCTACTGATGCATGCTGCGTCTATCTGCCTCTGGAGGCTCCGGTGGAGCTCAATGATGCGTGTGCACTCTCCTGATCCTGCCCGTCGACCAACCCAATGTGACCCTGGTTATCTGGCACCGGCTCCCGCGCCACAAGCGCAGCTTTCTCCGTTTGCTACTGCAATATGGCCCTCACGACTCTTGTGAAGCCATAGCCACCCTATGTCTGGCTCAGCAACACTGCCCAGTCCCTACGCTGTCGGCCTCTATTCTCGTATATACCACCATTATTGCGCAGTCCCTCATGACGTCCATTGCGCTCGATCTAGATATCTATTTGATCCTTTCGTTTCAAGTGGCAACACCAGATCCTACTCGGCTCCTACCAGTGACCATGAGCTTCTACCAGGCAGAGGACTACAAAGACGACAACGAAGGCAGCATCGACGACTGGCAGAATTACCATGCTGTCCCTCAATCGACACAGAGTGGACAGCCTGGTCATTCTACCGAACACAGCAACTACGGCCTCGATAATGATAGCTATCCATATTCCATAATTGATGCATCGTCCCAGAATCCCTATTCGATATCACAAGACATGATTTGGCCAACAGAGACTTCCACTTTGGGATACGACTCTCTTCAGACTCCGACGCAGGCAATGTTCAATAATATGGCAGGCAATCTATCGACACTGAGCTTTTCGTCATCTGGGCCCATTCAGGACACTCCATTTGCACCACACACACCAGCTAGGCCCATAGACGCGGAAGAGCAGAGCTATCGGACTATGAGTGCCCGGACCGACTACTCGCAGGGGCAATATTCGCAGCAGGTTCCTCCACCCGCTCCAATGTACGATGTACCTGCGTCTCAGAAATCGCCCACACAGTCCGATCGCAGTGCAAGCTACAACTCTCCCTTGATCGAATCGTCGCCGTATGCACAATCCGATGGATATTTCCAAGTCAGTCCACCACGCATCAAGGCGGAAGACTCCTTTGAATACAGTCAGAATCATCTCTACTCGGTCCCTGGCACGCCGAGCTACGGGTATCCATCATACGTTGATCCTCTTGATATCTGTTCACAGGCCACATCATCTTCCGCGCCCGCGCAGCTTGCACGAAGCGCGTCTGACCATGTCAAGCTCGAGGTCAAGCAGGAGTTCGAGGTCAACCTCTCACAAGCAGCCCGTTCGACAGAGCGGCTGGTCGCTGGCGTACCTGGCGCATCAGATACAGGGCGCCGGGACGAAGCTAAGGGACGCTTCAAGCGTGGCTTCACCACAGTGGAGAACTCGACCTGTCAGTGTGAAGTGTGTGGGAGGCTCTTCCAACGGATGTACAACCTCAAAGCTCACATGGAGACTCACGATCCTGATCGTGAACAACCGCACGCATGCCGATATCATGGCTGCGAGCGGAGGTTCGTGCGACGAACAGATCTGATGCGACACGAACAGAGTGTCAGTAGCGAATAAAACCCTCCATGTACATACCAGTATCGTGCTGACCATTCCTCCGTGCACAGGTCCATTTGAAACTGCGCAACTTTGCGTGCATATTTTGTAACAATGCGTTTGCGCGCAAAGACACTCTCCGACGGTATGTATGATGATGTCCCTTCCCCCCTCTCTCTCTCCTTTTTTTCGCGTCGTTTTTTGATCCACTGTACTGATTCTCCCGCGCGCGCACTCCCACAGACACATTGAGGATGGTTGTCCCTGTCGACCCGAGACGAAAAAGCGCCTTGACCGGCGTCGCAGCGCCTCGACGGTGAAATCTCAACGACCTTTGAGGAGACTTCCTCCTATCAAGTCGGAGTCGCAGTGAAGAAAGAAAGAAGGAAGGAAGGAAGGAAAGAAAGAAAGGAAGGAAGGAAGGAAGAAAAAAAGCTCTCGAGTACTGTACGTACGCGGTCAGAAAAGGTCAAGAGGATGCCTCGCGGCAGTGGGTGGGTTCATCATGGATTGATTGGGGGAGGAGAGGGGAATGGGGGGGGGGGGGACCCCAAAAAGAAAAATAAAAAGAAGAAGGATGGTCATGGTGTGCAGGGGGAGAAGAGAGGGGGGGAGGGGGGCCGGATTAAAAGGATAGACAGGAGTTGGCGGCGTTATTTGATGATGATAATGATGATGATTTTGAAAAGAATTAAAAAAGCGATTCGATTTCCCGGAGAGTTCGGGCTAGAATTACGGACTATCTTCTCTCTCTGGCTAGAATTACAGACTATCTCCTCTCTCTCTCTCTCTCTGTCCCTCTCCCTCTCTCCCTCTCTCTTTCTCCTACTCAAGACAGAAGTAAAAAGAAAAGGAAAGACTTCCCGGGCTAGGAACTTATAAGCGCTGTTACGCATTTGTGCTTCGAGAGGGGAGATAGGAAAGATTTTTATCTTTTTTAGTTATTCGAGTTTTCGAGGTTCTTAAGATACGGGGAAAGAAAGGCAAAGGGAAGTGTAAAGAGAAAGCGAAAGGAGAAGGGGGAAGGAATAAGGAAAGCGGAGCAAGGACAGTACAATTTCGATCCGTATCATATTTTCTCAAAAGAGAGAAATGGCAAGTAGGTAGGTATTATCTCATTTCCTCTCCATCATCATAGAAGTACCTACCTATACAGTAAACAGTAGCAAGCAATCCCTCCCTCTCACAGAGAGAGCACAGAGAGAGAGAAAGAGTCGGGGTCCTCCGGCAATGCCCTAGATTCAATTTTTCGACCTCTCTATCTCTCTCTCTCTCTCGCTGGTTGATCGCGCTAACGGGGTTTGTTTCGTTAGTAAAGACGGGAACGACGGGGAAGAAGGTAGCCTAGCGAGGACCGCGCTGCGCGGCAATTAAGTCAGAGCTAATTGTTTGTAGTTACTGTACTAGAGTGGTGCTATTGTGGGTAGTAGGAAGGTAAGGGATGATAGGTGGGCTGGGAAGGACTACTTGCGTTGTTTTATTCGGTTGTTGGAGATGGAGATGATGAGATAGATGGAGGCGGGAGAGGAAGAGGAGGGGGGAAATGGCATTTCGGAACCGACCAGTAACATCGGTCACCAAGCGGAGTATGTGATTATAAGACTCCCATGTATGATGTAGTGCGGGAGAATAGGTATCCATCTTCGGGGATACAGTAGGACCAGGGTAGACCGGTGAAGCGGTTTAAGCCAATCATCATCTTGCGGTACCTTTTTTTTCCTGCAATTCACTCACTCACCGGTCAGAGAGCCCTCCCCCTCCCCCTTGTTCCATGTCCATGCAGTAGGACGGACGGGACAGTAGTAGGGCTCCCGGGGTATATACAGTATGCATATAGTCATCACAGGGATTTCTGAACCGGCGCGCGGGCGGCTACTCTTCGCTATAATTCTTTTTTGGGGGGGTTTTTTTGTGACCTTCCCCTCTTGTCTTTTTTGTTACATGTACTTGTCTTGTATGTAGCTTGTCTTGTAGTAGTAGGAGGTCACAAGTGAGAAGGACTACCTCCTGGTGATGATGACGACCTTTGGTGAGCACTGGAGGTTAAGGTAGCTCAGGGTAGGTCTCACGGTTCACCCCTGGGTCCCTTCTCCTCTCTTCTCTTCTCTCCCCCTCCCCTGAGTCCCCTCTTCTGAGTCCCCTCCTCCTCCTCCACCCGGCCCCGCCGTGCCGAAGTGTGGTATGATGCATGCATTATCCGCGCGACAAGTAGTACGCTGTGTAGCCCTTGTAGGGGAAGGGAGGGCCGTGGCTCAACACGCGAGGATCAACGTGATGGGAAAAGGTGCATGCTGCATTCATTTACCGTCATGTGATTTTTGAGAAATACTACCTTCAGGTACCTTGGATGATGGTGATGATGGTGATGGTGATGGTAACGATGGGGGTTACCTCCTACAGAGTGGGAACATGAACAACAAACAACAACAATAACAACAACAACAAATACCTCCTACAAGATGGATCTCTTGATTTGAGACAGGCGGAACGGGATACGCCGAGGACAGACTCCACGCGACCCTCATGTATGCAGCCGTACCTGGTAGTCACACACAGACAAGTCCGGCCCGGATTACAAGGCCGAAGTATGGCAATACCACTTCGGCTGTCGGCTTGTGCTGCTATGCTGTGCTGTGCTTGTGCAGTACAGTGAGTGGTACTGAGATGCCGGAACATCTCCAATTATCAATACATGTACCTTGAATAGCCGTACCTCCTACCTCCTAGCCCCTATCTCCTACTGGCATCTTCTCACTTCTACAAATACAAGGTGCAGGCAGAGAGGAGAGCTCTCCTCGGACACTTCTCCGAACGACGACTGTCTGGTGTGCGGCGGGTACCTCCTACCCTGTGAATGCAATCGGCATCACCGACCGTAATATTTTAAAGTTTTCTTTTTTTTTCTTTTCGAAGACACCTGTATTGCCAAGCCACACCACGGTTTCGGTTCCATCTCTCATGCCATGCCCTAAAGTGCCCTTTGCCCAAGATCTCGAGACAATCGACACCGCGAGGGCGGGGGCGGAACGGGCGGTCGCCGTTTACCAGACATCTCTCTTGCAAGCGTTCCAGCTCAACCAAAGACAGAGCATACTAGGAGGTATGGCCCGATTCCGAGTGCAATGGAGTTTGGCTCAGCTCAGACATACACTTGCTTGTCCCTCGGGCTCGGTCGGTATCCCCTCTGGGCGTCGTTGAGATTCCATCGTGGGCAGGTAGTGTGGATGGAATCTTCAACCTCGCTGACTGGCCCAGAGCGGAGATAATGATGATGATGATGATGACCACCGACTCGAAGCAAAGCCACGCGCTGTCAAGACCACAAACATACACATACCTAGGAGGTATCGAAAGCCAGAAACAAAACTGTTGCAAGGAAACGCGCTGAACGATGGATTCTGCCACAGCAAAACGGTTGACACAGACCACGGTTGGTGCGTATACAATGTAGTAGGTATTTCAGATTCGCGACTGAGATATACTTGCGCTACCAACGCCTCAAGTGCAGATCTTCGCTCCAGTCGACGATGTCGACCAAACGTGGCTGCCACTACCTCTTGGCTGCAACGACTCGACCTCGTTACGGCAGTGATCGACTCCTTTAGAGGCAACTGAACGCGGTCGGAACCGAATCGCATTCCGCCGTTTTTCTTCTGTTCCCAGCATGACGGTATACCGCACATGTCAGCTTGGAATGTGGTGAAGCTCACAAGTGGGACAAGATCGCAAGCACAACACATCCGTGGCTATTCCTCCATCCATCGCTAAAATCTTCTCCTCACACGCTGCCCCAGCAATACCAAAAAAGAATCCTGTGGCGTGCACTTTTGAGTTGAGGTCGTCGACTTGGCGCCAAAAGCGACACGAGAAAGAAAGCAAGCAGTCGCCGTCCGTCCCCAGAAGCTGTCGCCGCTCGCAGATCTCTTTTTACAATTGCCGCATGTTGCTGCTGCATGCCACTGCGGAAAATCTGCATACCTCTGAATTACCACGCCAACAATCAGCAAACAAAAGTCCTTTGATTGACCACCCCTTCTCCTGGCTCCTGGCTCCGCATCCTAGACGACGACAAATACACAACACACACACACACACTTCTCCAGCGCAAGACCAGTTTGATGCTGCACTCTCGGCCGACGGAAGATGATCTCGTAGACCTGGTCCGCGGCTGGTGCTTGGTCTACAGCACCAGGATATCCTGCTTTTGATTGCCACCAATGGCCTCCTATCATGGACCGAGCACGCTTTCTGATCTGGTATCGCCACACTCCAAAGACAGTCTATACCACCAATACACCGATGAGTCCTTGGTCGCACGCGCACCCATGCTCGGGTTTAACCCCGACTTCAATGCCTCTGCGATCCTGGCTCGACAGCAGCAGTATCAGCTCCAGGTCATTGCGACCACCTTTTCGACCATCAGCATCCTCGCCGCCATGTGTGCTCTCTATTGGTTCTGCATGATGCGGCGCAACTTTCGCAGAGATCTGGTCTTGCTGTTGATTGTGGGCGACTTTTGGAAATCCACCTGGTTTCTCGTCTTTTCAATCACCACCCTCGTCCGAGGCCACATCTCTACCGCTACTGACTTCTGCCAGGCCACCGGATACTTCCTGCAGCTTGGCCTGGAATCGTGCGACTGTGCCATTCTACTGATGAGCTTGCACATGATGTTGCAAATCTTTCCACCCAAGAACTCCATTCTCGGTGGCGATGGACTCTACCGCATTCGCTACTACGTCCTGGCAGGCTGGGTCATCGTGCCCAATTTCATGACCTCGCTGGCCTTTATCAATACGGGCCCGGCCTTCGTCTCTCAGGGTGGCTTTTGTTCCCTGCCCGTGCGACCCATCTGGTTCCGCCTCGCTCTGTCGTGGATCCCCCGATATCTCATGTGGATCTTTATCTTATTCGTCGCCATCCGCATCTACCGCCACGTGGGCTCCGAGTTCCAGGTCTTTGGCCAAGAGCATGATCAGACCTCGAGCGTTGCCATACCGGATCACAGTCCCGGTGCCACAGGGAATGCGCCCACGACAATGAACTCGGTGGTGATGCAGCGCGGGATGTCGTATCAATCGGATTCTGCAGCAGTGGAAAAACAGTATCTGGCAGAAGATGATATTGGCCCGGATGACGATCGTGGGATGAGTCCTCCTCCTCGGAATCACCAGCATCATGCCTCACACGACCCGAACAGAAGGCAGTCTGTCCCCATCTGGTCATCGCCTTTCAATAATGAAGTCGATCCTGCAGACCTGCCTCTTCCCGGACCCATTCCCACGACAAGTAAAAGCACGCCGTCGTCACGTCGCGGAAGTCGTCAAGTCGCAGCGGGCAATGGTATCGGCGCAGAAGACTTTGGCGCCATGCCTGTGGAACTCGCTCGACCTCGAGGCTCCGTCTCGACCATGGCATCGAGAAAGTCTGGTGGCGAGCAGTCCTCGGACCAGGGATCGACGCCAGGCCTCGCTCCCATCACCGAGCATAAAGCCACTGCACATGCCGCCCATACCCCGCGAGAAAATGTCGCCACTCGAGCCCTGCAAGGTCGTCGCAGGGCAATTCAAAGGCAGCTTCGACTCCTCTTCATCTATCCCGTCATGTATCTCTTTTTGTGGATGTTCCCCTTCATCGCACATTGCTTCAACTACAGCGACTATTATGCTCAGCATCCCTTCTTCGCTCTCGGCGTGCTGAACATCTTTTGTCAAAACATCATGGGCTTCTGCGATGTATGCATTTTCTGTTGGCGAGAAAAGCCCTGGAGGCACATTCCCGGCAGCGATGGCACCTTTTTCGGCAGTTTCATGTTTTGGCGATACGCTTGGAACCCGCACTGGCACGCCGATGAGCAGCGACGGAGAAGCCATATGGCATTCGTCACCCAATCGAGCAAAGAACAACAACGACAACAGCAGCACTCTACTTCGGAGACTTCGCAGACGACTTTACTCGGTTCCATCAAGCGCTGGAGTATGAGTCTCACAGGACAGAAAAGTGTGCATCATCGCACATCGAATGATTCTTTGGCAGATGCTCCCCCAACCGCCACAACCACACCACCACCAACAACAGCAACCCCTACAACCCCAACTCGCACAAGACCGCCCGTGCAACGCCGCACCACCAGCCGAGGAGGCAGTGATCGCCGCATCATGCAAGCCGAACTCGCACACGAACGTCTAGCGCGCGAACGAGCAGATTACAAAGAACAGAATCGAAAAATGCTGCAGGAAAAACGCTCGAGCGCTGCAGCTACAGCTGCCGTTTTTGAACAGTATCATCAGAATAATCAATTACATCAGAATTTGAATCTGCAGAAGGGTTTGCCGGAGAGGAAGGAGTGGTGGGATCGCGTTGATAGACGCATTTCGAATGGTGATGGGTTGGAGAGTGATGAGTGTGAGGATGAGAATGTTGGGGAGGCGCAGCAGCAGCAGAATCAGCAGAATCAGCAGAATCAGCAGCAGCAGGGACAGCGGGAACAACAGCACCACCAACAACAAGAACAGCATCCCAATCAGCAGAATCAGAATCAGAATCAGAATCAGAACCAACAGCAGTAGACTCAGCAGCAGCAAGAAACTGTAGAACTGTAGAACTGTACGATTAAGAAGAAAAAAAGAAAGAAAAAGAAAATAAAAAGAAAAGAAGAAAGCTTTAGATTGATGATGGATTAGATACCCACCCCCCAAAAAGGAATAAAATGAAATCGATCAATGAATCAATGAAATACCTCAACGTCCTCTTCGTATATATGCATGGATATACAAAATTACTGATATAGATACTAGGTCCTACTTACTACGTCCCTACTAAATTGACGAGCAAAAAATCCCCATTCCATCCATCTAAAAGAAACGAAAAAAAAGAAAAAAAGAAAATCACAACCAAGGTCTCTCCCTCCCATCCGCATCCATCAACGTAGCCTTAGGACTATCCAAACCAATATACTCCCCCGCCGCAACAACCGCAGCAAAAAACCCCAGAGCAGTAATCATCCAACTGGCAAGCGAAAAGCCCGTAGAAAAATCCCCTTGCATAGCGAAACCATAACCCAGCGCAGAAGCGAAACTGAGGATGATGGCGAAAAATAATCCCGCGTAAATGGTCATGCTGTCGAAAGTTTCTTTGACGTCAATGTCGATGACGGCGCCGGGTTCGATGAGGTCGTCGAGGCGAGAGACCCAGCGGATTTGAGGTCTTTCGTCGGGGGGGTCGCGGGGTGCGCCGGTGAGGGTGCTGTAGAGGATGGAGCGTTTGGTGCAGAGGCGGCGGAGTTGGTTCATGAAGGAGTTTCGCGTCATGGGGTTGTCTCGGAAGGTGATGGGTTTGCGATCTGTGCGGAGCCAGGCTCCGGTGGAGGGATAGCGGACATCGGGAAAGGCGTGGAATTGGATGAAATAGACAAAGGAGATTTTTTTGTAGGCTGTTAGTTTTTGGAGAATGCCGACTTTGGCGGTTTTGAGACTGTGGTATTGCTCGTTGAGTTTGTGCGCAAAGACTATGTCTGTCCATGTGCCGGATCGATAGGGGAAGTTGTCGCTCGAGTAGCGTTCGCCGTGCCGAGTTAAGACGAGCTTGAGCTGAAGATCGTACTTCTGCTCCACTTGGTTCCAGACTGCCGCTCGATCCCAAATGGCAGTTTGATATGGCGCACGAATAATGTAGTCGCTGCGCTTGCTGGGCCGGACGAGGGCCCCACTGGATATACCTTCCGGCCGTCCTGGCGGAGGAGAGCCTGAGAAGCCTGTTGGTCGCGGAGGTCTTGGCGGCGGCGGTTGCGGAGGTTGATTGAAGCTCATAGGAACGACTTGATCATTGAAACTCACGTGGACGGCTTCCGCAAAAGGATTATGAGGCCGTGGAGGCGGTTTTCCTAGGTTAAAGTCCGAGAGAGCATGTCCAGGCCCATATTGGTTGTGGAGACCCATGCTGGTAGTATTTGGGAGATCGTTATCGTCAAAACCATCATAATAGTCGTCCAACATCTCATTCGCATTCTGATCGAGTCCAAGATTCCCTGGCGACGCAGCCTGCGACGATGTAGCGTAGAGCCTACTTGATCGGCGTCTTCTGTCTCCTGTGGTCTGCACATGCGATATGCGAGGTTCCAGACCGGGCTTCCTGGCAGCTGACATATGCAGTTCCTCAAAACCAGGCTTGCCACTTCTGGCAGGTTTTCTGTCGGAACTCTCGAGGGGTTCTGGCTTAGACCCGATACGCTGGTGGTTGCTCGAGCGCATATTGACTGATGGTCGCAGGCCAGGAGTCATGCGCTGGTTTCCGTAGAACTGCTCGATGCGTTCCGTAGGCCCCACAGGCCGAGTCCGCTGCGACCGTTCCCGATGTCCTCGATGGGCCCGTGGCTCATTTTTGGAATCGCTACGCTCTCTCTCGACCACTACATGCTCCCTGGTTTGCCGTGGCTCATTTTCAGAATTGCTACGGACTCTCTCGCGGTACACCACATAATCCGTGGTTTGCGGTGGCTCATCTTCAGAATTGATAGGGTCTCTCTCGCGGAATACCACATGCTCCCTGGTTTCCCGTAGCTCATTTTCAGATTCGCTACGCTCACTCTGGCGGAACCTCACATGCTCCCTGGTTTGTCGTGGCTCTGTGGGCACAATGTGCGACCGAGGCTCGCTCACCTCGGGCTCGATGTCCTCATCGGACCCTGATGCAACCTCCATGGCGCAAGCTGGACGGTGTTAAGTCCCCTGGCAATCTTGGAATCAACCGAGCTTCGCAATAGCTTGTGATAGTGCGCAACTGCTTCTGTTTCGTTGAGGCGGCGTCGTTGCTGAGCTGGCCAAGGGGATATAGCATATAGTAGTTCTAGAAGGAAGTTCAGAAATCGAACTGGCGCTGGAATGTCATCTTGATCCCATCGGCAGCTTTAAGGGACACGTAGTGTGTATAAGATGGCCCTGCAGGCCGTACCTATCCTGCTGTTGTTCCGTTACAACATCCTGCAAGTGGTGGTGTGCGGCTGAAGCGGCCGATCATGCAAGGCCACCTCGCCTGTGATAGACAACGTGATGGTGGACATACTGCGTGGCGCATCGCTTGAGGCGGGCATGACATCGAAAGGAGGTACGGAATATTGATGGCGGCGCCCAGTCTGCCATAAGGCAATGAGACCTACATGGAGGATTGGAGGTGGACATGGAGGATATAAACTCAGCCCGGATATGCCTAACTTAAGCCTTACGGCAGAGTGCGCCGCGACTTCTGCCGTCGCCACGACTTTCACAGGGCAGGCGACCCGGGCGCGGACGCGTCCACGTGCGCTGTGCGTCGCGTCTGCTCTCACTTCACTTCACTTCACTTCACCGAGACAACGAAAGCTCGGTCACGGACCACTTGGCGTCTGTATACAATTGCTCCAGCAAACAATACTGTTTGCCTCACATCCTCAACCACTTCAGACGTGGTACTGACCCCAGCATACTAACATAACAGAGCTGCCACACCACTACTACGGACATCATGGCCTCACCGTCCCGCACCGTGACCAACGCAGCTACGCAGACGGAGCAGTCCGTCGTCCATAACGTCACATCTCCCGCCATCGGCACTCACTCGTCACACACCGGTGGTGTCGACGCGGATGTTGAGATCAACGGCGAGAAGTCTTCCGGCATGGTAAGCTCAACTGCAGTAGATCACGCCGTGACGCCAGAAATGTCTACGGCAACGTACAATCCTAACGAGAACGTGAAGCCATTTCAGGCGTCATACGAAGACGTCGAGAGCAGCGAGAATCCAGCAGGTGAGGAACACCTAGACTCTGTCGCCAACAATGACACTCCAGACACGACAGCACAGCAGTCCTCGCAGCCGCCGCTGAGTGTAGAAGCATCCCAAGCACCACAGCTGCAGCGGCCCACTACGAATCAGCTACTTCCAGGCCTTGCCGACGAAGGACTTCATCCAGAGACTGCGGCAATCGTGAGACAGGTGGAGTGGTACTTTAGCGATGAGAACCTGGTCCAGGACGCACATCTGCTTGCGCGGACTGGACTCACCGGAGACGGTTGGGTCAGTCTGAATGAGATACTGGGTTTCAAGAAAATGCGCCAGTATAAGCCCAAACCCAAGGTGAAGGCCTCTGTCGCAACCAGTGAGCTCCTCGAAGTGGATGGCAAATTCATCCGCCGCAAGTCGCCCCTCGCGACGAAGCCCCTGGTCAAGCCGAAGCTGAACGCACAGCGCGAGCGTGATGCCATCTTGGCTGAGAAGCCGTGGTTGACCAAAGGTATGCTGAAGCCGACTGGCTTCGAGGAATATGCGACGGATGGACCGATTACTCCGGCACAGTTCAACGTCGAGCGAAAGCTGTTTGATCCTGAAGAGCGATTCACCACTCGCATTGAGTACGCCGCCACACGCTTCTTGGGTCGGAAGAAGATGCACCAAGCCAGTGCAAAGATTTTCAACAAGTTCATGTTTTTTGGAGGGTTCGCCGCGAACAATATGTTTACTGGTGGCATCAATAAGAAGGAGCTTGGGGAGTACGACGAGGACCAGATCCTCCAGATGACGGCGAAGATGGGGGTTACAGAGTGCGTCACGGACGGCCTCGACGAATACTCAGATGCTGCAGGTTCTTGGGTAGTCGACTTCGAGGGCATGGCCAAAGCTTTCCTCTCTTCGGAGTTCTTTCAGCACTTTGAATGGACCAACGAGGAGGTTGTTCGCGAGACAACAAACGTCATCCGCAAGTTTTACGACTATCTCCTCTATCATGACGCCTGTCCTGAGTACGAAGATGATATCCGCAATGCGCGTGACGTGTGCGATCTTGCCAACCAGGAGATTCCGAAGCTCGCCAGATTTGATGCTGAACTGCCAGGCGGTCTCAATACTGCTGCATCTACCTTGTACGGTGGCTATTATGCTGAAATACGCCCTTGTGACAGCTCTGCTGATTGGGTGGTCCAAGGGGACGCAATCGGCCTGTCTGATCAAGACGCCTGGACGATATTGAGTGCTGGTATCCTGGGCCATGGGACCGATGAGCAGGTCGAAGACATCCACCAGGCGCACAAGGAGAGAAGGCTTCCGAAAGTCACTACCGAGGAAGATGTTGGACTCGAAGTAGTCCGCATCGAGAGCATCTCGGCAGATGCCAAGCTCATCTACGAGGATGACCGCATTAGTGGTACCTTCATCAAGCCCACCGGCAAGCTGCACTGCAAGCGCTGGCTCCATCCTGGCGCTGCTCCCAGAGATCTTCCAACTGCCGTCGTTGCAGAGGAAAAGAGGAGGGCGAAGGACAAGAAGTACGAGTTTGTGGTGGAGTCACACATTCTTGAAAACTGTGAGATCGGTATGAAGATGGAGGCGAACGTCAGTCAGCTCGATAATGGCTTCATGTGGCTCGATGTCGTGACTAACGTCTATCCGACATTCTTCAACTGGACTCTCAATGAGCGTATGCGAGGTTGGAAGGAGCCTGGTCCGCCGAAGAAGTGGATGCAGCGGGTGAGTGGCGAGACGCAGACCGAGGAGGGAGGGGGCGAAGGCGTGGAGGCAGATGAAGAATCCGAATAGGGCAAGGATGTGGGTGAGGGCGATGTGGCTTATGGCAAGTGAGGTCAGAGTGAACAACCTCCCTCCCTCTTTCTCATATCGATGGCAGGGAGTGAGCCGTCGCTCGACATTCCTCTGAGAAAGAGGACTGCGTTCTACCGTAATCGTGTAGTGGAACTCGCGACGCCCGAGATTGATAGAGACTGTCTCCACTGTTTGCATTGCAGCAGCAATGTGACGGTGCCTCGTAGGTATGCCAGATGAGTGATTGGTACAATACCTTCAATACAGATCACATATCATACCATCCCATCCCTTACCCTTAGGAGGCACCCTTACCCTGACTTGCCTGACCTACAAGTAGCTCCACGTCTCCGATATCGGGACCCCTCCCCCTCCTAGCAACAGCTTACAAAGATCAACAAGGATGACATAACTCCCAATGGTATTCTTCCGCCTTCTCACCATAATCAACCCTCACCCTCCTCTCCAACTGATCCAGCTACATCCATAACTAGTTCATGTCCTTTCAAATCGCTTCCCGACGCATTCTGGCTTCTATACCCACACAACGAGCTGCAAATCTCTCCAACCATCTTCACAAACCCCTCACCACCCGAACCATGGCATCCATTCCCAGTACCATGAAGGGTGTCATCATCAACAAGACAGGAGGAACTGAAGTCCTCGAATACAAAACCGACCTTCCCGTGCCTCAACTGAAAGAAGGTCAAATTCTTGTGAAGAATGACTATATCGGCATCAACTTCATCGACACGTAAGTAGTAAAGACCAACGAAGTCTTCTCTTCTCCTCCCCAATCCTCCCCTCCCATTCTAACATCTCTCTCTCTTCTCCTCAGCTACTTCCGCTCCGGCCTCTACCCTGCCCCCTCATTCCCCTACACCCTCGGCCGCGAAGCCTCGGGCACCATAATCTCCACCTCCACCTCCGGAAACCTCTACGACCTCTCCTCAGGCGACAAAACCGTCTATCTCGCCGAAGGCGCCTACGCCGAATACACCGCAGTCCCAGCCTCCAAAGCCGTAAAAATTCCCTCGGAAATGTCCCCTCAAATCGGCGCAGCAGCGCTCTTGCAAGGACTGACAGCTTTGACATTGATTCGCGAGGCATATCCCGTCGCCAAGGGGGATTGGGTTTTAGTGCATGCTGCAGCGGGAGGGACAGGGTTGTGGTTGTGTCAGTTACTGAAAGCTGTAGGGGCGAATGTGATTGGGACGGCTTCGACGGGGGAGAAGATGGAATTGGCGAAGAAGGCTGGAGCGGAGCATGTCGTGAAATCGGGGAATGGAGAGGAATTGAAGAAGCAAGTGCAAGAGTTGACCAAGGGAGAAGGTGTCAAAGCGGTGTTTGATGGAGTGGGAAAGGATACGTTTGATGTGTCGATGGATTGTGTGGCGAGAAAGGGGTCTGTGATTTCGTTTGGGAATGCTTCTGGGGCGGTTCCGCCGGTGGTGATTGCGAGGTTGTCGGCGAAGAATGTGAGGTTGATGCGGCCGACGTTGTTTGGGTATATTGCGACGAGGGAGGAGTTTGAGTTTTATGTGAAGGAGTTGTTTGATTTTGTGTTGAAGGATCAATTGGATGTGAGAATTCACGGGGTGTATCCGTTGAGTGAGGTGGCGAGGGCACAGGAGGATTTGCAAGGGAGGAAGACGACGGGGAAGTTGTTGTTGGATCCTTCAAAGTAGGGCGAAAAGAGGAAGAGGGTTTGTCTGTAGTGAAGAAGGAACTGCAGCCACGAATGAAACGGTAGATGTGATGATGATGACTATCTTTTGATGTATCGCACACATGGACTTGTCATTCTCATTCATCCCCCTGCGGTAGAGTTTCCTATCATAGAGGCCAGTATATCGCCGGAGCCTTCTACTCTATTTCTTGCTCGAGTCCTACTCTACAGGTAGATTGCTAATGCATCTGCCCGATCCTCGAGTTGATGGAATCGTAATAATTCTCCGCAATAAAGCTATGATTGGGCGCAGTGAAGGTTGCATCCACCTATACATAACACAAGAGTCCTACGGAAGACATCTCTATAAAGGAACGAGTCCAGCTCAGTAGCCCGTTGCTGATATTTGGTACCTCGCCTGCTCGCCATAGTTCCAGCAAAACGATCTCTCCAGGCTATGCCGCATGAAATGCAGGAATGGATGAGAACAGTTCTAGCTCCGCCGAGTCGACATCGATTGGGTCTTACTCTCAAGATTCCCGTTGTGTCGATGCCGTAAGATTCTTCAGATTTGTGGGTCTACACCCTGTTCGTCAGAGGGCTCACAAAACCCCATGATATAATATCTCAGTAGATTTGTTGCAAGCCGTGGCGCATAACATATGATAGCCATGATCAGCACCAAAGGGGTTCTTCTCTCACTCACTCCACGCCCTCTCTCTCCAGAAAACTCGGATCCAGATCAATTTTCTTCTCAAACTTCTCCCACCAGTTCTGAAAAGCCTTCAACGGCACCGTGTCACTTCCAAAGCTGGCAAGGAAATTGAAAGCGTTCCCAATAATCCTTTGCGCGAGAACTTTGGTCGAAGCTCTCCCATCAGCACCTCCTGCTCCCATCCTGACTAATGCGCTGGAAGGTTGGGCGTTGTTACTGGCCGTAGGCTGTCCACCATTCTGCAGAGTAGCAAGTTGCGAGGCAACTTGTGCTTCGGGTTCAATCGATACTCCCACCACTATATCGCCTTGTGGAACTGCATTCGCTTGTTGGGCTTGCATCGTGGGATCGTCCAGCATGGCGTTCTCATGACTCGTGATGGAAGATTTCAGTCCGGAGATCTTGAAAATTGCACTTTCTTTGCCCGGTCCTATGGCTCCTAATAGCTTGAATTCTTGCGTAGGTGGAATTTGAACATATACCGATGCGGCTGTGCCTGGCGGTAATGTTATGCCTGGGAGGAGGAATACTACGATATGGCTAAAGGCGGGACTGGGAGAGATTCGGAATGCGTATTGGGCTTCTGTGATTGCTTGTGGTGAGACATCGACTGGTCGGCCTGAAATGATGATGCCGAAGGGGAGAGACATGGTGAGGGTGAAGAAGAAGTTGATTGAGGTTGGAAAGCTTCAATGGCAGAATGGCGATCGGCTTTCTCTGATATTTTAATCATGGGTCGGAGGATATAGGCACTAGACAAGGTTCAGTCTTTCTGGACGAAACAGGAAGCTTCGAGTCGTCTTAAAGTTTTGCCAAGAATACCATGTTGCAGGTGATACAGCTTCTCCTCCGAGTAAAGTCAACAATCAACAAACACGGATTCCCTTCACCATGTCCATCAACGAATTGCCACAACCTCCGCCCGATGTCATCTCTTCGCTCGCATTCTCCAAAGACAGCGACACGCTGGTGGTCAGTGCATGGGACCGCGAGCATGGTATACTGGTCTATCGACGAAGCGCATCGAGTCCACCTTTTGAGTTAGCAGAAACTATTGCGACAACAGCACCGGTACTCGATGTATGCTTTGGGGGAGATGGCAACACGATATACTACGTTGGTTTGGACCGTACGATCCGCCGACATAGCTTGAACCATGCCCAAGACCAAGCCACCCGCAACAGTTCCCACGAAGTCATCGCCCGCAGCTCCCATCCCACTAGCAAAGTCGCATACTCCCACGAACACAACTTGGTGTTGGCGCTGAGCTGGAACGGTAGACTCTTTGCAATGGATGCCGAGACCAGTCTGTCTGTGGCCATTCAGCTGGCCGCCAAACCTTTCGCTCTTGCTCTCACATCAGACAAGGCGGTCGTCACGATGGCCGAAAGAAAGGTGCACGTCTATGCGCTTGCGGAATTGAAAGCTCTGCTGTCAGAAGCATCTGGTGTCCAGAGCGAAGAGGACGTGAAGATTGTGCAAGCCAGGCCATGGCAGGAGCGAGAATCGAGCTTGAAGTTCATGACTCGAGCATCGGCAACCATGCCTGATGGGACGGGCTTCGCTGCTGCCTCGATTGAAGGCAGAGTTGGAGTGGAGTGGTTTGATGAAGAGGCGAATAAGAAAATGTACGCGTTCAAGTGCCATCGAGACAAGAGCACGACTACGGACGAGGGAGGACAGGAAGTGGCTCTGGACATCATCTACCCTGTCAATGCCATTTCTTTCCACCCTATACACGGCACTTTTGCCACGGGTGGAGGCGATGGTGTGGTGGCGCTGTGGGATGCCAAGACGAAGAGAAGGATCAGACAGTATCCCAAGCTGCCTACCAGTGTTTCTGCTCTGAACTTTAGTCCTGACGGGAAATTGTTGGCGATCAGTATCAGTCCTGGATTCGAGGACGGACACGAGCAGGATGTGGCTGATCCGGAGCTCGTGAAGGTGTACGTGAGAGAATTAGCAGAGAGCGAGGCGAAGGGCAAGCCCGCGAAGGAGAAATAGAGCAAGGCGTTTTCTTTCTTGGTTAAAAGATGATTGAATTAGCGCGGCGTTCTGGTTAGCCAAGAGCTGTAGAGGCATTGCCGGGTACAAATATTGAAAGTCAATGTCATGTTGGTATCTGATTCGTTGTATCCATAATGTTCTCCCCAGGAACAATGATTTTACAGCACAGAAGCAGTCCAACTTCCCTCCCAACTCCATCGCTAATTCCACAAAACCCGCATGTCCATCATGTATAGCATCCATCCCTCTATTCGTCCATCCTCATCAAGAGTCCTGCATCTCCTCATCCTCACTATCCTCCTCCTCTCCTTCATCACTCGCAGCAATTTCTCGCTTCGCAGCAGCAGACTGTGCCCCCGCCACCGTTTTCCCATTCATATGTCCATCTAACGTTCCCTGGCCCTTGCTCAAGCCCCCACTTCCTCCTCCTGCAGCAGCAGAAGTAGAGGAATTAGAGGCAGCAGCAGCGGCAGCAGCAGCGGCGGATTGAGCTTCTTTTGCCATTTTCTGCTTAAATTGCTTCATCGTCATCGTTCGGGGGACGACATCAGAGAGGAATTCGAGATTTTCGACACGGGCTATAGCGTTGGCTGTTTTTTTTATGATCACAAGGTCAGGTACTCATCAATATATATGCCAATCTTCTTCTTCTCATCCTTCAAAAGAAAAGGTAAAGATCCAGAAATGACAAAAGAAAGGAAGAAAAAAAAAATCTTACCAACATCCCTATACTGGATATTTCGTCTCGGCTTGGTGGCGTGTTCACTTTTGACCTGAGTGTATGCCTGTTCGACGAGATGTTGCAAAAACATTTCCGTGGCGACGGTGATGACAAAGGCGGCGTTGTTGGAGCATTGGGAAATGTCCGGGTCGGTGTTGATGATTTTTTTGACGCGGGCGACTAGAAGAGAGGTTTTGGTTTTAGTGAGAGGTAATACTTATAATTCATGATAGGTAGGTCAAGGTTGGGAATCGAGTCGAGGTTCGAGGTTCGAGGTGGGAGGTGGGAGGGAGGGAGGGAGGGGGAATGCATACGAGGAAGGGCGACAGTGCCGGTGACTTCGCTGGAGGGAGCGATGGGAGTGTTGTTGTATGGCATCGTGGGATCTGTGAGTAGTTTCTCGGTGAATAGGTACTAGGTACGGTACGAGGTGGTGTGGAAGTGGGATTTCTCGACGCGCTCTGTCAAAAGAAGCGCGTCGGAGTTCGTGGACGTGGACCCTGGAATCTCATGTTCACACGCAGCATCTCTATCATGTGTGTCTGTCTACCTGACCTGATCCATCCCACTCACCTCAAGATGCAATGAGCCAGCGCATGAGCAGCCTCTCTTCCTCTGCACCCACTCCGCTCCGCCGAACCTCCGCCACCACCACCACCAGCCATGTCGCCTCCGCTCCGCCCTCGCACTCTCCTTTGCACTCTCGCTCTCGCCCTCTCTCTCGGCCCGCCGCCCTAGACCGACGACTTTCCGCCCTCTCCACCGCCGAGAGTGGCCTTCACCAGCAACAGGACATTGCCTCTCCCGAAGAAGTGCGCGTCGCAGAAGAGATTGCTGAGATTAAGCGATATGAAGACTTCACCACCATCGACTGGGTCCAGGATGCCGCCCGCGAACATCAACGTCGCAAGACCCGTCGCTTATCTCGAGCTGCGCATACTCGATCTGGTCAACGACTAGGCTGGAGACACAAAGTCTGGGAAGCGTATGATGCTGCCCAGGGCTGGATTGTGGTCACCTTGATCGGCACAGCCATTGGCCTCAACGCTGCCTTTTTGAATATCGCGACTGAGTGGTTGTCAGACACCAAGCGGGGCTATTGCACGACTGCCTTCTATCTGAATGAGCAGTTCTGTTGTTGGGGTGCTGAGGAAGGGTGTCCCGAGTTTGTGCATTGGTCGAATTGGAAAGGCGTCAACTATGTCATCTACATTTTCTTTTCGACCTTCTTCGCTTTCACGAGCGCAAGGCTGGTGAAGAGTTTCGCTCCGTATGCCGCGGGAAGTGGCATCTCCGAGATCAAGTGCATCATTGCTGGGTTTGTGATGAAGGGCTTCCTCGGCTTCTGGACTCTCCTGATCAAGAGTATAGCTCTGCCCCTAGCCATTGCATCGGGATTGAGTGTGGGAAAGGAGGGCCCGAGTGTGCATTATGCGGTGTGCACAGGCAATGTCATCAGTCGCATGTTCGACAAATACCGACGCAACGCTGCCAAGACGAGGGAGATTCTCTCTGCGTGTGCTGCTGCTGGTGTGGCTGTGGCTTTTGGAAGTCCCATCGGAGGTGTACTGTTCAGCTTGGAGGAAATGAGCAATTACTTTCCGTTGAAGACGATGTGGAGGAGCTACTTCTGTGCTCTGGTCGCTACCGCGGTGTTGGCCGCCATCAACCCCTTTCGCACGGGACAGCTGGTCATGTTCACTGTGAGGTATGATCGGACGTGGCACTTTTTCGAGATCCCCTTCTACATCATCATCGGTATCTTCGGAGGCTGCTATGGCGCCTTCGTCATGAAATGGAACTTGCGAGCTCAAGCTTTCCGAAAACGATACTTGACTAAGTTCCCTATCCTGGAGGCTACCATACTGGCTGCGGGAACGGCAATCATCTGCTACTGGAACATGTTTCTCAAGATCGACATGACGGAGAGCATGGAGATTCTCTTCCTGGAGTGCGAAGGCAGCCATGATTACGATGGGCTGTGCGAGAAACAGAACCGCTGGCGAATGATCTTCTCTCTATTGTTTGCCACTGTTCTTCGCACGTTCCTCGTCATCATCTCATATGGCTGCAAAGTCCCGGCGGGGATTTTCGTGCCTTCGATGGCCATCGGAGCATCCTTTGGCCGCATGCTTGGCATCATGGTTGAAGCCCTACACGAGTCTTTTCCCGACGCAGCATTATTCTCCGCCTGCGAACCGGACGTCCCATGTATCACCCCGGGCACATATGCATTTCTGGGAGCGGGTGCTGCTTTGTCGGGAATCATGCATCTTACCGTCTCCGTCGTGGTCATCATGTTCGAGCTTACCGGTGCATTGACATACATTCTCCCGACCATGATTGTCGTGGGCATCACCAAAGCTGTCTCCGAGCGTTTCGGCAAAGGGGGCATTGCAGACCGAATGATCTGGTTCAATGGCTTTCCCTTTCTCGACAACAAAGAAGATCATACATTCGGTGTACCCGTCAGTCAATCCATGACGGCTGATCCTACCGTCCTGCCTGCTACCGGCCTCACCATCCGGAAAGTTGAGCAAATTTTAGCTGAAGCGAAATTTCAAGGGTTCCCCATTGTGGAAGACGTGCGGACTCGTCTGACGTTAGGATACATTGGCCGAACAGAACTGCGCTATGCCATCGACCGTGCCAAACGCGATCAGCCCATTGCAGCTACTGCCAAATGTTTCTTTGCCCCCAGCGAGGGCCCCCGGACCGCTACCACGCCTTCTGCCTCTGCACCAGCTGTATCATTTCATGACGCACCCGGTGGAGCAGCAGGCGGGAGCGTAATGTCTGTAGATTTCAGCAAATTTGTTGATCCCACTCCACTGGCAGTCCATCCACGTCTTCCCCTGGAAACTGTGATGGAATTGTTCAAGAAACTGGGCCCCAGAGTGATCCTCGTCGAACACCGTGGTCGACTGACAGGTCTAGTGACTGTCAAAGACTGCCTCAAGTTCCAATTCCAGCACGAGCAGCATGAGAATCCCCGCGATGATTCCAGTCAGCTGCGCAATCAAGAGCAGATATGGCTGATATTGCAATATGCTGCGATGTGGGCGGGCGGCAAGCTCAGCTGGTTGGGAGAACAAGTTGGTCTGCGGAAGAGATTGAGGCTGGACAGTGGTGGACGATACTCCGAATTGGGAGGTTCCCCGACGCAAGCGGAAAACCACACGCGAGAGAGCCGCCATCAAAGTGCGTCGGGACTAGATCCTGAAGGGGCGGGACCTGCTGCCGGAGGAGTAGAGTTGGAAGATCGAAGAAATGTAGTCAGCTGAGAAGAAATCAGTTCATGAAAAATCCAGATACTTGTACGAGCAGTCAAAGACCCATTTTGAATGAAAATACCTACCTATCACCTATATTAGTTGATACCCGCTGCTTCCATAATTCTCATTCCGTAGCCCTTTACCGGGCTAACACTCCCACTATCGCCTCTTGGAATCACATACGCGACCTCAGAAAACCTTTCGAAATTACCAAAGCCAGTACATTACCTTAGTTGCGCCACTGGCTGCTACATTCAAAGTACCTACCTACCTTACCTATACAGCGTAGGTACAGCACCTTACATATAGTAGCAAGCACATCATATCACATCGAGCTGTACATGTACCCCCTAGCCTACCTTAAAGTACCTACATTAAATCCTTACTTACCCAGGTACCTACGAGAGCAGAGGACGTTTAACTCAGCTTGCCCTCTGACGAGAGCTGATCAAATTCTAGCCGGTTGCTACGTACCTTAAGGTAGTATTAACGAGCACTTGGTAGAGGCGACCTTGGAAAGCTAGATGGCATGTGATACTGTCTCTCTGTATAGACAAAATAATTCTAGAAGTTCTGATAATGGGGTATCGCGCTTGTACGTTGAGTTGAGCCTAACAATGGAGTATCATCGTGTTAGTAGGTGCGAGCATAAAACGTCTGTCCTGCTGTGTACTATTCGCCTATTAGCAGGTGCTGTGAGGAGGTAGGTATATAGCCTCGGCCCTCGTGATCTTGCCTGAGGTATCTGTATGCCAAGAAATTAGATTATTGCCTGACCGTCTCTCTGTTCTTCGAGCTACATGTACAAGATATCGCTGTATTGCAGCAGAAGCAGCAGCAGAAGAGAACAGGGCACTAGTTGCCCTATCCAAGTAAGTTATACTAGATCAGACAAAGCGTAACATTGTTCCTTCTACTACCTGGAAAACACGGTTCAGAGCGGGCTAGACTTGGGTATAGCAGGTCAGTATAAACATAGCTGTGTTTACCACGAAAGAGAAGTCAGTATTCGAGGTTCGATTTGAGAGGCACTACAAGCGCCAGCACGTAGTCAATCTCTTGGTTTTGCAAAAGACTATGCATCGGTCTTGTGGGCGCAGTCTGGCAGGTAGCAAGCTTGCCCAGGTGTTCAGAAAGGGAAGGTGGGAGTGATAGAATCCGATCGAGTGCATTCTGCTGCTGTGTTGAGGATGTGGTTGACCAAACTTGATATAATGCTCCGACATTGGGAATGGAAGTAGAAGTCAGGAGAGCATTCCGAATTAGGCGTCGCTGGGTCATGAATGTGAACTTGTATGTGCTCTGGCAATCTCGGCGGAGAGTATCTCGGCAATGGTAGGTAGGGTACCTACCAGGTAGGATTGCTGATGGGGCTGCCAGTGGGGTCAAATTCTTGTGTGGAAGTCTTCTGTCTGCGATGCGGAGAAGATGATGAATGACGGGAGTTCCTAATACACCATTACCGTAGTAACTACAGCTCTCTGCAGCAATGGCATCAACATTGTGGTTTGCTGGGTCGTTCAATCCCTGCCACACTCCAGCTACACGACTTGCTGATTCGAATGTGTATGTCCATTTTTTGCTGTGCACAATACATGTATGCACGCTCTTCTTCATCGGCGTTTAGGCGTCGCCATCAAGCATCCAGGTCAGGGTGTTGCCGCAATCGAAGGCATGTTACATGTGAAAATTGATGCTTGATCCGTGCACCGATGAATCGGCGTTGAAATACGCTTCAGGAAACTGCGCACGCTTTGAGCAGTCATGTCGTCTGTTTAACTCTCTTATCGCCAGCTGCACCCCTCAATGGTTGTCCACTTGGATCCTCCCCAGCAACACCCTCTTTGCTGTCGTGCAACCCTTGATCCCAAAAAGCCTCCGGAGGCTCTAGGACATGCAGTGTGTAGAGCTGGTCTATCGCGGGACAAGCGAGGATATCGACAGGCTTCCATGGCAAACACTAGTTGGGCACCGCAGGATCTACTGATCAGGTGATTCGGTATCCTCATCACAGGCGTGGCGGGAGCATTGGTACCTGAGGTATTAAGCACTTCTTTTCTGTTGAGCATATTATATCCTCCGACAAGATTACGTGGGGGATTGCTTGAGAGATCTAGCAGAAGAAGAAAATTAATACCCCAAGTGGTGGTAGAAGTACCTTTGTGCTAAACGAGCACGCAAAATTGCGAGGCTGTTCGTGGAGGAGTTGCGAGTCAACGGTCTCGATTGGCGGCGCTCTCCGCGCTGTCCGCCATACGGAATCATTCCAAGTTCAGTCTTCCTGCCCGGCGGCGCTCTCCGCGCTGTCCGCCATACGGAATCTTTCCAAGTCCAATCGCCTTGCCCGGCGGCGGCGGCGGCGACCATATAGGCCGATGAACGCCCGCTATTGGTAGCCGTAGTGAGTAGTGTCTACAGCATCGTGCATGAGAGCTGTTCGAGCAGCAAAGTGCTTGCAGCAACCTAATGTTCGGTACTCGGCATCCAGTCCAGTCCTGTCTTGGGAAGTACATGATGATGTCGATTCCACCTCTGTTTGCGCGCAACAGCAGCTCCAGGAGGCTGGGGAAGCTTGCACGTGCATGCGGAAAGTGGGTGACAGTTTGTGGGAATAACGCATGCCGATAGCACTGTCGATCCCGCGACACTGTTTGGCCGGCGCACGCCACGTCGACCTCGTCGCCTTCTCTGGGCCTGGGCGCCGTGTCGTGGGGTCTGAGAGGCCGCGCTCGATGAAGAATGATGCGGTGCACAGGCGACTCACGTGCGAGGCGAGAGACGAGACTGGGCGTGATGGGGGTGGGGTGGACCTGGAAGGGGAGAACAAGTCTACCTACCTAAGGGACCTACATCTAGGTACATGTATTGGTGAATATCGTATGAGGTACCGTAGCTTCTAGGAGAGAGGAGGTAGGGTAAGGTAGTTCTGATCGAAAGGAGTTTCAGGCGGTCGGCGTATGAAAAGAAAGGGCAGAAACACGAATCGCCAGATGCGGTCAAGCAGTGAAGGCCGTGGGAGCGTCAATGCTCTTCTACCGTCGACGGCAGGCCATGATTGGAGCATAGCGACGGCAGAGTGGAGTTATTGGAAGCGCGGCAGAACAATGTGTGATTGCACTGATTGAGCAGATCCAAGCTCGGACGAGGGTTGTGTGAAGCACATTCCACCAGCCATCTCACAATTCACTAGTCGTAGAATAGCGGTAGCACTGCAGTGTCCATTCTCCCACCGTCGTCTGTCGTCTGTCTATTGGAATGCGAATCCTCACCTCGCCGTCCTGAAGCACCCATCATCCATCGCTGCCGCTGTCTGTCCCGCTGTCCGCCCCGCCGAGTGATTGCCTGTCGCCACGTTGCTGCAGGACTCACAGGAGAATATCGAAGTTCGACACCCCCCCCCTCCCCGGCACAAGGAAGTCTGCCGAATAAAGTATTGTGCCTACTGCTGTGCCATCTGCTGTTGGTACCATCGACCGGCTTCCCGCGACTCATTCCGCCGCTGCACACTGCACACGACTGAGTCTGCTGCTGGTACAGGTAGTCGACTCTGCCATGGCATCCAAAGTACGCCCGCCCGCCCGCTTGCTCGCTCTTACCGCACCGCACCGCACCGCACCGCACTCTCCACCCTTGATTACCCTCCCTTAGAACGGGACTACCTACCATCACTCTTAGCCCACTACCTACCAACCAACCACCTCCTTCTGTCGCGCCACCATTACTACTCCTCCTCCTACCACTCCTCCGCCTTCTGCTCCTCTTCCTCCGCCTCCCCCTCCTGCTCTTCCTTCCCTCTCCCCTCCTCCTCCTCCTCCCTCCCTGCGTGCCCCCCTCTCCCTCGGCGCACGCATCAGCCTACTGACAAGTCATGTCTCAGTTCCTACGGGAATACAAGCTGGTGGTCGTTGGCGGTGGTGGTGTGGGAAAGTCCTGCTTGACCATTCAGCTCATCCAGTCGCATTTCGTCGACGAGTACGACCCGACCATTGAAGGTATCCTTCCCTTTCCCTCCCTCCCTGCAGCTCTTGTGCGCCTTGCGCCAATGCGCTCCGGTCGATGCGCTCTCTACTCTTCGCGCGCGCAGCGCTAACACCTCGCGCTTTCTTCTCGCACAGATTCTTACCGCAAGCAATGCGTCATTGACGAAGAGGTGGCGCTCCTCGATGTGCTCGATACCGCCGGCCAAGAGGAATACTCAGCGATGCGCGAACAGTACATGCGAACCGGGGAGGGTTTTCTGCTCGTCTACAGCATCACATCACGGCAGAGCTTCGAAGAGATTGTGACGTTCCAGCAACAAATACTGCGGGTCAAAGACAAGGATTATTTCCCCATAATCGTTGTGGGAAACAAGTGCGATCTGGAGTCTGAGCGACAAGTGAGCACAGAAGGTATGCTGCAAGCAGAATTGCGCGCGCGCCTTTCTTCGGACGGCACACATGAATGTGCACCCGCCTGTTGCACAGACGCGCGCGCGCCTTTCTTGAAATGAGAACCTCCATTCTACATGTGCGCAAGGATTGCTCGCTAATCATTCTGCGCCGTACACAGAGGGCAGACAGCTCGCGCGACAGTTTGGTTGCAAATTCATCGAGACCTCGGCTAAGTCGAGAATCAACGTCGAGAACGCCTTTTACGACATCGTGCGCGAGATCAGGAAATACAACAAAGACATGTCGGGATACCCTGGAGGTGGTGGTTCTGGGAGTAAGCCCAAGGACGAGTTTCAGGTGGATCAGGAGCAAGATGCGGGATGCTGCGGGAAATGCTCGGTAATGTAAAGCGGTCGTGTCGTGTCTGTAACACGAGACTTGTGGGGTGTGAGGAGAAGTCTCTACCATACGTCCATAATCGGCAGCTCCGCTCCCAGGAAGAAGCGTGGGAGGAGAAGAGCAGCAGGAGCAGCAGCAGCAGCAGCAACAGCAGCAGCAAAGCGGAACGAAACACACTTGCATTGGGTATCGGACGACACTTTTAGAACGAACGCGAACGAGCGAGCGAAGCGCGCGCCACATGACCAAAACATTCACACACCACAAATAGCGCTGCCTGCCATCCATGAACCAGGCACAGCGGCAACCAACGCACCCATCCAAATAGGACTCTGCTGCATTTTACAATATGCCTTATATCGCAGCGGAATACCCCACCACGAGCAACTCAATTCCAAAAGGAGGAAAAGATCCAACCCAAGGGGAGAGGGCAGGGCAGAGGGAAGGGGGGGGCGTTATTGCAAAGAAAACCAGGCGGGTGGCTCGATATTATCCAACGAGATCAACACCCACGGCAGAGATAATGATGTTGTTTGTTTGAGGTTTCTTTTTCTTGCCTGCGTGCTTGCTTGCCGCTCTTCTCTCTCGCACTACTCCTCTGTACAGCCAGCTCCATTGGGCGTCTTTGCCGCCGCCGTCGTCCCCATTAGATTCTGATACCTTATTGTCTTTTGACCTCACCATTTCACATTCTTGCAAATATACCTTTTTTTTCTTTCTCTCTGTCTCTCTCTCTCTTTCTTTCTTTCCTAGATGTCACAGATGATGGAACCTGTTTTTGAAATTTACCTACCTAAAGTACCTATGTAACCTACCTGTAGGTACCTAGGTAAGGTAAGGTAGGTACCTAGTCTACGTGAGGTACGCTCGTCAGTGCTCGAAACTTGCAAGGTCACCTACAGGTAGGTAAGGTAGGTACCTTACATGTGCATGTTTTTTTTTATTGATGATACATGATGTGTGCACAACCTACCTACATACTTACATGTACATGTACCTACTTACCTATATCCCTGCACAGCCACGTGTGTGATGTTCTTTTGTCAACACATACATCAGGTAAGGTACGTGTACAGATATATATATATATATATACCTATATATATTCAAACATAAGTAGGGTGTAATGTGTTGTATATATGTATATATATATATAGTATATACAGAGAAGGTAAGAGGTATCTGTATATTTAGTCAGAAACGGATTGCAGTAGATTCGGGATTATTCATATTCAGGACGAGAGGGAGAGAGAGAGGTATGGGAACCCCATTGGTTGTAATTGGCATGTCTTTGAGGTTTGGTGATGTGATGTGATGACTGGATACCTACCTTACCTACATGTACATACATGTACCCGGGCAGTTCAATGTATGTGCCACGTCATATCTGATGTTGTACATGGTAGGTATGTAGGTAGGTAGGTAGGTATGAATTCATACCCAATTCTTCATTGTTGAGTGGGTATATGCCTATGGTGCTCTACGGTACATACAGTACATGTATGGCCATTCCCTGCTTACTCATTGCGCGAATTATGCGCGAATCGTCCTCTTCGTTTGTTGTTGTTGTTGTCTCGCTCGTGAAGGGAGGGAACCTAGGTACCTTAGGTAAGGTAAGGTAAGGTAAGATATTCTCCCTCATCCTCTTCATCCCCAAGGTATCCTCCCCAATCATCATCTTTCTTCACACTTCCATATCATCTCCCAGCTCTGTCCCCCATTTTCTTGCTTGCCTACTATTCTTCCCCCTTCAACACCTCTTCAATCCCCTCCAAATCCTCTGCGGAATCAATCTCAATCAATTTCCCCGCTTCACTCGTACTCCGCATCAATTCTTTTGCTCCTGCATACAACATGCGATTCTCTGCGCTGCAGGTCGGGGGCAGGTAGTTGAGCATTACGTAGGGGACTGAGAGGCGGCCGGAGGACTGTTTAAGTAGCAGTTATGAGTTAGTTATGGAATGGGAGGTATGTAGGTAGTATTGAGGAGGAATCTTTTTGTAGTTCGTAGCACCAAAGTGAGAGGATAACTCAATAAGATGAAGCGAGGAGTATTATCGGGAAGTTCATCTGCGAGGTCGAGCATGTTGGTGTAGACGACTTGAGGGTTGTCGGAGGGGGTGATCTCCATGTTGGATTTGTTGATTTGGTCTTTTCTGGCGAATAAGCTATGAGCAAGCAGCCTTTCTTTCTATCCATTTTTTTCCTGCTGCATGTTGAACATTTAGGTACTCACAGATAATTGCTTGGGGATCTTTGGCTCTGGAGGTTCCGAGACGAAACTTGCGGAGTTTGTCTTTGGTTTCTGGGGAGATGGTGTAGAGACGTGATTCGGAAGACTGGTGGGATATGCGTTAGTTGTCCATTACATGTGTGTCTGTGAGGGAGGTCTGAGGTATGTATAGACATGGGGAGAGTGAACGTACCATGTTGGCGAGGTGGATAGCGGATGTTCTATACAGGTAATAACGAGGTCGAAGTGAAGTACTAGATATTCAGGTACCTTGGGTAGTTTTCGTTGATACCTGATGATAAGATGTCATCCTTGAGGTCCACCCCCACTCCACGCTACTCGTTAGTATTGCATGTACCTGGTAGGCATATTGTTTTGACAAGGATGTTTCCTAGTAATGACGCCTTCACTGGACAGCTTCATCAACAACATCTCGACCTTGGACTTAACACAACCTCACAAGACATCATCTGTCTCTAATGTTTGCGCGAGTCTCCCAACTGACGAGACATCTCTCCCGTCCACTGCCCAACTATCTACATAACTCTGCAGCAGCAGCAACATCAGCAACATCGCCCACCTCACCGCTAGCACCACCAAACACCATCACCACCATGTCCTCCACCACCACCACCTCCCGCAGCCCGCGCCAAATCCACACAGCCGCCTGCCTCATCATCGGCGACGAAGTCCTCGGCGGCAAAACCGTCGACACCAACTCAGCCTGGTTCGCCAAATACTGCTTCTCGCTCGGCATCAACCTCAAACGCATCGAAGTCATTTCCGACGAAGAATCCGAAATCATCGAAGCCACGCGCCGCATGTCCTCTTCGTACGACTTCGTCGTCACCTCGGGCGGAATCGGTCCCACACACGACGACATCACCTACCAATCCATTTCGCGCGCCTTCAATCTCCCTCTAGTGCTACACGAAGAAGCCTACAAGAAAATGAAAGCCTTCTCCAAACCCGACAAACACACAGGGAAAGTCTTTGATTGGACGCAAGATTCTCCTCAAAAGCGAGCGAAGCTTCGCATGGTGGAATTACCCTACGATAAGAATCTTCCTGATGAGGAGCAGGTGATTTTTTCGGCTGAGGATTTGTGGGTGCCGATTGCGGTCGTGAATGGGAATATTCATATTTTGCCGGGGATTCCACGCTTGTTTGAGAAGATGCTGATGGGGTTGAAACCGAAGCTGTTGCCGCGGTTGACGGATCCCGAGGGGAAAGGCGTGCATAGGATTTTGATCTCGACGCCGTTGCCGGAGAGTGAGATTGCAGAGTTCTTGACCCAGATGGCGGAGAAGGTGGCTGCAAAGGGAGTGAAGGTGGGAAGTTATCCGAGATGGGGGAAGAGTAGGAATACTGTGACATTAGTGGGAAAGGATAAGGACTTTATGGAGGGGTTAGTAGAGGAAGTGGAAAAAGGTGTTCAGGGGAATCGAATAGAGGTGGAGGGTGAGGATGACGATGGCGGTAGTGACAAGGACGCATGATGGGATGTGGAATAGTGGTTGAAAGCTGGTTGTCAGAGAGGATGAGAATCACGAAGCATGCAGATGATGGCATCAGGTCTCAAGACTGCCGACGTGCATATGCAGAAGATGAACAGTACAGTAGGTACGTATGAATGAGCAATCTGCGACCCATACATGAAAGTTCTCATTTTGAACCAGATCACCATTCTGTCCAAGAGTGGCGCTTCTGCAATCGATTGCCACGCGCCGCTCTATCCTCGTAGCTGACAATGATTTCCTTGCTCTGCTTGATTCCACCCGGAGAGTGCTCAGAAGGAGCATCATCATGGCTGTTCCTCGATTCCTCTCGGACCGCATTAGGCCTCGTCAACGCTTCCGGGTCATGCGATATGACTGTGACCGTCTCTCCCTCATCAGGACGCAACCTATGGCCCCAGAATGCAGAGCTTGAACGTCGACTCTCTCGCGAATTTTGACTGGAGTTGTGGCTCACGCGTCGATCCCAATAGGGCATCTTCATTCGAGATTGGAACGATAATGGCGTCCTTGGACTTCCAATACTCGAAAGTGAAGACGGTTTCTGAAAGTACGCTGAATATGCGCGTGGTGGCGGCGGTGGTGTAACCCTGTTCCGTCTGGGTGCAAGCATTATCTTCCCTTTCCAAGATGGTGGATTCAGTAGCTTGAGTGAAGGTCTCTTGACGGGTCCTCGGCGCTCTGGACTTGAGCTCAGCCTCGGCATGCTTGGTCTCGCAAACGAAGCCCTCCGATCCCATGTTGGCACATCAGCAATGCTAGCGGCTTGTTGTATACTCTTAGGCGCATCTGGAGACCCCGAGTGGATGTCATCGCGTGGCTGCGTGCTGCCCACCTCCGTATCCTCGCCGGCTACTGGGGGGTTTGTTGTTATCAACCTCAAACGTACGCCTCTTCCACGTTGGTGTCGCAGGTTGTGCTGGTCCTGAGGAGACCGGAACACACCGCCCTCGAATATGACAAAGAACGGTTTCGCGCACGGAAGCGTAGTCAGGATGATGCTTCCATGCATGGCGACCTGTGTCATGAGTGCAAATCTCGCCAAGCCGTAAGTCCTGTCTTCACGTTGTAGGGTGTCGTTGTAAAAGATAAGGCGCATATACAATGCAGGTAGGACGAGAAGTCGCAGCGCGAAAGCGATGATCACGCAAGTCTTGGGCCCCCGCGGCATCAACACATTCTACACGACGCATACCGCTGTCACGACATTTGCGAGTTCCAGAAAGGAGCCGACGATCGTGACAGCAAGACGAATTGCTGTTCTGTTCAGGCAAATATTGTTACTGGGGTCCCAAGGCTGAGGGAGATGGCCTACGTGCATTGCTTTAGCTTCAGTGCTGGCTTTGCCTACGCTTCGGTTGGCTTGGAGGTTATACGAACATATGAAGATTCGAAGAAACCAGAAGACTATGGCCCAAATGATAGTCATGATGCCGATGGTCCACCCGATGAGATGATGCCTTCTCACCGGTGTGATTCTGCAGATCAAGCAAGAGATGGAGATCATCGTCGCCGCTGTCGTGAGTATGTAGAATTGCTCGGCCACCCAAAGTACGATGGTGTTCTTCTTCAGGTTCAAGCGAGAAAGGTGATCCTGGTGGTTTCCCACGCCGAAATGGACGGCGACAAGCGTTAGAGTGGACTGAGAGATGCCCAGGAACTGCGAGTTGTTGCCAGTCAGCGGATGTAGACAATGACCGACCGACTGACTGAGCGGAGTGCAAGGCACGTCGAAGCGCTAGCGCACTCACAGTAGCCACGAGGCATGCGACGTCGTCCGGCCCAATGGGTCCATTGACTTTGGTTCGGAGGAAGATGCGACACAGGCAGGTGAAGAGTGTCCAGATGCAGGCAACAATGGCGACAATGATGACATGAGCGGATGCACTAGGAATATTGAACACGGCCATGAAAGCCGTATCGCCACCTAGCCTAAGGAACCATGTCCGGTGGTGGGCGAGCGACGGACTTGGCGATTAGGTAGTGGAGCGGAGGGGAGGGGAGGGGAGGGGACGGGAAGGGGTGGTGGTCGAGGAGATGTCTGAGAAAGGGCAACGGCGAGGTGAGTCGAGTCAACACGGCATCCACACGTGACACTTCCCTTCGAAAGGCTGTGAAGCTTCCACCCGAGACGAAGTACATGTAGCTCGCCTTCCTTTATTGGATCACATCACCAGAACTCCTCCCGGACAGCTCACCATCAACCGTCACAATCACTATGCAGTCAGCAGACTTCCATCCTACGACCATGACACCTCACCTTGCCGTAGTGGAGAATATCGAGTGGCCTGAGGCTCGCACAAGATCATCCTCACTCAGCGATGAACACGTCTACCATCCCAAACCACGGCCCGCTCGCCTCTCAATGGACTTCCGGCCAATAGAGCCCGTGAGTCGCAAGCAAGAAATGCAACGCACTTTCCGCCTCGTCTCCACTATCGGCTTCACTTCTCTCGTCACGGGCACCTAGGAAGTGCTTCTCACCGGCAACGCCAATGCTCTGGTCAATGGCGGCATCCCGGGCCTCGTCTGGTCCATGATATGTGCTCATTTTGGACAATTATTCATCGTGCTGTCTATGGCGGAAATTACTTCTATGGTACCTGCTGCTGGTAGTCCTTATCAGTGGGTGTCTGCTTTCGCTAGACCGCGACATGGACGGATGCTGTCCTATCTTACTGGATCTCTCTGCTCGATTGGATGGCAGGCTCGTTTCACCGCTATCTGCTACATTGTTGCTGGTGAGTTGAACCTTTAAATCGACTTGTGAGCACTGCCAAGAACCAGTCTTTTGCAGCATTGCTTACCTCAGAATGAGTACTCTAGGTGTTGTGCTGGCACTTGCTGAGATCAACGAGGTCAATTTTCACGCCACCAAGTGGCAGCGATGTCTTCTTACCATAGGAGTTGCTGCTGTGGTGTCTGCTTTCAACGCACTAGCAGCTACACACCTCTCAGTTGCAGAAGGAGTATTTGCACTATGTCATGTCTATGCATTGGTTCCAATCGTTGTGTCACTCTGGGTTCTGGCGCCAAAGCGATCTGCGACCGACGTATTTCTTCACTTCACAGACAATGGCGGTGATTGGCCGACTATTCACCTTTCCGTGCTAGTCGGGCAGCTACCTAGTATCTTCACATGGCTCGGCAGTGAAGCCACATCGCATATTGCCGAGGAGATAGAAGAGCCGGACACAGTGCTACCGCGATGCATGGTGTGGAGCTATTTCATCAACGCACCTGGAACACTCTTGGTACTCCTGACCTACGCGTTCAACATATCGAATCTGGACGAAGTCATGAGCGACGTGGTCCCGCTGGTGTCACTCCTCCGGTCAGCCTTCCTCTCCAAGGAAGTGACGACGGGCTTGGTGACCGTATTGCTGCTTTTGGTATTCATGGTGGCTATCAGCACCATGGTGTTAACTTCTCGGCATCTCTTTGCTTTCGGGTCAGTCCTGACCATCCATGTGAGACGTTCTTTTGCTGACTGATATAAGACGAGACAGGGCACTATACTCGTCTCCCTGGTTCGCAAAGATTGATACAAGACTGGGAGTTCCCCTCAATGCGATCTATTCGACCCTATTCTTCACCGTTATTCTCTCCACAGTCACCATTGGAAACAGTCATCCACTTTACACTATGATGGGACTGGCCGTTGCAGCATTAATGACTTGCTACAGTATCTCCATTGCAAGCCTGATGTTGAAACGACTGAGTGGGGAGGCTCTCCCTCGTGCGAGCTGGTCACTTGGTAAAGCTGGTATCTGGATCAATGGAGCCGCTTTATTGTACTCGGTATGGTCACTATTTTGGTCTTTCTGGCCGATCAAGTACCAACCTGGTGCTACAGACTTCAACTGGACTCTTGTGCTATATTTCTTCGTTCTCGGCTATGCTTCGGCCTTTTTGATCGCCGGGCGGCGACGATTGGGTAAACATCTCAAGGAGATGAAGTCTGATTTGACATTACGGATGGATTAGTACTGTATTGATTCTGGAGCTCGAGCCGAGGTGGAGTCAAGTTCGGAAATCGTTGTCATTTCTACCAATTCGGCATATCCTTGAAGCAGTCGTTTGGTACCGGCATTATCAAATCATCATCGTCATCGTCACCAATATCGTGACCATCATCGTCATCATCGTCGTAATCGTCGTCGTCGTCATTATCGTCATCATCAGGTTGAACCGTCAAACTTCCACCCGAGAGGTATAATAAATATCCCTCCTCTTCGCCCCCTCCAACATACCTCCTCTTCACATGAATCCAACCTTTTTTTTTCTTTAGGTCCCTTAACATTCAATTCTCAAATCCCGAAACTCGACAGATAATTTCTTTTCGGCTTTGCGCTTGCCCGTATGACTATAATTCGGTTTGGCAACATAGACTCCGACCCAAATTTCCGCATTTTTCTTTTTGGTTTTCTTTTTGGTTTTCTTGTTGTTGTTTTTGTTGTTGTTGCCTCGGTTTTCGAGAAATGCCCAGGTGATTTCTCGGAGGGGATAACGTTGGTGGTTTTTGAGAATGTTGTAGATCCATAGTTCGGCTGTGTTGTGGTTTGATTAGGTGGAGAGGAGAGGAGATTGATTGATACATAATGAGAGGGAGAGAAAGAAAAAAAAACTCACTAGAATTCCTCTCTACCAAAAACCGAACCCCTCCTCCTCCTCCTTTGGATGAAGGCACCACAGGACTTAAACTCCAATCCGAAAACGCATATGTCGCCACTGTACTCAATTGCAACCCACCATTTTCCCATTCCAAACCAGTTTTGATCCATGAATATTTTGCATTTTTCTCTGCCTTCTCATTATCATTCTTCCACCAACCCCATCCCCACCCCTTTTCCTCCTCCTTCCCCTTCCCCTTCTTCTTCAATTTCAACTTCTCCTCCTCCCTCCTCTTCTTCTCCCACAAATCCCCATCCGGAAACAAAATCGCAATCCCACCCTGATCCCACTGGGATTTAAATTCTTTTCCCGGAACAACCGTGACAGAAATTCGAGAGAAATTTTCTACGGAGCAGATGCGATAGACGAAGGGGGCGGAGAAATTGTTTGAGGCGGAATTGGGACGCCAGAGATCGGTGGCGGGGGAGGCGGTCAATGTGAAGGATTTGGGGGAGGAGGAGGGGAGGTGTTTGATGATGGGGTTGTTGAGGCGGTGCCAGGGGGAGGGGGTGGTGGTGGTGGTGTTTTTGGGTGCGAGGAGGGGTTGTTGTTTTTGTTGTTGTTGTTGTTGGAGCGGGTTTGGAGGTGGGGGAGAGGAGGATTTTTGGGCTGAGGAGGTGAAGGGGTGGAGGAGGAGGGTTGTTAGGAGGAGGAGGAGAGGGGTTAGGAGGGATAGCATTGTGGGTTTCTGCTGTTTCTTTCTCTCTCTCTCGCTTTCTCTCTCTCTCTCTCTCTCTTTCTCTCTCTCTCTCTCTCTCTCTCTCTCTCTCTCTCTC